CAAAAAAATATCTGTATAGAAACAATCGGAAAATTAATTTAATTATCAATTAAATTATTATTGTCATCTGTTTTCTTATAAATTTCTGACTTTTCCCCATTTATATATGCTCCTATTATTTGTTATTTATTCATAATTTGATATACATCATTATCACTAAAAATTTAATAGATATCAGTATAAAAACTATCTCTCCTTTTAGTAATTCTCTCCAAGATATGTGGTTTACTAAGCTCTTATTAAATTGCAATAGATTTATTGCTTTTGTTACTAAATTTATAACTCATTATTATATTTTTATTTTGATATTCGGGCGAAATCTTTGTATTTCTCCTTATATAATAAAGATATAAATTGTTTATAATAAAATAAATGTATGATTTAACAATTTAATCTGCCTTAATTGATTCTAAAAATTACAAGTAGTTTTCATGATAATTGTCGTTCTTGTTAATTATATCATTTTTCTTGATCTAGGCTTGAAATCTGAATAATTAATTGATTTTTAATAAATAACATATATTAAACTAGGAATGATATTATGGCTTATTTACAATAAGAAATTTTTTTTCAATTGTTGAAATTAAGAAGGCTTGCTTTAAGAAAACAAATTTACATTTAAGTATTATGGATATGTAATTTTCTTTCTATTTTACCAAATCTATCATTATTTCTTATATAATAATATATCCAAAACAATTGTAATTAAAAATTAAAAGTAGAATTGTAATTAAAAATAAAAAGTGGAACAACAGGTATTGATCCTGCTACCTTGGACTGAGGAAGTCCACGCTCTACCGTTGAGCTATGTTCCAATTCTGATTCTATTAAAACTAAAAAATTTTATTACAATTATTATTTAATTAAGAATACAATGGATATTTTATTTTCTGTTTATTTTACCAAATCTATCATTATTTCTTATATAATAATATATCCAAAACAATTGTAATTAAAAATTAAAAGTAGAATTGTAATTAAAAATAAAAAGTGGAACAACAGGTATTGATCCTGCTACCTTGGACTGAGGAAGTCCACGCTCTACCGTTGAGCTATGTTCCAATTCTGATTCTATTAAAACTAAAAAATTTTATTACAATTATTATTTAATTAAGAATACAATGGATATTTAATTTTCTGTTTATTTTACCAAATCTATCATTATTTCTTATATAATAATATATCCAAAACAATTGTAATTAAAAATTAAAAGTAGAATTGTAATTAAAAATAAAAAGTGGAACAACAGGTATTGATCCTGCTACCTTGGACTGAGGAAGTCCACGCTCTACCGTTGAGCTATGTTCCAATTCTGATTCTATTAAAACTAAAAAATTTTATTACAATTATTATTTAATTAAGAATACAATGGATATTTAATTTTCTGTTTATTTTACCAAATCTATCATTATTTCTTATATAATAATATATCCAAAACAATTGTAATTAAAAATTAAAAGTAGAATTGTAATTAAAAATAAAAAGTGGAACAACAGGTATTGATCCTGCTACCTTGGACTGAGGAAGTCCACGCTCTACCGTTGAGCTATGTTCCAATTCTGATTCTATTAAAACTAAAAAATTTTATTACAATTATTATTTAATTAAGAATACAATGGATATTTAATTTTCTGTTTATTTTACCAAATCTATCATTATTTCTTATATAATAATATATCCAAAACAATTGTAATTAAAAATTAAAAGTAGAATTGTAATTAAAAATAAAAAGTGGAACAACAGGTATTGATCCTGCTACCTTGGACTGAGGAAGTCCACGCTCTACCGTTGAGCTATGTTCCAATTCTGATTCTATTAAAACTAAAAAATTTTATTACAATTATTATTTAATTAAGAATACAATGGATATTTTATTTTCTGTTTATTTTACCAAATCTATCATTATTTCTTATATAATAATATATCCAAAACAATTGTAATTAAAAATTAAAAGTAGAATTGTAATTAAAAATAAAAAGTGGAACAACAGGTATTGATCCTGCTACCTTGGACTGAGGAAGTCCACGCTCTACCGTTGAGCTATGTTCCAATTCTGATTCTATTAAAACTAAAAAATTTTATTACAATTATTATTTAATTAAGAATACAATGGATATTTAATTTTCTGTTTATTTTACCAAATCTATCATTATTTCTTATATAATAATATATCCAAAACAATTGTAATTAAAAATTAAAAGTAGAATTGTAATTAAAAATAAAAAGTGGAACAACAGGTATTGATCCTGCTACCTTGGACTGAGGAAGTCCACGCTCTACCGTTGAGCTATGTTCCAATTCTGATTCTATTAAAACTAAAAAATTTTATTACAATTATTATTTAATTAAGAATACAATGGATATTTAATTTTCTGTTTATTTTACCAAATCTATCATTATTTCTTATATAATAATATATCCAAAACAATTGTAATTAAAAATTAAAAGTAGAATTGTAATTAAAAATAAAAAGTGGAACAACAGGTATTGATCCTGCTACCTTGGACTGAGGAAGTCCACGCTCTACCGTTGAGCTATGTTCCAATTCTGATTCTATTAAAACTAAAAAATTTTATTACAATTATTATTTAATTAAGAATACAATGGATATTTAATTTTCTGTTTATTTTACCAAATCTATCATTATTTCTTATATAATAATATATCCAAAACAATTGTAATTAAAAATTAAAAGTAGAATTGTAATTAAAAATAAAAAGTGGAACAACAGGTATTGATCCTGCTACCTTGGACTGAGGAAGTCCACGCTCTACCGTTGAGCTATGTTCCAATTCTGATTCTATTAAAACTAAAAAATTTTATTACAATTATTATTTAATTAAGAATACAATGGATATTTAATTTTCTGTTTATTTTACCAAATCTATCATTATTTCTTATATAATAATATATCCAAAACAATTGTAATTAAAAATTAAAAGTAGAATTGTAATTAAAAATAAAAAGTGGAACAACAGGTATTGATCCTGCTACCTTGGACTGAGGAAGTCCACGCTCTACCGTTGAGCTATGTTCCAATTCTGATTCTATTAAAACTAAAAAATTTTATTACAATTATTATTTAATTAAGAATACAATGGATATTTTATTTTCTGTTTATTTTACCAAATCTATCATTATTTCTTATATAATAATATATCCAAAACAATTGTAATTAAAAATTAAAAGTAGAATTGTAATTAAAAATAAAAAGTGGAACAACAGGTATTGATCCTGCTACCTTGGACTGAGGAAGTCCACGCTCTACCGTTGAGCTATGTTCCAATTCTGATTCTATTAAAACTAAAAAATTTTATTACAATTATTATTTAATTAAGAATACAATGGATATTTAATTTTCTGTTTATTTTACCAAATCTATCATTATTTCTTATATAATAATATATCCAAAACAATTGTAATTAAAAATTAAAAGTAGAATTGTAATTAAAAATAAAAAGTGGAACAACAGGTATTGATCCTGCTACCTTGGACTGAGGAAGTCCACGCTCTACCGTTGAGCTATGTTCCAATTCTGATTCTATTAAAACTAAAAAATTTTATTACAATTATTATTTAATTAAGAATACAATGGATATTTAATTTTCTGTTTATTTTACCAAATCTATCATTATTTCTTATATAATAATATATCCAAAACAATTGTAATTAAAAATTAAAAGTAGAATTGTAATTAAAAATAAAAAGTGGAACAACAGGTATTGATCCTGCTACCTTGGACTGAGGAAGTCCACGCTCTACCGTTGAGCTATGTTCCAATTCTGATTCTATTAAAACTAAAAAATTTTATTACAATTATTATTTAATTAAGAATACAATGGATATTTAATTTTCTGTTTATTTTACCAAATCTATCATTATTTCTTATATAATAATATATCCAAAACAATTGTAATTAAAAATTAAAAGTAGAATTGTAATTAAAAATAAAAAGTGGAACAACAGGTATTGATCCTGCTACCTTGGACTGAGGAAGTCCACGCTCTACCGTTGAGCTATGTTCCAATTCTGATTCTATTAAAACTAAAAAATTTTATTACAATTATTATTTAATTAAGAATACAATGGATATTTAATTTTCTGTTTATTTTACCAAATCTATCATTATTTCTTATATAATAATATATCCAAAACAATTGTAATTAAAAATTAAAAGTAGAATTGTAATTAAAAATAAAAAGTGGAACAACAGGTATTGATCCTGCTACCTTGGACTGAGGAAGTCCACGCTCTACCGTTGAGCTATGTTCCAATTCTGATTCTATTAAAACTAAAAAATTTTATTACAATTATTATTTAATTAAGAATACAATGGATATTTTATTTTCTGTTTATTTTACCAAATCTATCATTATTTCTTATATAATAATATATCCAAAACAATTGTAATTAAAAATTAAAAGTAGAATTGTAATTAAAAATAAAAAGTGGAACAACAGGTATTGATCCTGCTACCTTGGACTGAGGAAGTCTACGCTATACTAATGAGCTATGTTCCAATTAGTATTGTCTTATTCTAATTCTATCTAGAATAAAAATTAGAAATTACTATAATTATTGACAATGTTTCTTTTAAAATATTTTTGAGTTGGGCTCTAAAATTGATTAATATTAATTTCCGAAAAATTTAGATATAAATATATTTTTTAACCTATTACAAATTAGAAAACTTTTGTTTAACAGTAAAATTTTTGATTCTTAAATATTTGTTCATATTTCAGTTAACATCCCATTATTATTAAGCTGATTGTTGTCTAAAATTATGTTATTTTTACTTATTTTAACAGAAGGAATGTTTTACAGCTACTGTATGATCTATATTCAATTTATAGACTTTGGTTTAATCATAAGCAATATCATTAGCTGAATTTTTAAAATGTAATTTTTTTAATTTTAGGAGCACTTAAACAGCATTTTTCTAGATTATAATTAACCAATTCTGTTACAATATTAAATAATATAATACAAAAAATTTATTATCATATCTAATTAGTTATTATGATTAAAGGTATCACTCTATTGCTTTATTACAACTTAACTTACGAATTACTCATTTGTGTAAACTGAAATTCAGAACAAGTTTCAAATTAAATTAAATACGAGTTTTGATATTCTTTGAATTCTTTCAATGCCACATCAATATTAGTGTAGTACACTAGATTCTTACTAAATTCAGTATAAGATTTGCCTATAAAATCAATATAGTAAATTTTTATTGTATTTTTCCCTTTAGTCATTTCAAGATAGTATTTTTTATATTCTACATTGACAATGGCCTACTTTAAAGAAACATTCAATATACATTATCCTAATTCTATTTTATTGCCCATAGTAGTATCAAATATTATTACATCATCTCTATTTTCTATCTCATATTCTGATTAACATAAATAAGATTTTTTGAATAGTTATTTGAATTCTTAATCTCCTATGAATGTACTTCCAAATTATTGATATACTTTATTTTTATGAGAGATTAAACTATTGATATTAGAATTCTCAATTAAATTAACTAATGTAGAATCTTAAGAAGATGTATGATCTAATCTTTATGAATTCTCTTTTGTATCCAATTAATCTTAATATTTCTGTATATCCTTTTTCTTTTTTATGTAAGCTCTCTATTTTTACTTTCTTTCTTTATATGATCTCCTCATTTAATTTAATTTTATGTCACCTTCTCTTGTTTTCTCAATTATTTTGACTTCGATGTCTTTCTTGAATATGCTTTTCAAAATATCAAGTTAACCAATAAACAATCCAAATTCAGACTCTTGAAACTTAATTGAGAAGTCTACAAACTGATCTTTCAATTTAAGATATTGCATAAACATTTAAATACTGTCCTACTTATCTAGTAATATGTAATCTTCAGCCTCACAATTTGAGTCTTCCCATTTTTTATTTTTTTATTATGAACTAACATTTTTGTTTTCAGAATCATCAATTTAGCTGACCTCATAGTGTAGATCAGAGATTTAGCAGTCAAATAAGTGGGAGAGTGTTTTACTAACTTCCATAAATCTTTAAAACTCATTGAGAACTCTGGCTTTTGCAAATTTGATGTAGAGTTTAGAGAATGGATTATTCTTCATTTCAATATACTTGATTAGTTGTTTCTAAGTTAAGAGAGAAGAATTAATGTAATTTTGCATTTAGTATAAATTAATTATTTTAGTAAATGTTTTAATATAATTAATCAATCCATTATTATATGTATATATATGGGTATTAACATATAATAAGGTTAATATTATGCAATGATATGAGAATTGTGTCAATGATTAAGAAATATATTAATAGCGTAATTAATAAGTTAATTAGTATTATGATAATGCGTAATTGCATAATATAGATATCAAATTATTTAAATATTTATTTTACGGTCCATGAGTGTGTCAAAAGTTCAAAAGGTATTCTCATATCATTTATATGACAGTTATTCTTCCGATTTTCCTATTACAAAAATCTAGACCTAAGTAGTCCATATCCGTCCTTCTAAGTAATTATCAAAATCCTAATTTCAAGGCTAGAGATATGACTACTACACACACCATGCATTATATCACTAAACCACCTTGCGATCCAAAAATAATGACTTTCGGAGCATTTCACACTGATCATATGTTAGAAGTTGATTGGACTGAAAAAATGGGGTAATCAAATCAATTTTATGGTTAAGATGGTCACGTCCATAGATTATTCCTTTTAAAAGTTTCTCCATCCATCCATTTGCTGCTTGCTTACATTATGCCATTGAATGTTTTGAAGGAGCTAAAGTATTTACAAATATAGATTATTATTAGGCATACAAAGGACCAAACAAAACTATCAGAACATTTAGATTGGATTGTAATATGTACAGGATGAAACAATCAGCAAAGAGACTCTCATTACCTGACTTTGATGGAGCTGAATTATAAAAATGCATTGAAGGTTTATTGAAAGTGGATCAGGATTGGATACCTGACAGACCAGGATTTAGTTGTTACATTAGACCAACCATTATAGCAACAGAAGAAGCTTTAGGTGTGAGAGCATCGAGCAGAGCAAAATTATTTGTTGTTTTATGTCCTGTAGGTCCATATTTTCCATCTGGACTGAAACCAGTTAGAGTATTTTGTAATACCACAACAGTAATAAATTCAATGATTAATATAGATTCGTTCAGCTCCAGGAGGTGTTGGAGGATATAAAGTTGCAGGTAATTATGCACCAACTGTCATGCCTTTAAAAGAAGTTTAATAAATTGGATTCCACCAAAATTTATGGATGTTACCAGATGGATTGGTTTAAGAGATGGGAGTTTGTAATTTGTTTTTCTTTTGGACTAATAAATAAGGAGAAAGAGAATTGGTTACACCTTAATTAGATGGTACCATATTACCAGGAATAGTCAGAGATTCATTACTTGTAATATATTAAATTTTATTTCAGGAATTAACTAGAGAAATGAATTAATTTAAAGTTATAGAAAAGAAATTGTACATTTAAGAAGTTATAGAAGCAATAAGTGAAGGAAGAGTAATCAAAAATAATATATTAATTTTTAGATGATTGAAATGTTTGGATCAGGTACTGCTGTCAGCATTCAACCAATTGAAGCTATTGGATATAATGATAAAATCTATGAAGTTAAGTATGATCCTAAATTAAATGCTGGTGAGTTGTCCCACAAGTTGTTTGATATGATCACTGAGATTCAAGTATTTTATTATTATGATTATTTCATAAGACTGGAGGCAAACCACATAAATGGATTAATGTTGTGTGAAATTATTTTATAAGTTTATTATTAATATTAGTAAGGAGATTCTTCTAATTATCCACTTTGATAATAAAACTCTTAATCAATTACTATCCAAATCCTAAATTTAATTAAATTTTTTTGAATTATGTAATCTTCTTTGTATCAATGAATAATATTTCCTTTCATATCCATCAAAATATAAAATTTCATGCTATTTATAAATTACATCAGTAAATTTAAATGAGATTGCCTATTTTTCTTGAATGATTATTCAAATACGAAGATAGAATTTGAAGTAGATACAATATCTAAAATAAAAATAAAATAATTATTTAAATCATCAATTTCAATTAATCTAAATACTAAAGTTAAAACCTAACTGAAAAACATTTAAAACAAATTATTTATAATAAACTTAAAATTCATAATGATGTAAATTGTTCATTATTTATTTGTGAATAAGGAAGATTTTAAGCGTTGCTTTAGTTTTAGAGAGATTTTTTACATTATGAAATATTTCACAATAAAATTATTATATGGGATTAGAAAAATTAATCTTATAAAGAATTTCCAAACCCTAGAAGATTAAATAATTATAATTAGAATTCGCATTTTGAATCTTCTGTAATTTTTCAATTTAAACGATATTATTATAATTTAATCAAATTAGATAAAAATTTTTATTAGAATTGCCATCACTGCTAAATTTCAATTGGCAATTATACTTAATAATACTGTTTTTATCTTTTTTTTTTTAGATATATAACATAAAATTTTATAATTTTATTATTATTTTCATTTTTCTTAATATTTTATATTAGTAACTATTATAATTACTTTTTATACATTTCTTAAAAAAATTAATGTAGAGGTTTTCAAATCTCATCATTATACTTTCTTTGTAAATCAAATCAACATATATTTCTATCATAAATTTGATTAACTGTTATATGTTGCAATTTTTAGAAACAAAAAAATCCCTTTATATAAATAAATGTAATGGAACTTTTACTCTTAGAAAGATAAATATATGTTAAATACAACTTCTATTTAGATAATTTATTAAATCTTATACCAAAAATAATAATAGATATAAAATTAAATAATTTGACAATTATACAAAGGAAGCATAAAAATATACTTAATGAAAGAAATAGTAAATAAGAATTATCTTTTGAGATTCTGTATCTTTTGTAAAGGAATAAAAGTAATTGATTTTCTTTTTATGAACAAAATTTATAATAATTAAATTTATATATATAGAAAAATTAAAATAGTTTATTTTCTCTGAATTCAAATTAAAAATTTTGATCTTCGACTTACCCTAATATAGATTTTTATTCAAATATTAATCATTCCTATTTTCAATGTTATAAGCTTAAAAAACTGAATTGAATTGAGTTATAGAACCATTCAATTATATTATAATTAATTATTGATACTCAAAAATATTAATCATTTAGTGTATTCAATCAATAAATTAACATTTTTTTAATTTGATCTCCAAATTATAATGCAATGATTCAAATTCTGAATCTTTAACTTCAATCATATCTATTAATATGGTGGATTAAATTATTTTTTATTATTATAAATATATCAATTAATTTAATAAAATGTTACTTATTAGCGATGACCCTCTGGCTTTGACTTAACCTAAACTTGAATAAATGGAATTAAAATTAACATTTGATGTCTAATTTTTACTAAGTATAGATCTAAATTTCAATTCACCAAAAATCTAATAGGCAATGTTAAATTTAAATATGAAGGAGGAGGAACTTGTTTAAAAAAAGTATTCAACTTTCTAACTACCAGATGAAGAAAATTATTTAACAGAATAAAGATTCTTGTTGCATTTACATCAAATAGCACATAGAAGAAAATTTTTGATTAAAGAGAGAAATAAAATAAAAAAAGAAGAATTAGAATTTTAAAAGTTAGATCAATAAATGACAAGATATTATACACAAACTGATTCTCTTCTTAATTTAAATATTGATAATGCTATTTCTTAATTAGATAAAAAAATAGAATTATAATAACTAAAAAGAGATAGGAATGAATTGATGATGAAAAATAAAATTAAAGAATTAGTTGAAGAAGAATTAAAGTAAATCAAAGAACAAAAATTAAAAGAAGAAGAAAAAATAAGGATTGAAAAACTCAAATAAAAAACTTTGAAAACTGTAAGTGATAGGGCACATTCTTTTAACAAAAAAACAGAATTCATAGCAAAAAAACATTAAGAATTAATATTAGAATAGTAAGAAAAGGCATTCTAAAAACAAAGAGAAATTTTGGAAAGAGAAATGTTAGAGTAAATATACTAATTGACTTAGGTCAGAAGATTTTTCGAGGGGATTGAGTTAAAGTAAAATTAAGTAAAAAGAGAAAGAATTTAAAGATTGTATTAAATAAAAATAAGTTAATGACAGAATTAAATAATTAAAATAATAAGAACTAGAGTAATGTAATTAATTATACAAGAAAATTGAATAAAAGTTAAATAAATCTCATGTTAATCGTATTGGTTAGTATGATAATTAAAAGACAACTAATTTATTAAACTAATCATAATCTAAAATTGAAGAAACATAAAAATATCTTGAGAAATATATAGAAAAATAAAATAGATTCCGTAAAAATTCTTAAAATTAAAATTCTTAAACCTCTCTAACATAAACATCTAGTATAAAAAAACGAGTGAATATACGATAATCTATTGAAAGGGAAAAACTAGATAATTGTTACTCTTTAGAAGACAATTATTAAGATAAAAAGTTAACCAGATTATTGTAGCCTTAATTGAATAAGAATACTAAATCTAGAAGTTTAGTGAATTTAGAAAAAGCAAAATTCTAATAAATAGAAAAAGTTAAAAAAGTTCTAGAAAAATAAAGATCTGGTAGTGTAGTTTAAATTCAAATTAAAGAGAAGAAGGAGATTTTGAGGGATGTTAGTAGAAGTATTTTTTTGAAGAAAAGTTTATACTAAGAACTATAAAATGATATTACTAAAATAAAATAAAATGTTTCTAAAGATTTCTTAGTTAAGTAGATACATAAATTGGATTGTTCTGAATTAGTACAAAAATATATAAAATGAAATGATCATAAAAATTTATTTAATCTTGTTATAATAAAATATATTTATTGTTTTTTTTTTAAACATATTAATAATATTATTTTTAATTTAAGTTTAATTAAATTTTATTTGTTTGAGAATTTCTTTTTTTAAGTCAAGTTAATAACAAATTTATGGATTTATTTTATTGTTTTGATCTTACTTATTTAAATTAGAATATTATATAAATTCTTCATAAAAAAAGTTGTGTACATGAAATACTTCAATATTCTTAATCCCAATTAGGATCTTTAGCCTTCTCTTTTTTATAGACTTGTGCATTCAAATTTTATAACTCTTTCATTATTGGAGTACCTTGTACATCCTTACCTGTAGCTGGCATTTTCTATTGTGGTGGCAAATAAGGAGGTTTCATTTCTTTATCATAGAGTTTATCCTTTTTGAGAAATATAATTATAAAAATACCCAATCAAATTAATCAAACCATTAATTTGCCTTCAAACTGGCATAAGATCCTCCCAATCTCAATTCAGGGGTTTTATTTAGTAATTATTCCATAAATTTCTTAGCTTTTCTGTCTTTAAGAAATTAGGGATAAGATAATTATTTTTTTTAGATTTCTTCATAGATTTCATATGGATCTTCAGCTTCTTCAGCATATGGAACTTATCCACACATAAACTCATACATACAAATACCAATAGACCAGATATCAACAGGGAAAGTATAACCCTTTCCTTATAAGATTTCTGGAGCCATATAATGAGGAGTTCCAATTATTGTATAAGTTCTACCACTTTTGTGATTTAAAAATTTAGCAGTACCCATATCAATTAGTCTAACATATCCTTTTTCATCAACCATAATGTTTTCAGGTTTAATATCTCTATAAACAATTTTTTGTTTGTTTAGATACTCAATACATAAAATGAGTGATCCAATATAAAATTGAGTATCAAAAGCACTCAATAAACCAATATCTCTAATTACATCAAATAGTTCCATTCCTTTAATGAATTCTACTAGAAAGAATACATGATTAGTATCTTAAAAACTACAATAATATTTCATAAGGAATGGATGATGTACAGATGTCAATACTTATTTTTCTTATGCTAAATGTTTTTCTAAATGTTAATCAACAATTTATGCTTTAGATATACATTTCAAAGCATAAAAATGAGGAGGATTATCTTTTGGATTTTTGACTAAATAAACATTTCCAAATTATCCTTATCCTAATTTTTTTAATGAAACAAATTCTTCTAATTTAAGATGAGAGTAATCATGTTTATAACTTTCTTATTTTTTATGTCTAATAAAATATTAAATGATTAATTTACTTTTCACTAATTTTTTAATTTTTATTAATAACTTAATCTAAGGAACCTCCAATGACTTCCTCAAATCTTTTGAAATCAATTTCTGCAAGTATGCATTTATCTTTGGCAATAACTGGGTCACTAAGTTATTACTTGTTGAAGTAAGCATCACCAAAAACTTAACCTTCACTAGCGGCTTTCATTTTTGACCCAGTCTGCCTTAAGTATAAATGTAGATATTACAAATATTATTTCTCCTCTTAACACAATCACTAATTTTTATACTTTTTCTTCAAATATAACAGCACCTTATTCATAATTGAATTAATTCATATTTTATACAATCTTTTAAATTTAAAGTTCAGTTAATTATCCTAAAACTTAATGTTTTTAAATTGCCCATATTTATTTATTAGTAAACATAATAACTTATATTTTATCACCTAAAATTTTAGTTAATTCATCTCTAGTAATTACAAGACATCTCACATCTTCATCAGCTGCTTTTACTGTAGCACCTCTTGTAGAATTTTAGAATAAAGCCATTTCTCCAAATGATTCACCTTTTTTCATCTTTCTAATCTCATTATCATTTTAAATCACTGATACAGATCCCTTTTTAATAATAAAAAATGATGTTGCTGTTTCACCTTATTATACTATAATCTCTCCTTTTTTAAATTGAACTGTAAATAATACACTTGAAATAGCTGTTCTTTAATCAAAAGTTAAAAATTCTATTGGATGAATTAGATACTTTACCAAAAGATTTTAAATTTTCTACAAATTGTCTATTTTCTTCAAATTCATGCATTCTCATATCTTCTATCATTTTTCTAAACAAATTTCTATCAATTGCCCAAAATGCACAATCTCCTACTGCTCTTACAGATGCAGATCTAGGTGCATTATATAATAGTGCTCTCTCTCCAAATGAATCAGATTATTTTAAAACTTTCTTTACTTCTCCATCTATAATGATCTGACATTAACCACGTTCTTTTATATAAACCAATCAATACCAATCAGAAAAAAAGAACTTGCCTTCAAATCTCCTTATCTAAATACGAATTGACCATCAGGTGTAGTACAATAGAACATTTATTCTAAAATAGCTTCCCTGAAGAAATATTATATATTTTTACTGTTCCTATTGAGAAAGTGATTAAAATAGAGAATTAGTATTGAATGAATTTAGAATAAGTTAGTAATCGAAAGGTGATTTCTTTTTATTACTTTTTTAAATGTTTTCTACTATTTCCTCTTGATCCTAACGAGCTTCAACCTTAACCAACTTTTTTTTGTCATTACGTTTAAGCTTTCATCATATAGTAATTGATACTTCCACTTCTAATTTCTCAACAACAGCATCTGGTTCATACTCTCCTTTGTTTCCAGTAATTCTCTTTTTTTAGATAATTTGTGATCCTCCTCCATGATTTTATGATATGGTTATTGTATCTCCTTTCTTTTTTGGAATTAAACTATTGAGTTCATTTTCAGCGTCTTGTTTCTTACAAACACTTCCCATCAGTTAATTTAATTTTTGAATGAATATTAAATCAATAAGAAATTACATCCTAGGTAAAACTATTGGAGAAGGAACTTTCGGATAAGTTAAATTGGGTCAACATACTATTACAAATGAAACTGTAGCCATTAAAATATTAGAGAAAGATAAAATGAAAGAAAATATTGATTACGAAAGAATCTCAAGGGAGATTAATTGTCTAAAGAAACTACGTCACCCAAATATAATATAGATCTATGAAGTAAAGATCATAAATATTTGAAGATAGTTGAAACAATAAATTCTTTATATTTGATTATGGAATATGCACCTGGTGGAGAATTGTTTGAAGTTATAATTAAAAACTAAAGATTGAATGAAAAAGAGACAGCAGAGTATATGATGTAAATTCTCTCTGGAGTTCAATATATGCATGATAATTATGTTATGCATAGGTAACCATAATTAAATATATTAGAGACCTAAAACCTGAGAATCTGTTATTAGATGAAAATAACAAGATCAAAATAGTAGATTTTGGTCTCTCAAATCAATTTAAAGATGGCCAATTACTCAAAACTGCATGTGGTAGTCCTTGTTATGCTGCTCCTGAAATGATTGCTGGAAATGAGTATGATCCAAAATCTGCAGACACTTGGAGTTGCGGAGTCATTTTATATGCTATGGTAAATGGTTACCTTCCTTTTGAAGATAACAATACAAGTTAATTGTATAAAAAAATCATATATGGTGAATATGCTACTCCAAAATACATGAGTCCTTTATGTAAGGATCTTCTTGAAAAAATATTGTAAGTAGATCCTCTCAAAAGATATAATATTTAATAAATAGTTAAACATTATTGGATTTAAACATGTATTACTAATCCAATTTTAACTCCAGGATATGGATAAATCAATATTTGTGAAGAAGTTTTGCAATAATTAGCTAATTATAATTTTAAATTGTCTCAAGCATATGCCTATTTAAAAGCCAATAAACATGATCAAGTGACTACTACCTACTATTTATTGTTACAAAAATATTTAAAAGAAAAATAAAAGGATCAAGATGAGACATTACAATATAAATTAATTTAAATCCCTCCTCCACAACATCCATAAGAAGCTATCCTTAAAGAGACATCTAATATACAATCCTAAAGGATTAGTTAGGTTGACATTAAAGAAAATAAAATATCACTTAAAAATAATCAAGAATAGAAATCTACCAATTCTTTAAAAAATTTCAATGTTCAAAATTCTTAATAAGATAGGATATCATAAATACCAGATGTTAAAAATTAGAATTAGATTGAAGATATTAATGAAAATTTCAATGAAATCTAAACTTTAATCAATCTATCACAAATTAACACTATGAATAATAATTAATATGAAGGCAATCATGATTAACCATAAGATAATGATGCAATTACTAATTATTAATTAAATGTATCAATTTAGAATCCCTATCCTGAAAGAATATCAATGTAAACATCATTAAATAATACTCCAAACTATTCTAATTATAATTAATATGATTATAATTCTAGAGTAAGATAGGTTTCATTAAGTATTGAAAAAAAACCTGAAACCTTATTTCCTACTGTTGAACAAATCAAATTAAAAGCCATGCAATTTAAATAAAGAGCCCTTGAAAATGCAGATCATTCCCCTGCACCTTAAAAACCAAGAACATTGAAAACTCCTTAAAGATCTGCTGTTTATAGGGCTCAAAATATTAATAATTAACATTCTTATGAGAGACCCTAAAGTCCTTTGATTGTTGTAAGGTAACATGAAGGTCCTTATCATCTCAATTAACTTGTTTTTGTAGATCCATAAAAATTAACTTAAAAAATTATATCTCATCTATAATAATAAAATTTTGATATAAGAAGAAGCAAATTTGAATTGAAGATAAGTAAATGTGATTTTGTAATGACATTAACAATGGCTCTTTTATGTGACTATGTTTATGTAATAAAATGTTAAAAAATACAAGGAAATTCAGAAGAATATGAAAAAATTTATAAATAAATAATAAAGTTGAGATGAAAATTTATGTGATATCATTCTAATATACCACTACTATTACTATCTTATTAAGATAATTATTATTTTTCAACATTTGGTAAATCTGAAATACTTATAGAATCTTTTTATTCAAATTTAATGTTTTTAGGCAATGGATTTATAATGTTGAATTTGATTTATTATTTTTTAACTTTTTATTGCTCTTTTTATTTCTTAATCTTCTCTAATAATTCAACTAATTTTTGTTGTAATTAAGTGTAATCTTCATTTTCAATAGTTTCCTCTAAGACTTCAATTTCTCTCTCTTTTCTATATGTTCTTCTAAATCCACCTAATCTAGGCAAATTCTTAAGTTTACTTGCTTCAATATATTGATTACTAACATTTTTGAAAATTGACTATTATTTTTGAAAAGGAGAAGGTTTAGGGAATTTAGATTGGGTTGAATTCCTTCTTGGTGAATTTTAAGGAGATTAAGCATTAGAGAATGCAATATGGGGATGCATGGACATATTTGGTGAGTTTTTATTTGAACCTTCTGATTCATGAGAGACCTCATCAATTTTAATAGAAGGTTTAATAAAATTAGATCTTACTGAAGAGATTAATGGAGTATCAGAACTTGGAATTTCATTAGTTGAAGATATCTATATAGATGGTTTTCGTTATTCTTTTCTTTTAGGACTACATCTGAGATTCTAACTAATATATCTAACTTATTTAGTTTGAGTAGAACGGTTTGGTTCTTCACTTTAAATTCTTTGATTAGTTTTTGATTATTAAGTTTAATCAAGATCTTCATTAAATTAAGATATTGCTATAGGAACTTCACCATATAATTTTATTTTATGTTCACTATCTCTTTTTAATTAATCTGGAATTGATAATGTAATTAATTTTTCTGGTTCTTCATTTTTTTTTTGGCTACTATCTGAAACAACAAGATTTTTTTGGGAAGTATCTTCTTAGGTATGTAATCTAGTAGTTAGTGTTTCTTCAGGAATTAAATGATTAGTTTTCTTTTTAAAGAAACCAAATTTACTTGATCTCATAGATTTCATATCTTATTCTGATTCTTCACTATATTCTATGAAATGAACAGATTCTCTTTATTTAATTGATTTATATATAGATTGAGTTCTCTTTTTGTTAAAAAATTCTGATGTTTATGATAAACCAGTTAAATCTTATAATTTTTCAATTGAATCTTTTTCTCTTTTTAATTTTTCTAATGAAATAGCTTTAATTTCTTCAAAATATTCTGGAAATGCTTGCAATATTTTTTTAAATACATCCTATTCAATTGCCAATAATTCACATTCTAATTCAGCTCTAGCTGAATGAAATCTTGCACTATTATCAAATATTTCAATTTCACCAAAATAACTACCTGTTACATATGTTTTAAATGTGATTGAATATACTCCAATAACCATATTTACTCTTCCATTTACAATGAAATACACTTAATTAGGATATTCTCCCTTATTATATACAAATTCACCAGCATTAATTTTTAAAGGCTATAATTTAGGAATTAAAGTAGATATAAATACTGAATCTTTATTTTTGAAGAATGATACTCTATTTTTAAGACCAGCATACATTGCTTAAGCAATTTAATATTTAAGATTTGTAGGTATTTCAGATAGAAACTCATCTACTTCAGCAGATGAAAATATATTTATCATTGAATTATATTCCAAAACTTTTCTTATTTTGTGTTTCATTTATAATGATAATTTAGTTTCTTCACAAAACTCATCCATAAAAGTAATTTTGCTTTGTAGATGAGATTCTCTTGTATCCAATGTTCCCATTAAAGTGGAAAGGGAACCAACAGTAAATGAATAGAAGCCAACTCCAAAAAACATCCAAAATATACATACAATTCTTTCAGCTATGTATAATTTATATTTTACTATCATTAAAAGCATGGATATCACCAAATCCTACTGTACAAATAGTAGCTACAGCCCAATAAATAGAAGTTAAATATAATTCATATTCACTTTTACTGAGCAAATCTAATTCATATACCCAAGTATTTGGTCCAAAATTATTCATTTTAGCAACTAGATACCAAAGACAACCCATTATATGTACACAAACAAGAACAGTACCAAAAAACTTGAGTACTCTAACTGTTGTTGAATTTAGATTTATCAAGTCTTGAATTGCTGAAAAACAATCATTATGATTTTATGAATTTTAAACAGTTGACCACATTCTGCTAATACTTATCAATTTATACATCCTAGGTAATCTTGTTAATCTATTATATTGTCTTTAATAAATATTCATACTTAAAATATTGAGATAACTTTTGAGCTTCATTCTCAAATATTTAATCAGTTGGAAATATAGCCATTAAATCAAATATTAACCATGTTTTTAAATACTAATTTGCTATTTATTAACGATCAATTATAAGGACTCCTTCTTCATTAAAATAAGCTGTATTAAAAGTAATTAAGATGTCCAAAAAAAATAATATATCTACAATTAATTCCAAACTAAACCATATTATATTAAATTCTTCTATGAATGCTAAACGAATTGGAGTTATAAAGGCTGTGTAAATTAATAATATCATCAGAACATATTGCCAATATTTCTTAAACTTTGAATCTGGTAAGAATAGATGCTCTAATATAATCATAGATTATAATTTTACTGTGTTTCTGTGGCATTGGTTTGCTTATTTATTAATTCTGTTTGTTAAGCATTTATTCCAGTTCCTAAATAACTTCATGTCTTTTTATTGAAGTCTCTACTCTACAGCTTGTACCATACAATTTTACTTCGTCATATAATCTTTTCATTCTACCAATCATACGTAATTCTTAAAATAACTTAATATACTACTTTTCCTCACTCTATCCCATTTCTTCATTAGGTTCTATTCAAATATTTAATTGCTTTTCTCCTTCTATCTAGCTATTGTCAGATCTTCCTATGCCAATTATCTTTGTCTCTCCTTTAATTATTGAAAAACTTCAAAATCACTTTAATTAAATTCAAGTATATTGACATCTTATTGTTATTTCTCTGTCATGAATGAAGTAAAATATTTTTGAAAGGCTTTTTGTCTATTCTTTTGTACATCTAATTTTGACTCTTCTATTTCTGCCATCAATTTATTATTTTCCTACCCTTCTATTATTCTTTTAAAATTTAGACTATTGATCTGAACTTACAATTTCTTTTCTGCTTAAACTTCATCCTTATGTAATGGAAGGATTTTATCCATGTATTCTAACTTATTCAATTACTCAACCATAAGTTACTTCTGTATTTATAATGAGTCCATTAAAAATATAAATTATTCAAAGTAACTTCTTTAAAATTACTATAATATATAACTTATAATCCATTTCACAACATTTCTTAAACTTCCTAATCAGAAAAATACTTATATTTTTATTTATCAAAATAAAATGAATTCTCAAATTTTTATTCAAATTTTATGTGCATCCTTTTTAAAATGATCGCTAATCATTCAAAATTAACTGATTTTTCCATTAATTACTTAAAAAATAATCGATTTTTCTAGAAATTAACAACTTATTCAAAAATTCATTCATTTTTATCATAATTCCATTTTAAGTCAACTTGTCAAGAATATTTTTAATATAGAGTAATATTATTAATTTAAAATATTAACAATATAGTAGGATTATCAATGTATAATAAATTCAAAAATTATCATTGTTATTATTTAAACCTTCAAACATCCAATTAGTTTCTTCAATATATTTTAATTGTCCCCTTAAATCATTTTACATTTTCTATAGTTAATCTTTTTCTGTAAATTATTTTGCTTATTAAATTTAATTTTGATTCATTTCTATTTATTATTATTTATATTACTTCCTGTTTTAGTATAGATTCTTTAGCAAACATCATGTCTAAAATCATCATCCACATTATATTTTGAATTATTTTATGGTGGTGTGTCCATCTAAATAATTATTAATATTATTTATCATAATCGTTATAATTTAAACTAAAATAATTTTAGTAAAAAATCTTATTATTCTTAATATAAAGTTCGTATATTTAATTATTCATCTCTATATTTGAAAAAGGAAAATGATTTATATTAAATAATTATTCAATTAAATCAATTAACATATTTAGGTGTTCTTGGTCTAGCTTATGGGACATTCTTTTTATCTTATGATTTTAGTATTTGAAATGAACACATCAAAGTTTCATCTACACTCATAAGTGCTCCTTTAAATCATTAAATAATATAAAACCTGAATTATCAAATTCTCCACAATAATTGGGTGCTGAGAAGATAGTAACTAATTGTCTCTTAGCAAAGAATTCATAACCTTCTTCAACAACTTAATGAGCTCTACAAACTAAATCTAAATCATTTTTCTTCAAAAAATTGGAAATAACATCTTATCCAAAAATGTATGAAACACCTCTTTCATTTTCTAAAATAGATAATAATTTAGAGTTACCTTGCCATCCTTAAGCATCTTTTTCAGGATCAGACCATAATAAATCACATAATAATCCTGTATCTGGTACTTCAATAGGTCTCATAATCCTATGTATTTATTCTAAATTTGTTAATTCAGGAGATAATCCTCCATGCATACAAATAATCTTTTCGTCAATGACTGCACATACAGGTAAACAATTGAAACAATCTGTAAAGGTTTTCCATAATTTAATATTATATCTTCTTTTGCATTCATCATAGAATCCATATATACGATTAATTTAAGAGCATTCGTGATTACCTCTAAGTAGAAAGAAATTCTCTGGATATTTAATCTTATAAGCAAGTAGTAGACAGATAGTTTCTAAAGATTGTTTACCTCTATCGACATAATCTCCAAGAAATAAATAATTAGCCTCAGGTGGAAATCCCCCATATTCAAATAATCTCAATAAATCAGTATATTGTCCATGAATATCACCTTTATATAAGTATAGTATTTTACCACATATTTTTATTGGTGCTTCCAATTCTAGTAACATTGGTTGAGTTAAGAAAATCTCTCTACTTCTAACACACAATGATCTGATTTCGCTTTCTGTTAGATTTACTGGTTTTCCACTACGAGCTCCTTTGGTTTCTAACAATTTCTCTAAGATCTATGATGGAGATATAAATAACCTTATCTACATCAATGTCCTTATCCATTATTATTATATATTAATATTTTATGAAAAGAAACAAGACTGAAAACTAGTATTCATATTCACTTAAATAGATTCACCAAAACAAATTATATACGTCTATTGAACCTTGACAAGATCCATTAATCAGTACCAACAACTCCAAGAAAAACAAAATTCAAGTCGCTTATACCTAATCATCAAGATGTTTAGAATCATCCAATTTTATTAAGTTAATTATTATGTGATATACCATTCACTCATACTCAAGTAATACAAATACCAACTCTATCAACTTCTAATAATTATTATTGTAAAAGTACAACTAAAACACATACTCCTTCTGCTTCTTAGAATATGTACACTAAAAAATTACAATTAAATCATAAACCATAAAGATTTGTAGTTAAATTGAATAAAAAAATTCCAACAATTCTTTCTAAAAAATCCTAAATTATTACATCTTAAACTTATCGTCCAAATTAAACAACCACCAAATTTCATTCATTAACTATAGATCCAAAATATCAACTAATAAATGAAATTACTAAAGGAGATATCAAATCTGAAATCATTTCCAAATAAATTTAACCATAGCAACAATTAGTTACTCAATTTACAAGTCCAAATTAATTCTCTAGATATAGAGATTGTTCAGAAATTGATGATTTTAATGTAAATAAAATTTGTATACAAGAACAAACTTTATGGAAGTAAATAAATAAGAGGATTACTAAATTTTCAAAAATTTCCATCTGAAAATATACCATTAAAACATAAATACAAAACAATAAGAGCATCTTTGATTTAATATTTGAGACATTTGGAGAAACTTAAATTAACAACTAAAGAATTTTTATCACATAAAGTATTTCCTTCAAAACCATTTGAACACATTTAATCAAAACATTTCTTTTAATTATGTAAATAAGGTTAAGATTAAGAGATCATTAAATTCTTAGATAATAATAAATATTTAGTTTATGAATATGATCATTTACTCATGACTACTCTACATTGGTGTGCTATGAGAGGTTTAGAATCTACTGCTAAAATATTATTAAAATATGGAGCAGATCCAGATTCATAAGATATTGTAGGAAGAACTCCTTTATATCTAGCTTTGATCCATAAATAAAATAATATTGCCTATTTTTTGATTCTTAACAAAGCTGATCCTTGGAATAAAATGAATCTTAATTATGAGGAATCAGTTATTGAGAATCCTGAAGGTAAAACTATGTTGCATTAAACTAGAAGGGTAATATTATTATATATTATTATAATTTATTAGACTCACATTTTACTTCGTATGACTCCAGCTGATTAGAGATAATTCATTTGGCAAAAGGAATAGTTGGAAATGTATGAACCTAAGAAGAAAAAGATTGCTTCTTTATAATGAAAATGTCTTTAATTTTATACTAATGTATCATACCTAATAATAAATTCTTTTATCCAAACAACATTCATATTTAATTTTCACATGACTAATTAATTAGGAGTAGGTTTTGGTGCCTACAAATTCCAAACTATCATAAACAATGAAATGAGGGTAACCAAAGATTCTGTTCATCGTACTCGAATCTAAACAGAATCAAGAAAATCAATATAAGACAAGTGTAAATACTAATTCCAAAATGCAAAGAAAAAAATTATTCAAAAGCTCTAAGATCCTAATGAAAGAGAACGTTTTAACACTCTCATTCAAGTAGACAAAGATTCTGATGATAGTCTATCTGGTGATCCAGAAAATTAAGCAGCTTATTTACTTTAATAAAAAAAGAAAAAAGAAAAAGAATTTGAACTTTATGTTTCAGAATCAAGCAGTTTCAGTGGAATTGATTCTGATGATAGTCTTAATGAACCTAATTAAGAAGATATCAAGAAGTCTTAAATCTATGAAGAAGAAAATAAATTAGCAAGTTAAAATCTTAAAGCTTTAAATACTCCTACTATTCTTAAATCCCCTCAAATTTCTTAAGTAAAATATTTATTTAATTCTTATCTTAGTCAAGAGCATAAGTTGCTTTGTAGAAAGTTAAAGCAATGAAGAATACTAGATACCCAGTAGTTAAAAAAGACATTGATTTCTTAAGAAGCTTATGTTAAAATTAGAACTTTGTTAATAATGAAAAAGCTATTTTAGAAGAGTATAAATTAGACAAAGAAATTTGTGTTGATATGGATTGCTAAGACATTGTTACATTCATGAGACTTCAACATGAAGTTGAAGAAATGAGAAGAAAACAAACTGAATTTAATACACAAAAGGAAAGACATTATGAAGTAACTAAAAATCTTCCTAAAAAATCAATCAATAAATCAAATACTAAAGCCGAAGACAATGGATTTTGCACTGTCATGATGGCCAAAAGATTTATTAAAACTTTGAAATTAAAAGTTGAGTAAAAACAACCAAAACCACCCATTTAGGCTATTAATCTTCTTAGAAAAAGCACAAGGGGTTCAACTTTAAAAACTTAATTTTGAAAATCAATCAATCTCATTTTTTATCATAATTATTATATTATAAATCTCATAAGATTATTTATATATAGTATAAGTTTTCTCTTAAATTAACATGATCCTTAAAATATAATTGATTAATCTCAATTAATTAAATATGGTCATACTATAAATCAACAAATATATTTCAACAAGATATTTAAATTATTGATTATATTACTGAAAAAAGATCCATTTTTTAAAATATTCTAATATTAATCGATATATATATATATTTTAAATTAAAACCAAGAATAGCATAAATAGCAATTAATAGAAAATAATAAATATATATTATTTATTTATAAATTAGTTTATTTTAATATATATTAGAAAATAAAATAGGATTATAACATGTTATTTAATATTAAGATATTTAAAATTAATCATTTTTCTATTTAGTAGAGAGTATATTATTAAGAAATGATAAAAGAAAGTGAAATTTTATTAATAATATTTCATTAATTAATTTAAATTTTTCATTTCAATAGCATTATTTGTATTCAACAAAAAATTTCACACAATTTAAGAAGTTTATTTTAGTATTCATCTTTCTATCCATCATTATTTGTTTATTTTTATATACTATTTCCAAATTTAGAACTATCAAATACTTTTCTTACAAAATTTGCTACTCCTTTGAAACACAAATATTGAATAAAATTAGGAAATTATATCAAATTCTACAATTCCTATTAATCATATTATTCAAATCTATAGATTAACATCAATAAACCTATTATATATATTTATAGTTATACATTCAACTTATTATTCATTCAATAAGTAGTTTTCACACTCTAAAATTATGGAAACAACATCTTACTGTAGTAAAATAGGTAAATAATTCTCTTGAGCATGATAAATTAAATTTCGCAAAGCTTGTAAAATTTCATAGATTACTTCAACCTCATGCTCTTGTCTTGCATATTATAAGAATTAAATAACAGTTCCATTTTAAAAATAGTCAACTTTATCATAAGAGATTTCTCCAAAGATATTTGAAAATGCAAAAACAGTCATTCTTCTTACTTAAGGTTATAATTTTAAGTTTTAAAGTAGTTTTTAATCTAATGATAAATTTTCAGTGCTAAATTTATCAAAATAGTATTTTGATTAAGTTAAATTACCAGACATCAATACTCCTATAATAGCAATTGCCATAGATTTTTCATCAGGATATGAACTTAATTATGAATTAAATGATAATTAATTGATTAATTCAATTGTGGAAATGTTAAATAGAGTTTTATTTCTATTTAAATAATCAATATAATTAAGTAATTCATCTCCTATTAGAATTTCATCCAAAGATGTTAGATTAGTAAATAATGTTAAAAAATATCTATTTATTTGATATTACAGTGCCACTTTATGAACTTATTCTATTCTTAAGGTTAAAAATAAATCTATAATAATTTATATTATTTGTTTATATTAATATTCCAGATTTTTTGATATTTGGATTTGGGCATTTATTTATTTAATGATTTCACATATTTTATCATATTATAATGAATGCTCTTAATGAGATTAAATAAGGACTGTTTATTTGAGAAATTCCAATTGATATTAAATAGATAATTAAGTTACATTAGTCTATAGATTATTGTATAAAGTCGATTTACAATAAGAGTCACAAAATACCATACTTTTCTAACAACCTAATGTAAGTAAATCTAACATTTCAATAAAGCATGGATTATCCTTATTATATAACAAAAAACAATATATATTCCAAAACTTATTTCCTAATCCTTCTAAGTCAGGTTTTGCTAAATTTTCAATACATTTTTTCATTTCTGGTAATATTTACATTATATTAGCTGTAAAAGTATTTAATTCACAATTAGGGCAATCGAAATCAAAGTCAGTTAAATTATCATTCAATTATTGAATTGCCACCTTTACTTTCAATTTTAATTCATTTATTTATTATTCTTCCATAATAATTTACAAGAACCTTTTTCTATTCTCTTAAAACTAGTTCAAACGCTACTATGAATGCAGCATTAATCGAAACTAATCTCTCTTTAGTTTAGTATTATCCATAAGTTTAATTAGAGAAAAATATATAATTTCTTCAAATTTTTTGTATTAAATAAATTACTATATACTTGTAATTATTAGAAGTAACAAAGATTATATTGATATATACATGCTAAAAGAATATAAAAAGTAATTGATCTACATAATTATTTAATTATTTGTTTTTAATCTTAATTTTATAAGGGTGTATTTATCAATCAAAAAGCACCAAAATAATTAAAAATGGAACTTGATTTCAAAATCAATAAGATCTTAAAAATTTATTTTATTTGCATTATAAATTATCAAAAATTATAAGTATTATTATATTATTTTGTTAACTTTGAAAATAGAATTAACAATAATTTAGACATTTGTTAATAAATATTGGTATTCCTTATGATTTCAATTAATATAAGAGTAATTTGATGATGCCTAAGATATTTAAGAAATGAGTTAAATGGACTTAAGTTCTAAATCAAAATTAAAGTAATACTTTATGTTTACAATATTTAAATAAAATAGAAATAATATCAATATCAATGTTTGAATTTAATACACTCTTCTGAGGGTTAACTTTTTTATGAGAAGGTCACTCGAGTAGGACTCATTGTTCCAGAGTTTATGCTTTATCTCTTAAAAGAGGATCTCTATTTGAATTTAGAGTCAGTCATAGAGTTTCTGAGATTAGATGGTAAAATAATTGAAGATTTTCGTTGCATTTATTTCTTTCTAGATTCAATTTCATTTTCTTTCATTGTAATTTGTTCTTCAGTTTCATGAAACCTTCTATTTAAATCCTTAAATGATTATTAAATATTCTTTAGCTACTTTTCATATTTGAGAAATTGTGTATCATTATCTTAATCTATCATGTTTTCATATTTAACATCTAATTCTTCACTTTCCCATTTTAATTCATTAACCTTTTTATTCTTGTTCCTATTCTTAATAGGGACTCATACTTTAATAATATTTCTAATTATTATATTTCAACCTCCATATCTGCTATTTCCTGTAAAGGTTCTACTTTGAGAATCACTGGTTTTTTATTAGCTTGTTATGCTTGAAACTTTATTTCAAATTCCAATTGACTTTTCTATCTGAGTAGCATTATCTCTTTGGCTTTCCAATATCGTTCCACTTCATCAACAGAGGTAATATAAAATGGTTTTTCGATCTTCACTACTTCATGCAATAATTCCTATTTAAAATTTGGATATATCTTCATATCTCTTCTTGGCTAACTCTAATACTTTTGATAAGCATCCAATCCTGAATGAACAAATACATGTGTAGATGATCTTCTATCATGTTTAGATGATACTATTTCATTAGTAATATCCTTAAGTATAATTATTTGATACTTATTTAGATGCAGATACATTTATCTATTTGATGTCACTACGATTAGATGTTAAAATTGATATAGGTTGATGATTTTAAGAATCCCATCCATTAAGCAACGAACTATTCAAATTTAATGTAGAGTAACATGATGATCTATTATTATAGAATGAATGCATTGAATTTGATCTTCCTTCATGTTTGAGTAAGTCTGATAATTTTTGAGAAGGTGAAAAAATTGACATTTAAGATAAATTAATATTATAATATATATTATTGTAAACTAAAAATCTGCTTATTATTTAGATACACTATTAGAATTTTAAATATATAATGCTTGAATAAGTAATAATTTAATTTTGAAAAAAATTTCAAATTGAATCACTTTTAATTAACATTATTATCAACCAATTAAACGATATCTAAGATTATCTTCAAAATTGAATTTAGTTAACTTTGGATTTTATTTTAATTTATAAGCATTAATAAAAAATGGATTATTTTCATCATTAAATTTACTAAAATATTTATAAATAAATATACCTATTTCTTAAATTAGATGGATTACTACTCTATGGAATTTTAACTAATTTATCTATATATGATATAGTCTTAACTCTTATCTCTTCTTCTCTCAAAGGTGTAATAGAGAAAGCTATAATTAATAATGTAACATTATCAGTAGTTTTTCGTAATAAACTTTCTTTGATTACTGATTCCACTGCATTTGACATCATATATGGTAAATCTTTAGTATTTTAATTACTTTAAACATCCTTCCAAATTCCATTTATTACATCTTTTGAACTCATTGTGTCAAATATACCATCACCTAATTTAATTTTATATTTTATGTTTACTTCCTAAAACAATAAAATCATGTTCATTTATAATCTTAAATTATTTTATTTCTGGTTCAGCTATAACTATTTTTGGATTCCCACCAAATTTCTCTAATTTAGCTTCAATATCTCCAAAAGTTCTTGATACAGATAATCTTCCAGGATTTACTCTTACAGGTCCTAATATTGGTTATCCATCTTCATTTATTCCATGAGTTTAATACACTTATCCTCCTCCTTTAATTATTCTTTCTTTCTCTAATTCTGGTTTATGATCTTTTGAAAGATCAATAACTTTTTTTCCATTTTCTGCACTCAATATAGCTCTACTATCTCCTACATTTGCTACATAACAAGTATCACCAATGATTAATACTACAATTGCACATGATCCACTTCTTTCTGGAATGCCTTTATTGAATGAATCTTAAGCCATTTATAAAAAGCATTTTTCTGCTGCTTCAAATCCTTTTGTTATAGCATTAATAGGATTCCATGGAAATTCTGGTTCCTTTACTACAAATTAATGTAAATTATCTCTTAAAAAATCTGAACATGCAGAACCACCATGTCCATCATATACTCCAAAATATGAACATTTTGGCCATTGTTCATTTTCTCTACTTTATGGTTTTATAATGTTTAAGATAATTGAGACTCTATCTTCATTGTAATCTCTAACTAATCCTTAATTTGTATTTGCTGCATAAGCTTTTATGATTCCATTTTTCAAACTAGAACATCTAGTTGGTTCATAATTGGGTAAAGTATTTTATCTTAGAAATGAAGTTTCTTATAAACTCTTATATTAAGTTTCATTGGCTTTAGAAGAGTAAGATTATTTCTTAATAGGGGAATAATCAAATTGTTTGGAATAAGTGAGATTCAAATATTCAAATGGTTTTTTAGTTTATTTATCTAATATTGGATAGTTAGTTAAAAAAGTATTGATATCCCTGTTCTTGAATGTCCCTTTATTATTCATAATTAATTTAATTTGAATTTAAACATGCAACGTATAATTTAATGACCTTATTCAAAATTAATATTATTAGTGAAAAAATGTATAATTAAACAAAAGTAATAAATATATTATTGCATATACAAATGTATATATATAATTATAATAATAATATTTTTAATAATAAAAATTATTGTTTACAAAATGTCTTTCACACCTCCTAAATCATCAAGCAAGTTCCAATAAATGATAAACTTACCATTTGTAGATAAATTCTAAAAAACATTCAGCGATGTTGAAATGTAATGCGTGCAAAGAAAATTAGATTTTGGTGAAATGGATTTACAATCAAAAAAGTCTATTAATACTTTTAGAATAAACAAAATACATAAACCAACAATAGGTAAACTAAGATGAATTACTTTATTTATATATATATTAATACTTCTTACTATAATGATTAATCTATTTATTTTAAAATTTAATGATTACTAATAATGTAATATTGAAGTGTGGTTAATAATTTTTAATATTTTAAATAAAAAGTACTCTAAAATTAAGTAATAATGAATTTTGGATTGTAGCCAACTACGCTTTTAACTACCTAACCTAACACATAATAAGCACCATCAATCTTTGGTTAACGTAATACTATAATTAATAAAAAAGCTCAAACATTACCAACAATGTAAACACAATAAGGAGGATTATAACCATAACCATAACCATTAGCAAATTAATAATTATAGCCATAATTGACTACAACAATTGTATAACCTCAAAATCAAACACTAAAGAAAGGTGAATTCGAAAACCTAGTTAAGTATTATAAGGAAAAGCCTGAATTGGTATTTATGATTGGCTTAATATTAATAGACAAAATAATAGGAATTATAATTATTTGTATTGCAAACTAAGTATTTAAAAAATAGAATATAGAAAAAATTTCAAAAGCAAATAAATGTTAAACAAACTTAATGTAATATATTTTATATCATTATTTTAGATTTATTAGTTGACACTCTCAGTTAAAAGGTGTGTTAATTATTTCAAAAATTTAATTTAAATGAACGTAATTTAGAATATACAAAAAAAGATGAATTATAAAGATTGAGTCAAAGAATCAAAGCTGATTAAGAAAAATAAAATTTATTATTTTAATCTCAAAATAAAATCAAAGAATTATATTCATAATAGGTATCAAACTATTTGGAACTTAATAATAAATTTTAAATAAATAAAAATGTAAAATATCATTATATATTATTTAGATGATAAATACAATTTAAAAAAAAGAAATACTTACATAGAGTAGATAAACTAAAGAATTAATAAATTTATTACATGATAACAGAGCAGAATATGTCTAACCAAAATCTGTTTCAATTAAATCTATTTCTTTTAATACTCATAATTAATTAATAATTGAAAAATTATTTAAAGAATAAGAATTTTATGAAAAATTGGAGCAATTTTTAGAATTTTAAAAATAAATTTAAGAAAATAAATATGTTGATAAAACAGATTATTATGAAACTTTATTTTCTTGTTTTGTGAATATCTAAAGTGATCATAAGGATATAATGAAATTATTATCTCTTTAATTTCAAGGTATCTAATTTCAATCTGATACAATTCAAAAAGATCTTCTTTAGAATTCAATTAAAATTTTAGAATCAGAAATGAATAGAAGAATTGGAATTCTAGATTTAGCTAATATTAATTGTAATTATATATAATATTATTTTAGAGAAATTCAAAGATATTTATTATAATAACTTATCAAAACGTTTAACTATCTAAAGTATAGGTCAATATTATCCAAGTGGAATCTTATTCTTATTAATGAGATGTGGATAATTAAAATAAGCAAAATCAATCATGTTTTAATTTATCAAGAATCTAAAATATTAATTATTTTTTGAACTCTTAGAAGATAGGATGTAATTATTATTAAACATATTTTTAGTTAAACAAATCAATAAAAAATATAAAAACTTGATTAATTTTGTGATGATGATTTATTTGAATAATGTTATTTGATTGCCTTTGATTCAGGATCAGTATCATAAGTATTTGAAAATCAACATTTTACTTAAGATTAAGATTTATTCTTTTGGATGACTCTTAAGACTACTCATATTGTAAATAAAAATGGATGTGATAATTGGACATTATAGGATTTATAAGATGCTATTCCAAGAGATATTGGTTTCAAAATGGATATACATTTATAAAGATATTAGGAAGTCTTAAAAGAAATTTATAAAACATAGAATTCTTTAGTTTCTAAATTAGAATATTTTACATTATTCTTTATTATACAATCTCTTTTAGAAATACAAAATGAAAATACAATAATTGAGATGAATTAAATTTTAAATGGAATTTTAGGACAAGTATTTGAAAAATATCCAGATATTGGAGGATTATTAATTATACTTACTGAACCTGATCTTTCATAAGCTATTGATAAAATATAAGCTGAAATGATGAAATATAAATATGGAGTTGAAGTATTTTAAGATAAAAAATTCTTTGAAAATTTTGAAAATATGTTTGGAGATAATTAAAGAACATAAGATTTTATTGAATCTATTGTTTAAGAACAGTTTTAATAAAATCTTCTTGAATATCATAAAGATTTTATAGAAAATATCATAAAAGGCAATAATATTGTATATTTATTCATTTAATTAGAATGAATTACTAAAAACACACAAATAATTTATTGGAAATATTGATATGAGAATGGAAGAACTCAAAAGTTACTTGGAATTTAGAAAAACAAGTTTTACTAATCTTGCAATGAATTTATACTAAATCTCAGGAATCTTATTATTAACAACTGAATGTTAATTCAATTTAAAGGCTTAAGAATTAAAATTTATTTCTGGTGCTACTCCTAAATTTCTTGTAAAAAACAACAATAACCCTAAATAATATTATAATCTCTTCTCAACTATATATTAAATTGCTGTATCTAATCATAGATAAAAGCACATTTTTGATTTATTATAAGCTTTTAACTTTTTAATTCAATCAAGTAAAATAGAATAATTCAATGAAAATAAATTCAGATAGTATTTAGTGTAAATTGATATATCAAAATTAACCAAGATTTTAATAAATAATAAATAATTGTATTTGTTAAAATTATTCTTTTGGATGATTGAAATTACTCTTGAAATTCATGATAAAAAAATAGATGATTATAAGTATATATATATATAATATTTAAAATAGAAATATGAAAGAAACATTCTAAAGATTAATAAATAATAAATCATATTAAAATGTTGTACTTAATTCCTTATTTTTAATAAATAGAGAAGTTGATTTACATTTTTAAGATTTTAAATTAATGCCAAAATGAATATTATATTTTAGTATCTTTTAAGTAGTAATAAATTAATTTATATTATTGTATATTTTCATACAAATAAATTTTAATAATATTTAATTAATAAAAAGATAAGAAAGTAATAAAAAATAAAAATATATAAATATATGAATGTATATAATTATCATACTCAAACTATTTAAAGTTTTTAGTATTTTCAATTATAATAAGATTTTTTATCAAAATTAAAACTATTATTTAAAGTACTTTTTTGATTTGTACTCTTATTATTATTTTCTTATTTTGGTACTTTTGATCTTTTATTTACAGAATTACTTGTTTTAGTCGAAGTTGGTATCTCATATAATCTAGAGTTCTATCTAAAGTTATTTTGTAATTGCCATAGTTAACTAGTTGGTTTTTGATTACAATCAATCATTAACTTTTTCTGATAATTAGTTAAATCAAATAAATCTTTAGTTGTATGTTTGCTATTACTTTTTTTACGTTCTTCAGTTTGTTTAGTACTATAATTATTGACACTTACATATTCAAAAGAGGAATTAACTTATTTTTATTATAAACTTTTCTTTTATTTAGATTTAGATTATGGTGAGACAGAATCTCTTTAGACACCAGTCTTACTTTTATTGTGTTCAGAAGATTAATGATTTGTAGGTGTCTTTTTAGGAATATGATAAGATATGGATTTAGGTCTCTCTAAAGTATCATCAACAGATTATAATGAGATGATTTGTGTAACATCAGTGGGTATGGCAAATTTCTATTATGGATTAATAGGTTAGTATTTCATTTTATGTGCATAATTAACAAGCATTTAAGTTTAGTCATCACTAATAGCTTATGGTACACTTTTGCCTCTATTTTAAGAATTGCTATTAGTTTATCCATTTTATTATACTGAACCAGATCTATTTTATTTAAAGATTGAAGTGGCAACAATATTAGAAATGGGAGCTAAAAATATATTATAATATATGATTACGTTTTTTAGGTCTTTATTTAGGTTCCAATAAGGATTCTTCGAAAACACTACTATTAATATCAGCTTTTGATTGAATTCCATTAATTAAATTACGTTTTAATGCCAAATAATAAGCAGTTGTAACATCATTGTGTTTATTGGCATCTAAACACTTAATTATGTATTCTTTATCATAACCTTGTTGAGATAAAGAGTCTACAACAGAGTCATCAATAGGCATTCTATTATATCCAACAATGATTCCTGGAGATATCTTAGATTAACTTTAATAGAGATTGAACCAGGGATGTGATTTCATTTATTCAACTGTAATTCTCTTTTTTGGATCAGTTGTTAAAACAGCCTTTATAAAATTGGCACCCTCATTTGATACAAATTTAGGTATAGAATATTCACCATTAAGTATTTTCTTATAAAGAGCAGAAGTATTTTGATCCTAGATTATCTAAATTTAATAAATACTTCAAAGGGCAAATAACCACAAATACTAGCAAATAATATGACTCCACTACTCCAAATATCAACCATTAAACAATCATATTTTTAACCTGCTATCATTTCAGGAGCTGCATAACAAGGACTTCCACAAGCAGTTTTTAATAATTCTCCTTTTTTATATGTATTTCCTAGTCCAAAATCTACAATCTTTATAGAATTATTGAAGTCTAAGAGTAGATTTTCTGGCTTAAGATCTCTATGTACAATACAGAGTTTATGTAAGTACTCAATACCAGATATCAGTTATTAATAAAATTTGCAAGCCTCGATTTCTTAAAGTCGTTAATGTTTGACTATATATTCAAAGAGTTCTCCTCCATTTGCAAATTCCATCACAATGAAGATATGCTTAGGAGTTTCAATAATCTATATATTAAATAGAAATGTATACTTCGTACAATTGAATTACATGTTTATGTCTTATCAATTTTAAAATGTGTATTTCTCTAGACACTCGTTCTACATCTGCAACTTCTACAATTCTCTCTTTCTCCAATATTTTTATTGCCACTTTCTCTTATGATTTCAGATGAACAGCCAACTTCACCTTTCCAAAAGTACCTTCTCCTAATGTTTTAACTATTTATTATTATATTTAAATACTAAGCTAATAATTCCCTATTATCCTTCTATTATTGAGCCTAATACCATTCTTATTCTCTTTGTCTGACTCATTCATTCCAGCTAACTATAAAAATATTTATATTAATAATATCGTTAATAATACACAAATATACTTATTCCACCTTATTAATCATTACTTACATAACCTTCCATTCCTTTACTAATCTTCATTACCTCTATCACTTTCAATAAAATAAAAGATTTTTTCATTTTATTTATTTTTGTGTACCCTCCTTCATCATATTAAGATTGAATCCAGAACCAATACATTATAATTCTAATCATATAACATTAATCAAATATGTAATCTTTTCCATTATTAAATATTATATAGATCATTAATTTACAATATTTTCATGCAAGACAATATATTCGACTTTGTAATTACAGTATCTCAATCATAAAAGAATGAATAAACAGTCTATTATTAACTTAAGTAACTCTAAAACCTATTTGATAGCTTCTTCAATTAAAAAAATCAACTAGTCTTCCATAATCAACATAGATATTCAGAACTTAAAAAGTTTCATCAAGCACTTGAGACTCTCAAAATCACATTACCTTCTTTTCCTGGTACTCATTGGTGGAAATCAGTTAATTCAGATCCTGATTTGATAGAGGAACGAAAACAATAGCTAGATGAATATTTCAAAAGTCTCACTTGCTCTAAAATTGTTAGAGATTCCTTAATTTTTAAGAACTTCATCTTATCAGCACAAAAAGAAGCTGAAAAACGTATCCTTAAAGTATTCATCTTTTATTTATATCAAAAAGGAATAGAAAGAAAAGGCTAGGAAAGCGGAAGGCTATGTTAATTAAAACTAAAAGAAACTCAAAAATATTAAATATTAAACACCTGCTGCCAATCCAGTTAATCTTCCTCCTACTCCTGGGGAATAAAAAGAAAGATCATAATCTTTAGAACATAAACCTTAAAGTAGTAAAATAGAAAAAGATAATAATAAAAGTAGCAAACATTAATCACCTGTAATTAATTATTTATATTAAATATTAATAGATTCTTAATTTCGGAGGATCAAAAATCTTTAGAGGCATCTTATCAAACGCTGCTAAATAATGACGAATTAATTTAAAATTTATTGTGTTTATATAATTGATTGATGTTCAAAGAATATAAAATTTGCACATTTCTTTTATTTGTATAACACAGTCCATTAAGGAGATCAATTTTTATAAGAATTTAGAAATCAAATAAATAGAATACATTGAATCATCATTACCTTATATCATCATCCTGATTTATTTTTGATTATTAATGTTAATAGATTATAATGTAACTGTTCTAAGTATTCTAAAAAAAAAGAGTTATTTGTTTAGAAATTAGACTTAATTTATTCAGAATTTTAGAAATATTCTCTATTTATTTGATAAGATTAATAAACAAATGAATTATAAATAATTTCAAGAGTATCTAAATATATATAGGATGATAATAAACTATTAATATTAAAATAATTATATTTATACAACTATTTTATTAAAAATATAATTTAAATCAATACAAAAACTTGGCCTCAAATTTTCAAAGAGTATAATCAATTTATATAACTATTAAATTGATTATTGCAACTTAGTTGGTAAGATTAATAAGTTATAAGACATATAAATTTGATCTGAAACGTAGATGATCAATAAATAACGGCTAAACTATAATTCATTTGATATTTGAATAAAATGATAAAATATATGATATATTTTGAATATAGTAAGATTAAATATCATTGAATATTATTATTTACAATGTAATAAATGTTAATCCCTACAAGTTCAGGATAGACTTCATTAGAAAACAATACAAACATTCTATATGAATGTATAGTAGAAAGAAGACACTTATTCTTAAATCGAAAATATTATCTACAATTAACAACGCAATGTCTCACTCTAAGTGAAGTAATTAAATATTTTGATAAATTTAAATAGAAACAAAACCAGTAGAATCCAAAATATATCTATTAATTAAAAATTGATAAAGTATTCACTTGGTCTGTTCTTAATAATAAAATTGTTGGGTTTTAGCTTCCATATTAAGATAAAATAAAAGACTTCTTTGGTAATCCAAATGATATGGTGAATCTAAAAACAAAGATGGGTGCTTTGGTTTGTTATTAAAAGATAGAAATGTTTTATAAGAAAGAGGAAATCCTTTAAACTGGTTCTTTTGGAAAAGTAGTTTTATGTAATTAATATTGTTAGGTCACTAAAGAAATCTGTAGATTCACCTCTAATCTTGTAGCTATTAAGAGTATTAAATGTTAAAACAATCAGAGTCCAGCCATTAAAAATGAAATTGAAATACTCAAAAAATTGAAGTAAGGAAATGTTTTAAACATTCTTGAAATCAAAGAAGTTTACAAAGATGAATTCAATTATTATATTGTTACAGAGTATCTTCCTGGATCAAATTTAAAGTAACATCTAGAACGTAAAACTAAACCTTACTCAATATAAGAAGCTTTATAAATAATGGAAGTAATATTTTAATTAAATTTAGTCGCTTTTAAAAGGATTACAAAGCATTCATTAAAATGGAATAATTCATAGAGACTTAAAACCAGCAAATCTGATGTATCACAATAATTAAATCAAAATAATCGATTTTGGATTAGCTTGTTTTAATGGTAAACAGCTTGAATAATACCCATCTTGTGGTACTACTGGCTATTCTGCACCTGAAGTACTTAATGTTTGGAATAAGAAATAAGCATATGATTATAAAGTAGATTTGTTCAGTGTAGGATGCATATTTTATAAATTATTGACATTAGATGGATTATTTAGAAGTAATAATGAAAAGGAAACTTTTAAAAATAATAAAACATGTTAATTTACAATTAAGGAAAAAGGTTCAGTTTTTGATTTAGTATAATTATTAGTGAAAGCAGAACCTATATAGAGATTAGATTGTTAATAAGCTATAGAAGCAGTTTAAGCATTACTTGATTATAAATATTTTGATGTGAACATATGGTATACAAATAAATTAAAATAATATCAAATTGGAAGATCTCAATGTGAATTAAATCAGGAACCTTAAACTAAATTATCAAGATAATGTAGTTTAACTAATTTCAAATATCAGGAACCATAAACTGAAAGATAAAGAAATATACCAAAAAAAATAGACTAAAATTGATTTGTTAACAGACTAGATTTCTGTCTATTTGTTATATCTCAAAATTTAATAAATAGTATAAAAAAATTATATTATATTTTAATATATTTTTAATTATTCATTACATTTATCATAAAAAATATTAATATTTTGTTGATTGTTTCATTTATTATGATATTAATTATATTAGATATTATTTAAATTTAGTTATAAAAATAAGATCGATATAATTTAGAAATGTATATTGTTATACTTATGATCTAATATATGTAGAATCAGAATTCAAATATGGATGCCTCGCTTTTAAGTCCATCATAAATTAATGTATTATTGATAGGAACAAACTAATTGGTAATTAATTTAACTGCTTCTTAAGATGCCATTCCTCCTATTACTGAAGCTATCATATGTAACTTTGATCCCTCATATCTACATATTTCTATAATATGTGATTCAGGTACACTATCTACATTGACTAGTTTACATTATTTTACAACTATCTCTTATAATAATTAGATATCACTCTTTTATTGATTTGGCCATCTATTATTAATTTAATAGAATTCATTAACTGATCTCAATAAGATATACCAAATGTAGCAATCATTATCATAATCATCAACTTAATTAGGTTATTGTAATTCTTATTAAATAGTACGATAATTAATAGTTTTTAAATCTTAGACATTTTCTATAAATAGACGTATTGTTTCATCATTTATTTTATTTTAACAAAGATCTTTAAATATTTAAAAGTCTTTTTCTATTCTTACTCCATAAATATTATTTTTTAAATGAACATATGTTTATGTAAAACATTTCATATCTGGAAATGCTTTACTTAAAGGAGGTACTCCATGAATTTACACAAATTATCTAAGTGCTTACAGTAATATATAAAACTAACTTTCTTTATCATCTTATTCCATCTCTGTTGATTCAAGAATGTTTTTCCAATTTTAACTTTCAAATGCTTAATCAATATTATCTATTGCCTCATAGAAATTACCTTTATATTAATACTCTAGATTATCACATAGACTTAAAATAACCTATTTGAAATCTTAATGTTTTTCTTTAAAAGTAATTGGATATTTTCCATTAATTTAATGATATTTTTATAAAGCCTTATACAATATAGCAATATAAGGAATATGTGCTAAATAATCTACATCACCTTCGAATTCTATTGAATCAAAGTATTCTTTCAATTCTTAAAATGGATTGAAAATACGTAAATCATATTTTTGATTCATTGGTTTTGATTCTATAATATGACATTTTGGAGAATACAATCTCATTTTTCCAATAAATCCATAAGTTTAAAGTTCAATCAAATTAAATTTGTTTTCTAAAAACTATTTTTCATTTGCTATTATTAAATCAAATTATTGATCATTGATATTATAATTCTCTAATTGATGCCATTCTCCTTTAACATCTGAGTTCATTTCCAATAAATATTCAAACACTACTTTTGCTCTACTCTATCCAATAGTATCGTGAGGAATAAAGAAATTGTTTTCAATATCCTATTCTGTGACTAATTTATTATCAACAATGATAACATAACCAATACCAGGTAATACTAAATTTTTTAGAGTTTCTACTCCTACAGGATCACAACTAAATTCAATTATTTCAATCATTACCCCAATAATAATACTCTTGCATTTTATAGTCTTGCTTATCCATGTGGTCCCCAAATTCTAACCTATCTATCATATTTATCATTTGAACTCATTTAAAAATTTTAATATTAATAAAATAATCTAATTAGATTATTAGATAAATATCCATATAAATGATATAAATATTTAATTCAATACTATCTTATATAATCTATTAAATATATACTATAGTTATTACTATTTAAGTTTTAATTAAATCTATAAAATAATATTAATAATATATAAACCAAAATGAATCACGAATCAGAAAATACTCCCTTTATTTAACAAGAATTTCCTTCAAAAGAATAACAAGATTCCTAACAAGAATAACCTAAAATAGTTTCAATTAACACATTGTTTCTATAAAATACTACCTAAGCCTTTAATCCTGGCAAAATGATAAGCAAATAATTTTACGTTTTTTCAAGATCTCTCAAAAAGTATTGATTTATATGCAATCTATTTAGATCTATAGAATAATATAGAAATAATGAGAATATCCAATTTACTAAGAATTTAACAACCTCTTTAGAGGAATTTGATGGTGTTTCATACAACAATTAATCATTAAATGAAGATAAATCTATCACAGCACAAGGAGTTAAGTTATTTGGAAAAACAATCTCTAAGATTAAGGATAACATCACAAGAACACAATAACCACAAGAACCATAAGAACCATAAGAAAATTAATAGTAAAATAAAAATGAAACTCAAATTCAATAGAATCAAAAATAAGATGAAGAAAATATTTGATTTATATAAATATATATATATTTCAAATTTCTACAAACTCACCTTATTATGTTTATCTATAAACTTAAACAAATGGATCATTCTTGTCATCCAATGTAGATATTGCTAATTGATTACCTAATGGAGACCATTATACTTTCCAACAAGGACCTTTAGCTTATATTTAAACTTTTTTGCTGATGTTAACTTATTAATCATTGTTTTAATCCCATCTTAAATAATAAATATCAACTTAAGTAGACTTATAAAAATTTAATTTATACTTCCAATCCTGCAGCCAATATTTAATTTGAATAATATTACTCAGCTGCCCAATCAATAGATCTAACCCAACTTTCACATTAGATATATTAAATCTAAGTTAATTTATATTCTCCATCTATAGGAGTAGTTACTTTCCATATTCTTATTGTCTTATCAGTACTACATGTTGCAAAATCCAATTCTTTGTCTCTTACCCAACTCACTTGATTTACACAAGATTAATGTTAACTTTCCTTATATTTATATTGATATATACAGATTTATGTTCCCAATCTTATTAATTTTTGATTTATCCATTTTTCTTTCTGTAATATATATGTACACTCCCATCTGCTACTCCAGCTGCCAATATTAATTTTCTATAAGACCATTAAATAGATTGAACTGATTCTTAATGTTCTGATAATTGAAGCAATAAAGAATATTTGCCTAATTTCTATTCTTTAAAGAGACAAATAGTTTTATCGAAAGAGCAAGATGCTAAAATATTTCCATATTTAGGATTAGACCAACTCAATTACCAAACTGGTCCTTTATGTTAACTATCTCAATAATCAAATAAATTACAAATCACTAATTTTATATGATAATATGTCTTTCTATTATTCTGATTTAAATGAATTAACATTAATTTCTTATATTTCTATATGTCCATCTGATGATCCTAATGCAATCTTAGTTCCAAAAAAATCATAACAAACATCATGCTTAGGATATAAATCTTGATACAATCATTCCTTCATTTTTCACTTCTATCATGTTTATCTTATTAACACTTTTAGTTTAAGATGGAATCTAAAGAAATTCAGGCTTTGGAGTCTTCTACATTTATTTATATATATATATATATAAATATTATATTAAACTCAAATTTGTACAACAAATGTTTAATTTAAATCTCTATCTAAAGTGCATCCTCCAAATATAATAATCTTATTTAATTCCTCTGAATATAATGCACTACTAGCCATTATGGCTGTTTATATTGTACCTACTTTCTTTATTGATTAATCTTATAACTAATAGATATTTGAATTTAATGAAGCACCATCACAACCTCCAAAAATCCATATATCTTATTTGACTTTAACAGAAGTATGAGCACATAATGGAGTTGGAAGATTTTCAATCTATTCCACTTCAAAAGTGGATAAATTAATTACTTGAATATCTTGTAAAAGATCATTTTTATTTCTGCCACCTAAAATAATAAGATAATCTTGTTGATTATTTTCTTATTATTATTATTATTATTATTATTATTATTATTATTATTATTATTATTATTCATCTATCTATTATTATTATTATTATTCATTATTAGTTTATTCAATAATTTACTCTTTAATTGTTATTTATTCAATTTACTCCTTAGATTCTCCTTAAAATTCATTAAATATTCCAACCAATTTTTATGCCTTATTACATTCACTCTTTTTCAAGGGCTTTAAATTCATCTACAAAATGTGAGCAGTATGCATCTCTCTTGCCATTATTAATTCTGAAACATCCTTAATCTGTTACCATACTTCACTTTCTATATATAGAAGTTCATTTTATACTAATATCATAGATGTGCAAGTCATTTAATGGTCCATTATCATTAGCACCTCCAAATAAAAATAATTTTTCCTAATAATAAGTTAAAGTATGAGAATTTCTAGCTCTTGGTTTATTCTTTGATTTTATTATGGTTAACACTTTCTTAGTTGTATCTAATCTATAAAATTCGTCTGTAGATTAAGATTCCAAGAATTTTTAACCTCCAAATATATAAACCATCTTATCATCACTTATACATGCTCCTTAACTTGAACGTGGTGTATAGAGCTATTAATTTTCTAATGTCATTTCTTTCCAAATTCCTGCCAGATTGCCATCTTTAAGAGGTAAATGTAATGTCCAAAAATCATTTAATTCTTACAATCCATTTTCAGATCGATTTACTCCTCCTATCACAATGTACTTACCTTTATCATATTATAAAAAGTTGCATCCTCCTCTAGTAATTGGACATTCCTTTCCAATCAATTTTAATTCTTGCATATTTATATATTTAATTATATATTTTATATATAGATATAGTAAATCAGTCTTCTTCAAATTTCTACATTTTTCTTCTTTAAACTATTGGATTGAATACTACAATAAATCTTAAAATACTTGCATTTCTAAGTTTTGGAATCTTTTGCATTTTCTCAAGTGCTTGATTGTAAACGCTTATTCTCGATTTCGCATCTTCATCAACCTTACACTCTATACTCACAATTTATGATATAATACCTTGTAACATTTCATCAGTAATTGTTTATTCCCTGAATTTTTTGTCAGAAATAACATTTTTAGTTACATGACACCCCATTAATAAATATCAAAAAATACTTTATTAAATTAGATTCTAGAGTGGATTATGTTATGTGTAAAATCTAATTAAAACATAAAAAATAACATTTTAATTAGAAATTTCATTAAAAAGTATGATTCATATTTACTAGTCTATGTTTAAGACATTATATCATCTCAACTTTTAATTAATAATTTTCATATTTTTTGAATTATTCTTTTTTTATAATTATGGATAATATATAAACTTTTTTGATTTGCTAATTTTATTGAATAAGTTTTCATGATATGAAATGTTTGCTAATTTAAATTTGAAAAATAAATAAAAAAATAGAATTACTAAATAAAGTTAGATATATTGTTAATGATATAATATATATAATCTAAAGAACGATAATTAATTCTAAATTACTTAATCAAAATATTTAAGATTTAAGATGAATAAGATATATTATAATTATATATGCAAATATCTACTTATAGTTTTTAAATAAAATTGATTAAAGATAGTTTTCTTTAAAATTAAATGAAAATCTTTTAAAATTATTATTTTAAGTTTTAAGTCTTTAGTTTTAAATCAAAATAAATTTGAAAACTCTTTGAAAAGATCATCATTTGAAAGTCCATTCTTAATATCATCTATGTTTATTTTAAGTTAAATCAACATATCCTCCAAATTAAATAATCTATCCTTATCCAAACTATTCTAGTATGATTATTAATAAATTATTTACTTGTATTTTTTATTACCATGTACTTTTTGTTAATAATACTTATTCTTCTTTAATTTCTATTAAGTTTAATTAAGATAATTTTATTAAGACTTATTTCATTTAAAAATAACTCAAAGTATCTTATTTATGCAATTATTTTTGTTGATTCACTCTTTAGATTACTTGATGAAAATATGCATAATTGTAACCTTTTATGTGAATTTCAAGGGCAATCATTATTAATAGTAATTTCAATTCATCATTAAAGTGTTACAAAGAATTATGTTAAGGTTTATTATAGATCATATCATAAGCTAGTTTGATGTGATCTACATCAATTTAAGAAAATACACTCTTTTTTAAGAGTTATTCCCTAGCCAAAACAATAGCTGTTCTACAAACACTTAAAGTTTTACGAATATCAGTAGAAATTGTAGCAATTTTTTTGCCCAAATAATTTAAAGTATTTGAAGCAAACAATTATTTAATTTTCTTAGTTTTCATCCTCTATTATAATATACTTTCTATTTAAGTACTATTGTAGGGCCTAAATACTATGCGATGATTTCCTAATCTAGATTATAATTTAGGTTTAAGTCTTTCAGGAAAATCCATAGTATTTGCAATCATAATTATAATTAAATGTGCTTAAGGTTATTGAGGCCAATCAACCAAATTATATAGAACTTATTAATCTGCTGTATAGAGATTATCACATTCATCTAATAAAACAACTTTATTTTATTGGATAGTTTCTAATTGATTATTGAAGAGTTCAGCTTAAAAATAAAGAAAATCAAGTACTTAAAAGGATGCAAGATTTGATTCTGGAGGTTTCTTTTTTGTTAGTGAATTTTTCATAGAGGAATGGATAAATATCTTCAGGAGCTCCTACATTCATGGCATTAAAATAAATGAACTCAAAGTTTAGTTTTTTGGATAACAATTTATTTTTGACTTCTAAGACTGTAGCTGTTTTGCCTATTCCAGGAACTCCTGATATATCTATTCTATTAATAATTTAAATCTACATAATGCTTATTTTTATCCATTATTTTTGATACCATCCTCAATAAATCTTGTTATAAGAATCTTTTCTTGATCTCTACAAAGAATTTCATCAGGAACTGTACATTCAAGTAAGGATGTAAAACATTCCTCCATCAAAGTTAATTTTTATTAAATATTATCAGGATGAGGGATTTGTATATGTGTTGATTGTTCATAATGTTCAGATGGGAAATTATTTTCTGTTGTTAGTGAATGTTCTTTTTTATATTTATTCTATTTTGGCATTCCCAAAAGATTACATCTTGTTTGTATCATGGCCTGATTAATGAATTAACATTCTTCTTATTCAATATCCATTTGAATTTCTTTAGAATCTTCAGGGAAAGTTAATTTAGCAGCCCGAATACTCATTATCTTGGGTTTACTTAATTATCTGGAAATATTATTTGGAACTTCACTTTTTTAGAGAGTAAATAACTGTGAAATCTAAGAAATTTGATCGGAACACTCTTCATCAATCACAATGTGTTAATATACCTTGTAAATTAGTCAATGTTAAAGAAGCGGGAATTCCTTTTTCTTTTTAAGATTGAGGATATTATTCATTGCTATTATATTAATCGTTTTCATTCTTAATGGATTCTTATTTGATTTTATGTTCCTTTTTTTCTTTGGTTTTACTTTAGGCTCTTGTTAGATGTTTGGGTTAATAATCAATTTTGGCAGGTTTTTGTTTTTCTACTTTTGTCGACCTTTATTCTTGAATTGCAATAATAATTAGTACATTTGTTAGTTCTTTTATTCTTCTTTTTGGCTCGCCTCCTACTTGGCATTTTTAAATTTATAATACAAATATACAAATTTTTAACAGGAAAAAGTATTTAAATATTAATTTAATAATTCATTTCCATATTTTAACACTCTATCTTTTTTAAGTCTTTCTATTATTAGGATCTAGATTCTCATCATATAAAAGAGTAAATCCTCCTACTTTTGTAGGTTGTTATTCTTAAAAATAATAAATATATCATTACATTTTTAATCATTATCAGGGAAATCATCATTTGGTAGTACTATATTATAAACATCATTGATTAAATTCATTTTTAGATTTTTATCAACAGGTGTTGTAGTAGTTAAAGATGGACTGGCATTGATTTCTATAAGCCAAGGTTTAAGATTTGAATCAAGTAAAATATCATAACCATACATTTCAAAACAATGTTTATCATTCTATATTACTGCTTAAACAGACTAAATATATATATATATTAATAATTACTTTTAATGAAGTTAACATAATGTTATGAATATCATCCATCATTTTATTTAATGCATCAGTTCCATATGCAGATTCTACATATAATTTGAGTGCATCAATAGAATATTTACCACCATGTTTTTAAGAATATTTATCACTGTATTATTGTATAGCTACATTTGTAAGATGTACAAACATATTCTCTATTTCAGCAACATCAGTAGTATATTATTCATTACAGAATCTACCAAATCCTTTATTATAAATCCAAACTTTTAATGGTTTGTAATTTGTAACTAATACATACATTCTTAAATCAAATTTCTTTCCTCCAATTAATAATGGATTATCAATATATCTAGATACAACATAATTCTCCTTTGAAGCAAGATTTAATTAAGTCATATTACTTGTTACTGTTGTTCCTGAGATTTTTTTTAATTATTAAATTTTCCTTAACAAAAATATTCCTTTGCCTTAACTTCTAGCAGCTGGTTTAACAATCCAAGTTTAATTTGGATTTCTATGAAATTCTTCTACAAATAGTGAATATTCTCCAGGGAAAATATAAGTAGTTGGCAAAAAGTCAAAATTGAATGTTTCCAATACTTCTTTATCTTATTCTCTTTTGAATCTTTTAAGATTCTTAACCATACAATCTTTGCGTGTTAATTCATAATGATTTGGAAAGTGATTAATAATTTACTTTGATATTAATTTGAGTATACTTAATCATTAAGTCTAAATCCATTCTTAGGATTAAAGATATTACGAACATTCCATACAGTTGCCCAATAAACATTCCAATCTGTTTATTCTTCTTCTTTCTCTTAAGATTTGATCCATCCTCTATTTACAAAGTTTTCAATTATAACAGACTTTTCAAAATCTGATTTCCATTTTAATTTCTTGTTTTACATTATTATATATATAGATATATTAAATTTCAATTTAACTCCTATGTATTTAATGTTTAAGTCTACTCTAATTCAATTCTACGCTTATAAAACAAAACATAAGCACTTTTAGTTACAATCTAATCCTCATTCAATTCACTTACTTAAGAATCATCAAAATTATACCATTATCCATTGAACTATTAATAATAATCATATTTTCATACATGATTCTTAGCAAATGCAGTATAATGTCCACCACCCATACCACCAAAATGATTTGAAACTGCATATAAATCATATATTAATTTTTTCTACTCTTCCTCTATCTAAAAATTCTCATGAGGTTTATTCTAATTTAATATAAATTCTGTTAAATCTAATCCTTTAACTGGGAATTCAACAAATGTCTCTAATTTTTATTTGAAAAACCCATGAGATGCCTTGAATCTCTTTAGAGTAAAAATTAAAATATCTGAAGCCTAAAAAATATAAATAATTTAATACCTTATAAATCTACATACTTTTATAGGCTTGTACATGATCCTTACATACCTTACAATACCAAGCATTATCTTCAGCCAATTATTCAGGTTGTTCAGAAAATCTTAAACATTCTTGTAGTGTAACTTTGGGTTATGAATTCATCAAATATGAAGTTGAATAATTTTTTCCAATAATTCTTCCTTTCCCATTATTCTCATCATCTACATTATTATTATTATTCTCCTCTATAATTTATATTATTAAATACCTTCAATTTATTTCCTATATTATTGATTTGAATAATATTAATATATATCTCCAGTATTAATATTTTGAAATGGACTTTTATTCCAAAATACTAATAATTCTATCTTTTACATCAAATCATTAGGATTAACCATTTATTTTTATTAAATTGTATCAAATGTATCTTCTGTATAATAACTAACTTCACATTCAGAACAATTTTTAGCATTACAGAAAATACATTTCTTTTACATTAACATTATGTTCTATTTATGATTAAGTGTGTAATACTATAAATGTATAAGTTTATATAATTTACTTTTCCATGAATATTCTATTCATAATATTCTCTCAATTTCTCTTCTGTATTTACTTCATCCTCTTTTACCAAATCACAGAAAATAGGTAATAAAGACTGAAATATTCTTAAATGAATCTAAGCTAAAGTGTATTCCTTTTTTATTATTAAATAAGTTTAAGGTTGTATTGTTTTTTTGAAATTGTGTCCATAAGAATCATAAGCTTTTTAAACATAACTCAAATAGACACGTTCATCATTTGCTATAAGTTTTTCTTCTTGACTTAATACTTTGACTACTAAGCATCCTCTCTTTGAGTTCTTTCTAACTGTATTAATTTCTTAACTAGGATTTATTGGATCAGATATATCATTCATTACATAAGAATAATACATTAATTCACTATCAGGATCAATTTTAAATTGATTCATTACATATTCATTTATAAATTCTTAAAGAGATATATTCTTTTTAGAACCATCAAAATTAATATATTTAGTTTCTATAGAGACTACAGATTTAATAACTTTAATTTAAATGGATTTTTATTTATTATTTGGTATACCTAATCCTACAGTTAAGAATGGATCAAAAGTAATTGAAATTTATGAACAATTAGGACATTTCAAAGTTGATTTATATTGACCATGCATTAAATCAACTATAATAGATTGATTTCTAGCCAAATGATTTTCCCAACTTTCTTTTGCAACTTCAACATCAGGTCTACCTTAATAATCTTTAGATTCAACATAAGGTTTCTTTTTAACTCTATTTAAATCTTCATGTAATCCATCTAATAAAAATGTAATTAATTCTGAAGAATCATGTTATTAGAATCCTTTAAACATTGGTTAGAATTAACCTACAGCTTTCTTAAAACTTGTTGGTATTACAATGTTTTTATCACCACACCATAATTTTTTAAGTAATGATCCAAATTTTCTAACTAATTATCCTTTAGTTCCTAATGGATTATCTTCATTAATTTCTTCAAAATACTTATTAGATAAAAAATATTCTGTTAATGAATAAGTATTTGATAGACATTAAGTACCACTGTTCATGAAACAAGTATTACCTAAATTAGATAATCCAGCAACTCCTTTTACTGATTTATCAGATAATTCAATAGATTTAACTTATTCATCATCAGATCCTAGACGATCACATTTTGAAAGATGGAATCGCTCATCATTAATTTTGCATTATTCTGTACAATATGAAACCTTTTTGCAGACACAAATAAAGTTAAGTACAGTAATATTTGAACATCCCTCACACTTTCCTTCAACAGGAACAGAAGGGTGTCTGATACACCATGGTCTGTTTAATTATTAAAACTACATAAGTATATTGAAAATACTTCAATAATGATAATATCTTTATCAATCAAATTTAATGATTTAAATGTGATGTCTGATGAAATTTAAACAGGGGAACCTGTAAAATTAAAGACCAAATCATCATTAAAATCAAGATCTTCAACTTATTTTTTTATTTCAGAAAAGAGAACTTTATGAGGATCTGTATCATTAGTATATCTCCAAATACGAACACCATTTTGACTATTATAATTACCTCTAAAAGTGGGTACAGTTTTCAAAATAGTAGAATAATAATCTTGAAGATTTGTGTTCTCATCAACTTACAAATACTCTTTATCTAATTAAATGAGATTGTCTTAAGCAATTTGATTGACAATATTAGGAATCATTAAAATTGCATTAAACTATTCTTGTAAGAAGATACTTCATACCTTCAACAAATTAACAACAACTTTCTTTTCTTTGCCTTTACCTATTGCATTTCTGATAATATTAGTGCCTCTATAATGTTTATTAAAATAGGATGAAAGTTATTGCGAAATTACAATATAATGTACACCTTCTTCAAGATTTGGTCTCAACCATAAATTCCAAGGGTTTGTACTAAGAGGGTAATATTTGAAACACTCATTGACATATTGTTCAATAAGATCATGATTGAAATTTTGAGGCATCATTTATCCAGAAGTATTGGGAACACTTTAATTATTCACCACATTGTCATAATTAACATACTATTTCCATTTGTCAAACCAACTAAGTTATTTAATGTATTTAAATACTTCTTGCTCAAAATATAATAAGTTTGACAATCCTCTTCTGCAAAGTCTTTTTCTAGTTAATTTAACATCCTATTAACATCCAGAGCCTATTATTTAAGTCTTTCTGATAAACTCATATTAACGGAGGTCTTGACAAATTATTAATCATCAGAGTCTTCTTGGCTTCTACTCAAAAATCAATATCATACATACCCTTCATCTGTTCCACTCATTCTAATTATAAATAAATATATTAATTCGCCATTCACTCACTTATAATACTGATGAATTACAAATTAAGTAACTATTATAAAATCTTCTGTGTGATTATGTCAATATTATTAATATGCTATACACTTCTCCTAGTCAAGCTCGTAGTTCAAGTGCTTATTCCGTCAGACTTCCAAATATGTCTTAACTCATAAACTAGTCCTCTTTTACTCCCAACTTTCAATTTAATTCTCCGATTAGATCCTATCTTAAAACCAACGAGATCAAGTAACGAAAACTTCAACATCATTCAATTGTTGCCAAACTCACAGATATCATCAATAATTAACATCCCAAAAAGATTCCTCGTAAAAGTTTATAATCAGTCAATCGTCGAACCTCTGCATATTGTATCACTGATAAGACTTAGATTCTATGGGAGTCTCTCAAAATCAAATTTGAACATGAGACATCAGATCAACTATATGAATTATTACTTGAATTACTCAAACAATCTAATCATTTGTAAGTAGAAAAATATACACTTCCTATACAAACTAAATAAGAATTCACTAGATTTAAACACAATTTCATACTCACATTTCTCATGGAACCAAACTTACTTAAAATCATTTATAAACTTGAATAGTTTAGACAACCACTCTTGAATCCCCCATCTCTCTATCAAGAATTAAGAGGTTATTCAACTATCAGTCAAATTGTCGACTTATTATACATTCAACTTTTAAAAGATATTACCCTATAACCATTCGTAATTCCATATTTAGAAAAGGATTTCAAACAATTTGCAATTCAGTTAATCACCAATTTAATATAATCACAAGGTAATAGTACTGAACTTAGGATTCAACTACATTAATTTTCAGAATAGCATAAGTTAAATCATGTACATTTCACAAATTTTAAGATACTCTTTTATAAAATTCTCATCTAATTTTCAATTAGTGAAAGAGCCATTCGTAAAATATTAAAAATTATTGATTCTTATAAATCATCTATTTTAAGAGCAAAACCAATCAAAAATTACTTAATTGAAAATTGTATACAAAATAATTAATATTCTAGCTGACTTATTACCACTTATGGTTATTGATAATAAAAATTAAGAATAACAAAAAAAATAAATTATGTTACTTTTAGAATATATCACAAACAATCATTCAAGAACTATTAAAAAAGATGATTTACTTATGCTTAACATCAATTAAAATGTTTGCCAATCAATCGTCTCAACTATTCAATCACTCAAACCAAATCATTTAATAATGTAAGATTTTACTTAAGATTTGAAATCATGTCTTAGTTAGAATTACACTATCCCATCTCGTTTACTTGATAAATTAGCTAAAAAATTAAATTAAGTTCCTTTTTATGCTACAATATACAAAGTATATTTTATTTTTTAAATTAAGGAACATTCTATAGATTGGAGAAAATTGATCAAAATTGAAATCGATTTTATTTCATAAAATAGAACTCATTTTAGAAAAAAAGAAATTCAATTAATCCACAAAAGATTTAAAATTACTAATGAAATATTTGATTCTTACATCTAAGTATAATTTCAATATAATATTTTTAAGAATATCTAAGATATTATGGGTGTGTATAGTCAGAATCTAGTAAGTCGTATAAACCATTACAGAGATTGGATAGTTACTGAGAAAAACATTTAAACTTGAATTTGAATTTGAACTCTTATTATATATTATAAATTGTTATCAAAATGAATTAATCATGTTTAAATTTTTAAAAGAATTTTTTTCATTTATTTTCACAAAAAATATCAAATACATTTTCTAAATTTATAATCAAATAATTCTCAATATATAATGTAGGATAATTCTCTCTAGAAAAAAAAGATGATTATAAATTAATCATCAATCTATAAAATTTATTAAATTTATAATTAAGTTGTATTATTAATAAATCAAGATTGTTTAAGAAATCATTTACAATTTTTAAGTATATGTTTAACAATTTTTTTAATGTAAAATGCATGTCCAAATAAATCATATTGGAAGAATTATTATTCACTTTTGATTGATTAAAGATAAAAAAACTCTGGTTTATGAATCTTATAATTTCAAATAGAACTCTATATTAATTAATTCTCTTTAATTTTATATCTTCTAATAATATTTAATTATTTTTCGAATTTAAATTGTTATAAATGAAAAAATAAATTATTCAAATTCGATTAAATTTGGAAAATTAGGAAGTTTTGTCCATATCATCATTTTGTTTTCCTTTTGTTTATAATAACTTTCCAATAATCATCTTAATATCGCTTCTAGATTACTTTTTGGATGGCAATTAATTTTCTTTATTTTATTTTATTTCTTCATGAGTACTATGGTTATTGTTATATCTTGCCTTTTGAACATGATTCTCATTCATCCTTAAAGTTGCACAAGGATAAACATATAAAGTACTATTCTTTAAACTATTTAATTAATTTTAAGTAAACACAGGTACTTTTAAACAATTTAATGAAGTATTATTTGTTTATTATTATGTTGAATTTGATTATTAGTAGCTAATTTCTGTTTATCCTAACATTTTACTAAGATTTGAAACTGAACTTTTTAAACCTTCCTGTGATACTGATCTTTAATATGATTATTCTGGTTATCTGCATTAATCATGTTTTACTGATCGATTATAATCTAATTATCTATTAGCAATATTAGGATTCAATTATTTCAATATTCTTAATTTAGAGGGATCCTCTTTTGGATTATTATTGGAATCTAATTGAAAAGACTCTTAATTTTATTAAAATAAACTAGCTTCTTATAATAATGAATTCAAATTATAATTATTACTAGTTGGAATAGATAAAGTTGATTATGATTTTTATTTTTTATTTTTCATTAAATTAAATTAATCCATAGACATAGGTATTCCATCATTAAATTTACATGATTTTTCAAATGATTAATTATTTTATTATTATTATTATTATTATTATTATTATTATTATTATTATTATTATTATTATTATTATTATTATTAAAGTTACTTCTAAGTAAAATTAAGTGATTAATTTGATGAATTTTTAAGATATTAATTATAACTTATTCCCTTTGAATCTTAACTGGCTATATGAAAACTCTTACATTAAACTGGACTGTCATAAGATTACAAAGAACTTTTAATTTTGACTGCATCTACACTTCTCTTTTTAGAAGTTGATTCATGATAATTTATGCTTTCTTTCATAATATGATCTCTTTATTGTTTTTTTAATTCATCAATTTATTACAATAAGATTTATCTTTCATATTGAAATTAAGATTATAATAAAGAATTCTAATCTTTAAGCTATTAAATTTAATCTTCATATTATTATTTGATATTAACTATATCTACATTTTATTCTATATGCTATTAATATCTTTTGATTGTGTTTTAACATTTGCTAATTCTTAGTTGAAGTTGTTCTTTTTCTTTCTCATATAACAAAGACAGTTAAGAATATTTTGATTCATAATCTGATTATTTTACATCATTATCCTACATATTTAGATCTTTGATTCTTTATAATTCTTATTCGAATTGATTTTTCAATTATTGCTCTTTTTATTTGAAGCTTTCCTCAAGTTTAAGTATCTAATCCTTCAACTTTGCATTTTCTTGATTACTTTAGAGTTTCTCTTATTCCAATGAAACAATTCTATGATCATATTGATAATATTGCTTCTAGAATTACAATTCCATCTCTTTTCCTTAAGAATCTTTTTCTTACAATTACTCTGTTAATGACCTAACCTATTCTATTTTTATCAATCAATTACTTAAAGTTCTAAAGACTTAATCTACTCTTTGTAAATTGCTTTATTATGATCTTTCTGTTAAATATCGACATTTTTTTATATTTCTGACATGGATCTCTATAACAATTATTAAGAAATAAATACTTTTTGCATTGTAGAAGTATCATTTATAGCTTATGATATAGTCTCATTCAATTTTTTATAATTGGACTCTCTTGATTTATAGTCATCTAATTAAAGTTCAAGTAATTATATTTTTTATTCCATAACTGCTTTGTCTTTCTTCCATTCATTCTCCTTTGCAATAAGCTTCATAAATGACATTTCCATACATATTTCCTCAATTTGATTATGTCATTCTCTTCAAAAAAATTAATTGAAGTATTAAGCATTCAAAAAGTATAACGATTATATGATTTATTAATAAAACTAAAAAGAAAAAAGAAATGGATGAATAATAAAAAACTTTATTCTATAAATATATTCTCAAATTATACAATAATATGTCAGAATTCTGATTAATTAATTGGACTTCAAATTATAACTTATAATCTCCAAAAATTATGAAATACATCTTTAAATTTAATTATGTAATTCATATACAAATATTTTGATAATATCAATCAAATGATCGATTCTCATTAGTATTTTATAGAAAATATTAATTTAGATTTAACATTTATATTAAAGTACAAAGTAGTTATTAATAAGGTTTTTGTATTAATAAAAAATATGTTTTTAAGTATTTTAATATTTTATGTGGAATGTAGTTTCTCATAAAATATACAACTTATTGACTCTTTATAAAACTCTTGGGTGATATATAGCTAAGAGTAATCATACAATCAACAATTTCATTGGAAAGACACTTCATGTTGTACACCTCCTGATTTAGAAATGATTAATGCCACTTAAACATCGAATTATGAAAATACCTTATAAGTTATCTTAGATGGCTATTAGATTTAAGATAATTAATTTAGTATTACAAACTTAGGATTTAATATATAAATAGCAAATTATACAATCATTAATTAGACAAATGCTGTAATTAATAACTATTGTTTGATTGATAAAATTGATTAAAATTCAAATACAATTAATTCAGGAATGATGGAATTTTAAATTGCAGTACTTAATCCTCAATCAAATTAATAATAAAATCTTATATTTTAATATTGGTTTATTTGTTAATCTTCAACATTTGAGAATCCATAATAAATAAAAATACATTTTGATACATCAATGATAATAATTATATTATTTGGATGCTTTTGTGTATGGATTTTTACTAAAATGGCTAAAATTAGATCTTTAAAAATTAAAATTGATTTTAAGAAATAATCTTTTTTTAATAGATTAATTGCAATTTAACCTTTTTAATAGGAAGATCAAGTACTTTATTTTTAGGGATTTCAAGTTACTTGGATATTGTACATACTTTATATCTTTGCATCTATTATGTTTTATGTTCTTGTACGTTATATAAATGCTTGGTATGAAGTAGTATTAATAATGTGTTTAATATTTGCATTGTTTTGTTGCTGGTTTCTATTCAATGAATTACAATGCTTTTTATCTGTAAATTTGAAATTGTAAGTAGAAATATTTAAATCAATAAGAGTATGTGATTGTATATCATTATTTTTATCTATTTTATTTGTAGTCCTTTATTTAACACTGAATTAAGCTTGGTACATATCAAATATGATTACATTTTGCATATCTGGATCATTATTTAGATTATTTAAGGTTATAAATTTAAGAGGAGTTGCTTTATTATATGGATTTATAATGATATTTGATTGCTTTTATTTTTTCGTGCTTTTGACAACAATAGCCAAAGTAAATTATGAAATTATTGTTTTACAAGTAATAATAATTTTTATTATTGAAAAGTATTCTAATTTCCCAGTGCTTTTTCAAATTCCATAATTTAGATACAATTTAAATAAAGTTTGTGTTTGGTTATCATTAATGGATTTAGTGGTTCCAGGGATATCCATTTCATATTTATATAGATTTGATAGAAATAGGAATTCCAGAGTTTATTTTATAATTGGATTGCTTGGTCTTTTTTTTGGAATAATCTGTTGGTTATTAGCTACATTAACTCCTTCAAATACTAAAATTTAACTTCCTTAATCAATATTTGTATATCCATTGATTATATTATTTACATGTCTATGGGCAATTAGACAAGGTGATTTAAGAATAATATGGTATGGAGAATTCTATGATAAATATGTAAATTTTAGAATTTATATTTTAATAGCTTATGGATAATTTCATAATTGAATACAATCCTGAAACATCCAAAATTGCACTTGAAAATTCATCTTTAAAATAAGATCAAATAGCTAATTTAATAAAAGGTCTTAGGCTGGAACCTCAGCTTTGAATATATAATATTACTAAAATGATTATCAATTCTTCTTTAAATCTTTCAATTATGAATATATAAAACAAAAATTCTAATAGATATATAATAGACTTTAAAAAGTATTTATAAATGAACAATTTTTAGAATCATATAAACATAAAAAAAAAAAGTTTATAAATAATTTCATCCATTTTATCTTCTTAAGAATAACAAATATGGGGTTTCTTCTTTTCTAAAAATTATTTATAATTTTACTTAAAATTCTTTTAAACATTTTCAAAATCTTTATCAATTTTTTGTACAATGCTATCATCAAAATGATACCAATCTTCTTTCACTTTACAATAAACAGTATAATGACCAGTATCTGGTATTTCTCCAAAATGTATAATTATTGAATACAATTCATAATTTAGTAATTTTTAATTCTCTTTTATTTATATTATTGGTTTGATATTGATTTAATCAGTTATTTTATATCGATTTCCTTTTTGAAATTCAAATCTATTAATTTAAATAATTAAATTTTTAGGTAATTTTGAAAATTATAATGTTCTTGTACTTTAACTAGTATTTTTGCATTAATCACAATTATAAGTAATTTATTCATTCATTTAATGTCTCAATATCATTTTTTCTATTTCCTGTTTTACACTTCTATCATCTTCAAAATTTAAAGTGATATACATAAATTCTTCATCTGGACCTTTAGTTTTTTTTTCACATTTATTACATTAAAATGTAGATTTTGATATACCATAAAAAATCTTTTTTATTTATTTCTATAATTAATATTAACAAAATTTTTACATATTCTTCTGGATCAAAATTATTTTCCATATCTTCAAACAAATGAACACCAAATTCAGCAGCATCTTATTGTCTAATATCTGTTTTATAAGGTTCTCTTAAGGATCTTTTTAATAATAATGGAGTAAAATCAATTTCATCACTAACTGATTCCAAATATAAGAAACACTATATATATATAATATAATACTCTTAAAAAGTTGGTTTTTAAACTATATGGTTTTAAAAATTCAATTTATTCTCTTTTAAATTTATTTATAATGAGTTCTCTAAAATCTAAACTCCAAAATAATGCTTAGATGAAACTATTTAAATAGCATGCTAATTTAAATATATTTAAATTTATACTATTTAATAAATTTTTTAAACCAACTAATTTCTAGATTGCATATTTATTTTTTATTTATGGATTTTCCTCGCTAAACCAAATTTAAATTTTCTCACTTTTACATATTTAAGATGTTTATGTTGATTACATTGAAATATTTTTTTTTTTTAATTTTGCTTATAAAGATTCAAAATTAATTAATTCTTTTTTTTGAGTATTTGGAGGTAATAATACAATAAAATTTGCAATTCTTTGTAATTATTCTTAATTATAAGATGAAAAATTATCATCATAATTTTTTATTATTTCATTAAGATACTTTTTATCTAATTATTGATCACCTAATTATTAAAATGATGAAATTAAGTAGTAATTAAATATATTTTAAATTGAATCAAAACAATTTATATTTTTCATATATTTTATTAATTTTGGAATAAGATTTTATTTTATTTCCATTAAAATTTCAGTTTAATAATTTTTAACAAAATATTTGCTTAATCTTAATATCAATTCAAGTGTTTATTATGTAATGCCAAAATTTAACATAGATTAAAACATTCTATATTCAAATATATAACATCTTCCTAAATAATTACAAACATAATTAAAGAGATCATCAATATATGGAATCTAATTTATTTAACTTATATACTTTAGTTATTAAAATTCTTGCTATTAAATTAGGTTGCACAAAATCTGTTGATTTCTCCATATATGTGGATGCATTTAATATTGACTCTATTACTGTTGTCAATAAATATGGTTATGTTGTTTATTCAAGTAATATTTATAATTTATCTAAAATTTATAATAATTGATGATCTTTTCCAATAGTAGTGTTATTTCCTGTAAGTAATAAAGCATTTATAATAACATCAAATATTTATGTAAAATGAAATGAATCAGATCCAAAATCTATTAACACATTTACGATTAATTTTATGATAGTACTAATCTATATATACTCTTCTTTAGTTTTGCAATTCATTGCTTCTTCTAATAAGAAAGCTTTTTCTAAGGTGCCTTATTATTGAAGATCATCAATCTAGTTTCTTATATTTTCTCTGAAATCCTTCTCTTTATTTTATCGTTTAATGTATTTCTAAATATAAAGGTAACCTAAAATTGTTAAGGATCTACAGGATTTAATTATTTAAACTTGATCTTTATCTTTAATATTAATTCCTTGTCCTTTTTATATTACTTAAGAAATTTGATTCATAATTTTGTAAGCAAGTACATTCTTATATCTTAAACTAATAGTACATTCTAGATTTTAGTGCATTCAAATATTAATTATGTTACTTCATCATGCTAATTACTGAAATCTTACATGCTTTCTAATCTTTTTTTTAGGTTCTGATAAAGACTTTGATCCACATTAATATTATTTTATTACATTTAATAATAATATTACTAATGATTAATAAAAAGTCTATAAAGAAGTTTCATTAATTTACAGAATCTCTATATTTTGAATAATGAGCTTACTCTAAAATAATTTAGCACTTAATTAAAGGAAAAATATAAGAGTAAATTAAATAGAAATATATTTATTTTTTTTCATTGAAATTTTTTTATATATGAAATGCCTTATAAAATAAAAAGTATCATATAGATTAGAAAGTTTACTTATAGATCATATAAAATAAATGAATATAATCATGATTAGAAAAATATTTATTAATGATATCTAATTTTGATCATTATTAAATATAATATAATGATGAGTAATATTATACATGAAGAGAAATTTACACATGGCACTGAAGTGATAAGTCTTTATATCATCTCATTTGATTCTAATCAAAATAAGGAAGAATTTTAAAATTTAATCAAGGAGAAATAGATTTAAACAATATTTATTTTAGAAGATCAAGAAAAGATTTTAAACTTTTAAAATATTAATAAATCTTTAGTTGGGAAAGATTAGAAAGAATAATTCGATATACTATTTGTAAATATTATAACTATTATAAAGAATGAAATTTATTTAACTAAAAAGAATTTAGGATTAATCCTCTCTAAAACAAATAACAAGAGTCTTTATTTTTTTGCTTCATATATGATTCTAAGGGAGCAAAAAAATAATACATGGTTATATTAATAAGTAGTATTTTACTTGAATATTAGAACTTTTACAGAACTCTTTTGGAATAGGAAAAAATATAGTTAATAAACTTAATAAAGTATAATCCTTCAAAATAGAATTAAATGTTTCTAGAAACTCTAAAGATAGATTATCCGAATTTAGAAACTTTTAGTAGTTATGTAATTAATGCAGAAAGACCAGGAGAATAGGATTAGAATAATTTAAATCCACCAGATGATAACTCTGAATAAGACCCTATCTTTCCTAAGATATCTATAGATTCAGTTATAATCTAGGATTCTTCATAAAATAATTAGAGTACTTAAATTCAATAAATTGAACAATCAAATTCTCATAATTCAAATCCATAATTTCATTTGAACCCAGAATAAGAATAAATAATACTTGAATTGGCTCCATCAATTAAATTTAAATCATTATATTAAAAGTATACAATCAAATGTTTTAAATGAATGTCGAAATTTATTAATATTCATTTATTATAAAATTGAATTATTAATAAACTAAATATATATCATAAATACAACATCGGAAAAATGTAATATCAAGATTAGCCACTGAATTTCTAAGTTCTTGAGATGAATATAAATTCTTATATTAAAGCTATCCTTTTTGATTTTGATATTATAGATGAAAATAAAATCAAATAAATCCTCCAACAGAGTAATATTAAAACAGTTATTACCACATTGAAATAAGTAGAATTATAATTTATTTAATTACCAATTATTTTTGTAAATAGGATTGATGATCATTAGACAATTATATAAAATAATTCTCTGATTCATTTAGAGTAAGGGAACATTCTTTACTTATTTCATGAATATATACTTATGATTAAATATATCATTAGCTTATAGTTATCAAAAAACAATGCATCTGATACTCGTAATTTAGATATTGTAAGAAAATATATTTCATTCTATTTAGAAAACTTAATAGTTAATAAAGGAAACTAATCTGTAAGACTATTTTAATGTTCATACAAAACAATTAATAAGTTCTTCCAATTCAACTGGACCAAGTATTTCAAATATATAAACTATTTATAATTTGCCTCCTCCAATTTAAATTCCAGTATTCTATATACAGCATCAGCATAGAGATTGATTTAAATAAATTCAAAATGATTCAAAATGTATCATTAAAAATAAAGAATATGTTTATATAATTATATATAATAATAATTATTTTTTTGGATTGTTTATTTGTTAATAAATATTGCCTGACTTATATAAAAAGATATATTAAAATTTTAATGTTATGCATATGTATATATATATATATTGATTCTGTTTCAAAAGATAGGTCTTTTTGACCCTCGGTGATCATAAGTATACACTGTTAAATATTACATGTAGTCAATTATACTACCTAAAGTTCTTGGGTCTTGAATCTATAAATATAATTATTAATGTACTCCATCAAATTGCATATTAGTATCTAAAAACATTTTCTCTGGGTTTTACAAGAAATCCCATAATAATTTTCTCGTCCAATACAATCTTCTTGCTCTTAAATCCCATCCATAATTAGAAAATTTCTTATTTGATCCTAGTCTTCTTAAAAAAGCATTTCTCAAAGCTGGTCCTTGATCAAGATCGCTATCTATAAAAAAATTAAACATTAATGAATACCTAAATCATGACAACCAGCACATGCTTATCCGTACATTATCTTACCAAATTCAAGGTCACCATTTGGAATGTCTACATCGATATCATCATCATTGTGACAATGAGGAACTCTTTTGAATGTTGGTTCAACAAATCCTCTTATTTCATAGCCATTTCCACTTTCTTAATGAATGACTTTTGGTTTTCTCCAAGACATCTTTTAATTAATTATTATTATTGGACAATCAAATGCTTATTTAAGATTTGAACTACTTTTATATAAATTACTCAAAAGAAACAATAAAATTTTATAATCTGTATATATATTTTAGAATTTGAACATAAAATAATAATAAAATTACGCACTTATCTTAATCAAGTATTATTTAATCAACATACCATTTTATCTATTTGATATGAATATTTTATTGTCAATCAAATAATGATTAACGTATATTACAACATATTTCCTATTTCCTTTTTCTTTATTAATTATTCTAAATATCACTACCCTTACTCCTATGATTATTTATTATCTATTCCAATTATTAATGATTCAATATATCTTCTTTTTCGCTCTCATTGAAACTCTATACAACTTAATCATTCAATTTAAAATTGTGTACTCTGTTATTTTTAAAATAATCTAATGATTACTGATCTCTTTCCTAATAAGTTTATTCCTAAAGGGAAGTCTAAATTTAAAATGTATACTCTATCCCTTATTATTATTATACACCTCTGTTCTATTTAATTTCCCCAACGCTCTGTTCTTCATTAGATAATTAATATTATTCAATTTTATCTTAAATCTCTGTATTCAAAGCCTCTCTATTTCTATGAATTTGAGTAGAACCAAAATCTGAATTAATAACTTATCGAATTATTGAAGTACCAATATCAGATGGATAATATTATTAATTGATAGTTTGAATTTCATTTAAAAAAAAAATCGGTTAATAATTATATTAAAACCTATTATATTACACCAAAATATTTTGAATCTTATAAATTTCATTATCAAAGCTAAAACTTTAAGAATTTTATTGGTTTAACTTAAGTAGAATATCTCTTCTAAAATCTATATTAAATTTAATTTGATCTAAAAATTCTTTATTTTTCTATAAATTGTATTATTAAGTTTTGTAAAAATTTTATAGATGAGTCCTTTCAATTAATTATTATATTTTTTATTGTGCAAGCAATTATTATTATTTCTATTCATTTTATTGAAAATTTAGTATTAAAATCTTAATTCATTAATTAATTGTTAAATAAGATTTTGAAAAATAAGATTTTAAAATCTAAGATTTCTTGTAAGAATTGATTTTCTATTTAAATATTATAAAATTATTTTGTTAAAAATTTATTTTCATTTAGTAATTGATTTAACTAATCAAATTAAAAATCTCTTTTTGCAAAAGAACTCATCTTATTAATGAGGCATATCATCACTCACTTATTACTATTATAATGAAACACATCTAACTTATTATTATTCAACTAAATGTAATTCCAATTCTTTTTTAATATACTTATTATTCAAATTTATGAGTAGAAATATTTTAGGTTTCATTATTTAAACTTTAATTATGATTTGATTAATATTTATATATTTAGGTTGCAAATTCAGCCAATTAATAATTTACTTAGTCTTCAAAAATTTCATTTTTATTTTTATTCCTCTTTTTGAATCTAAGAATATAAAATACTTATTTAAACATTTATTTAAGAGCATCCTGAGGTTCATCTATCAGAAATTCTTGATTCAATAGACTATTTGCAAATTAATTTTCTTGTTGATTATTTTATATAATTTAATTAATTTAAAGTTCTTGAATATTAGGAAAATCATTATGCTCAAAGAAATCTCTTTACTTTTTATTATATTCGAAACTCTTAAAATTGTATATAAATTAATACATAATCTATGAATTCTTCAAATTATGATATGGGTTCCTCTAATTGAAAAAAATCTATTTTTCAGTTTCAATTATTGTAGATTTTGTTTATAGAGATTCAGTCTATTTTAATATTATTTCAGATTGTATTTAAGTTACCATTAAATCAGTAGATTTATTTTAGTTAAAATAATTATAATTTTCTACTTCAACATACTCTTTTTATGAAGTGATTTTTAAAAGATCAATTGATTCCAATTACGTTCCTTATGTATTTTAAGTAATATCTATATTCACAACTATTTTCTATGCTTATATATTTGAGATATTCTTATAAGGAAATTATCTATTATTTGATTCCAAAAAAGATTGGATAGATATTTCATTTAATTTAGACATATCCAAAACCATCAACTCTAATGGAATCATAATTCCTTATAATAGAACTGATCTAATAAATTGTCCTAAATTTATATTAATGAAATTACCTTTAGTACCATTTAATCTTATTTTAATTGAATATAATCTATTTCTATATTCTCTAGTATTATCACCAAGTGATAAATCGAAAGTTACATGTTCAAGCTAATAAGATAATTATTATGCAATATCGATTTGTATTTAATCTTATTCAAAAAATTTAATCAATTCCAAAATTTAATTCTTTCTTACTTTCTTATCTTATTCTAAATTTTCTACTTGGGCTTGTTTGGTTAAACATAATTAATGTTATTATTAAATTATATTTTTCATTTTCATTTAGCAAAATAATTACTTTATGGATTTTGAATATTTTGATAAATAAGATGATGATGATGATATGAATGTTGAATTTGATGAAGAAGATATCAAATACAATATAGAAGATTCAAAGAAACCAATCGAAAAAGAATTGGATGATTCTGAAATTTCATAAATAGAATTAAAAATCAATAAGATGAAAGAAGAGGAATAATATTTTGATCAAGATTCAGATGAAGATACTAAAAAGAAATTGACCTAAGCTAAAGAGTGGAAAAGACATTTTGGAAACTATATTCCTTTAATTTTTATAAATGATGAACCCATATTTGCTATAAGTCCATAATGGATAATCAATCTATTTGTAATAATTGGACTATTTGTTATTACATATTTCCAGTTTACAAAACCTAAACAAAAGACCATTTAATTTTGCATAACAATCATTATTAATGTATTAGAACTTTTAGGTTATATTATTGCTGCTCTTATCAATCCTGGAATAAATACTTCCCTTTAAGAGACTTATAATAAACATAATAATTGTTAGGTATTTTATATGTATTATAAAAGATCTGTGAAATAGTTCATTATCGAAAAGACACTTATCATTGTGAGACTTGTAATGTATGTATAAGAGAATTTCATCATCATAGCAATTTTTTAGGAAGATGTATTGGATAAGGTAATTTATTTTATTACTACCTCAGCATCCTATTTTTGCCTTTATTTCTAATCAATCTTATAGTATTATATGTGTTTTGAATTACAGTAAAACAATAAAATAATTAAAAATCATTTGAGCTTCTATGATTATGGTCTAATTCTGAATCCTTGACTTGTGACTGCTCTTTAGGCACTTCCACTTCTCTTTTAACTTTTCCATTGTACATTAGTTTAAAATGCAATTTTTAATTAAGTTTCAACTTCAATATCAAAGGCCTTTGGATTTTCTTTTGCAAATGGAGGTTTATAGATTCCAGGTTGAGATTTAGTTGATGTTAAATGATGTAAATTAGTAGCTAATTTCATGAATTCTTATTTGGCAGCTTATTCATGTCTTATTTTTTCTTCTTCTTTTTCTTATTCAGCTTTTGAACGTAATTCTTGTAAGAAGTTTTAATTTTTGATATTCATTAACTCAAGTTACTTTTTTCTTAAGTAAAAATCATGAACATATTTACGATAAATATATCCTCTGAAATATCTTTGGATTGTTTATGCTTAATGAGATAAATAAATAATCTAATTGAATATTAGAATAGTTAATACATTTCTTCTATTTTTACATTCACTCAATTTCTATTTTACTGATTATCTTGCTAAATAAGCTCTACAATATTTTTGAATTGTGATTGTTGCATTTTAATTCTTTTTGTAAGATTTATGCAACACATACATTCGATAATAAGACTATATTTTAGTAGCTTATCTATTATCAATATCATAATTAGACTCCATCTATTCTACTTACTCATAATAGTGTTCTATGATATTTTGTAATAGTTTCTTTTTGTTAAACATATAATTTAATATTTTATATTTTTAATTGAATTTATTCCTTTATCACTTATCAATAACTTTCATCTAATTAATTTTTAATTATAAATAATTAAGAATGCTACCTAATTTAAGAAATCTGCAAAAAACAAGACCAACTGCTACAACTCCTGATATATCTTAAAAGAGGATGCTTTTATAAAAAAGTGAGCATCATGATGTTTACTCTTTAAAATCTTAAATTGAATCTTTATAAAAATAACTAGAATATGTTTAAACAAATAAATCATTTGTAATGAAGATAACTTCTCCATCCTCATGTACATAATGTTAAAAATTTAAAGTAACTATTTATTCATATTTTCTAGCAATAATTAGATCTTTAATAACTAAATGAAAAAATTACAAAAAAGAATTATGAATAGAAAATTGATGAATTACTAAAATAAACTCAAAAAGTTTCTAATTCTAAATGCAAAACAAATGAATTAGATACAAGATATGATGATTTACTATTTAAATTGAAATAAATTTATTAATATGAATTACTAATAACAGATGACAATAATATAAATGTAAATAATATTTAGAAAATTTAATTTTCATACAAGAACTCTTAAGAATAGAATCAATAATATATTTAATAATTACTTTAATAAATTGAAGAACAAGATAAAATTATAAAAAAAGATGCCCTTTTATTAAAAAATGCAAATATACAAAATGACTAATAAAAAAATCTCATCTCAAATCTTCAAAATTAGTTAGAGAATATTAAAAAACAATTAAAGGATTATTAAGAAATAAATAAAAAACCTATATAAACTTTACCTAATGAACTCTCTCCAAAATAATAAACCAATCCTCAATAAGATAAATCTCTCTTATAATAATTATTATTTTAAAATTAATCTCTTAAAGAAAAACTAATTTAATAGAATCATTAAATTGATAAATCTGCTTAAGAAAATTAAATTTAAAAACATTTATTGAGAATTGAAGTCTTAGAAACTGAACTTAAATTAAGTCTTCGTTGTTGTAGATGCTAAAATCTATTTGAAAAACCACGTACTTATATTCCTTGTGGACACTCCTGTTGTGAAAAGTGTTATAAATATAAATGTGATTCTTGTGATACAGAAGCAGTCTATAGGAATAGACAATTCGATGAATTAATAAGAGTATATTATATTATAAAGGATACTAAAACATTCATTCAAGAATGTTTATTGAGATTGTAAGGTTGATCTTATGTATTATTTCTAATCTAAATTATATATATTAAATATTTCATTATTATTATTTATAATTATAATTTTATAATTGTTAGTTAATATTATGCTAGTGTCTACAAATAATACACCAAAAAATTATATAAAAGAAAACACCACAAGAAATGAGGATTAAAGAACAATTGAAAGACTAAGACTTCTTTTGAAAAATGCAATTCAGGTATACCAAATAATATATGTTAATAAATCTAGCTTAATGATGAATTGGAAAAGAAAAATGCTTTACTCCTTTATAGAATAGAATAATAATAAAATTAATCTTAATAATCTATATAATAAGAGGATTATAAACATAAGATTGCAAAACTTTAAAATCAACTTTCAGAAGTATAATCAGAAAATCATCATTTATAATCAAGTTTGAAAAATCTAAAATAATAAGGTATTATATACCTAGTATGAATTTAAAGGAAATTAATATAATTAGAAAAATTTTGAGTTGATTCTATAAGATTGTGTAGTCTCTTAAATAGAGAAACAATTTTATGAATACTTTGAAAGATCATCAGCTAATCTATAAGAACAAATGATTTTAGAATTCTAAAATATATTAGAAAAATATTAAACAAAATATTAAATAGTGGAAATTCATAAAATTACAAGCTTCACAAATCTAGATAAAACTAAATGTATAGAATCATAATAGAAAGAGATTGATATTCTAGAGTCAAAATTAAATAATACAGAAAAAGAACTTTGTGATCTTAAACGTATATAAATTTAATAGAATTTTAGGTGTTCTAGAATCATTTTAATAATAATAGTCAATGAAATAAAGCTAATAAGATTAGGTTCATGATTTTTTCAATTCAAACTAATTTGAAGTCTTTACTTCTAGATTAAATAATAGTTAAGGAATTGATGAATGCTTAAGTAATGATAAAAGGTGGATAGATATAGATAATAATAATTAGATTAAAACAGATGAGAGAAAACTAATCCAATATGAAAAGATCATAGATGATCAAAAATAAGAGATAGAAAATCTTCAAAATAAAATATCAAATTTATCCAAAGTACCATATTTAATAAATTTTAGAAAAAAAATTAATTAAAATAATAAAACTAAGAACTTTCAGTTGTTTTATATTAATAAGCAGAAACCTGCTAAAGAATTATATCCAATTTACAAGCAAAAGTAGAAAAATAACTTGTATAGATACAGTATTACTCTTCTATGCAACAGATGAGATCTAAACTAAATTAGGTAAAATATCAAATTCTATTACAAAAGTAACCTTCTTAGCATAATGTATAGAGTAGTTAATAGATTGACATAAGAAAAAAATTCACATACCATTCTCCAAATACAAACAATTCTCCAGTTTCAATTGCTAAATTATAAACTAATAATAGATCTCTTAAGAAAGTAATAAATTATAATAATATTTTAAAAGCAAGATTCCTCTAATGATTAGACAACTTGGGTGATCAAAACAACAGATGCATCATTAGTTAAGAAATTAGATAAAAAAGATTCCTAATCAGAGAGTACAACTGATTAGGTTACAAAATCTACAAAATTGTCAACACATTTATAAGAGGTTAAGAAATCTCTTGATTAAATGGCAAATGGAATTTGTACATAAAAATTTCTAAAGGGATATTATTTTGTATAGAATAAGCCAATTTTAACTTTAGATGATTTTTGAACATTTTAATAATACTTTTATAACATAATATTGTAAAAATATTATATCTCAACACTTAAGAGCATTTAAATAATTATTCCACTCTTATTATATTTAGTTATTCTATTCAACTATCTTTTGATTTTAAATGTTTAAATACTCTTAAATAAATATTTCTAATTTTGGATGATGTTCCAAGATTTCTCCATCTTGATTTCTAATAAATTGACCATCATAAAATTCTCCATTTTCTAATCCAATGATTCTATTTTGAAATTCAATATCTTTAATAGTATCTTTAGATAAATTATTTTTTGTTAGAAGAGGTTATAAAGGTTTCATTTTTTATATTAATTCCCCAATATATTCTAGGCAGATATCTTTTGAAATATTTTAACCAACCATAAAAAAGCCTAAATTGGAGTGAGTATCCCATCCAACATAAGAAGGTATTTAAAGTTTAGTACCATTAATCAATTATTCTTTTAGTAAAATATTGACAGACTTAACTTATCTTTCAACAATATAATTATGATTTGCTGTATATTCATATAACTTATCTAATTATCCTTCAAATCTAAGAAATGCTTTAAGATACTATAATTGTGGTTTTTGTGGAGAATTGAATTCTTTAACTCTATATATAAATTTATCAATTTCAGAAAGTTTTTCATAATTACCTGTTTATATTTTTTGTTATTGTGAAGTCTTAAATAGTTCCCTTAAAATTTTTCTAAATTATTTGACACAAGGAATAGTATTATGAATAAATACTTTTTGTTAAGGAACGATTTGACTTTTATATGATGCCAATTTACTTCTTAGAAATACATTTTAGGTTGAATTATATGATGTACATTAATATATTTCTTTTGCCACAGATGATTATATCATATTATTAGTAATACGATAGATGTTAGATTTAATACAAACAGTTCTAAATATCTTAAAGTATTCTTCCACTTCAGATTCTTCATTTCCAAAGGAATCCAGAATTGTAAATTAACAGTAACCAGGTAGACTTTGACTTACCAAATTATCACTAAAAAGATATCATAAATAACCTTACATAGGTTAGCAATTCTCATTTTGATAAATATTATTAATGTTGATTTTATTAACTACATTCTTAATATATACAAATTTACTAAGTTTTCCATTACTTAATTGTTACACTATAATATCAATAGACAAATAAAAAGGTATAACACATATGCATTATTCTTGAGAATACTTCAATTGATTTTCTAATTTATTTAACCATCCCTCTTCATCTAAAATAGATTATTCTAATAAACTGAAACTTAAAATCTATGCTTTTTAATTAAAATCACTTGCATATCTTTATAAAGATTAAGCAAATTTAGTCTTACCACTACTATAGGTGCCTGTAATTAAAATAATTCCTATTCTATCATCTATCTATTTAGATTCATCTTGTAAAGCTAAATAATTTAATAATTTGAGATCACTTTTGACTTGTGTTAAGATAATTAATTATTTTGATTCTAAATAATCTAATAAAAATGAAGATTCTCTAATCATGTTTCCTAATAATGGAACTTTTTATTCTTTCTTCAAAATCATCTATCCTAATCTAGTCAATTAAAATTCTTTTGGATTATCTGTATAATCTACTTTAATTTCATTTTCTTTTAAAATATTAATTAATTTCATATACACTTAATCAACAGACTTACCAACAAATTCTAGTGCAATAGTTTTAGCCTATAAAGATGCACAAAGTATAGGTTCAGTCATAAATATCATCCAAACAGATTCTAATCCTTAAGTAAATTTAATCTTTTTCATTTAATCAAACAAAATGAAGAACCAACCCATTTCATTAGTAAAAATTCTGATTCCATTTTCATGTAATATATATGAAGCAATTTAAATAGGTATATCTAATAAAGCATGTTTAGATGGTATAAATAATCTATTTTTATCAACTTTCTCTGAAATTTATTAACCTAATTTCTCTAATGGTAATTTCTTTTTAACTTTCTCAATATCATCAGAAAATCTAGCATCTGTGTTGATAATTTAAAGATGAGGAATTTTACTAGTAATTATATAATAACAATTCTCTTAAAGAATGAATGAGTCAGAAAAAATGACATTACCTAAAATAGTTCCTTTGACTACTTAAGATGGAATACTCTTATACTCTAATCTAATTGAAAAGAATTAAGGTGTGAGTTTAAAAGATATAGGATCTTTAAAATTAATTGGTACTTCTTCACCAAAGGAATTATAACTGGATACAGAGACAATCAAATTATCATTTAGAAATTACAACTAATAATTAGTTAATGTTGGATTCAATCTTTCTTAGCATAATTCAAATATCAATTAATTAGTCATCTTTCTATAATCTTAACATATCATTTATAAGGCAGAATAAAAACTTTCAATTAATGTTTTATAAATTTCAATTAATAAACTTAAATAATAATTATAAAATACCATTCGTCTTTATGATATGAATGTTCAACTATTTGATATTGATATTCCTTAACAAAATGTTCAAAATCATCATGTATTGGAATAATAACATTTTCTCTACACACTTGTTTAGTAAGAAAATATGTTCTAGAAAAACGTAAAGAAGAGTAAAGATCACTGCTTTCCATTGTTAAATGTAATGGTAATTTTTCTTATGAACTACAATTTCCAAAAGTGACTGTTGGAATTAATTTATTATTTCTTTTAACATATTTATTGTCTTCAATTTCAAATGTGTCTAGAAATATTTCAACCATTTATTCATTTGTAACTGCTGGTCTTTTTTTAATAGGTATTTCTGATAATAATTATAAAGATCCTGAAACATGACCATTTAATCTTTATGATATTACATTAATTAAGTTTTTCATTGAATGTTTATCATGTGGTTTATATAACTAATTTATTCTTTCAGTCATATTCACAATTTCATGTTACATAGAAAAAAACCCATTTCCTAATAAACCATAACCTTAGATGATTGGCCATTTTTCAATATTTCTATTTTTCTCTTATGGTAACAATACACCTATTCTTTTTAACCCTTACATCATTTTCACAAATTGAGCCATTTTTAATACTTCACTTTCATCTTTATTTTCATCCTCTTTTATTGTAGGGACAAATAATTTAAGATTTGGCATTTATAATAAACAAGGTTTTAATTGTTTAAAGCCTTGTTAATCACAATATGCTCTCATATGATCTTTGGTTATTATAAATATTGTTTCACTCAAAGTGTTATCCAAATATTCATTTGTTTCAATCTCAATTCCACTGTGTCCCAGAAACACCCAATTCATCAATTTTGTATATTCATAATTATCTTTTGAATCTATTCCATTTATAATTAATAAACCTAAAAAAATAGTATTATAATAATATTACCATCTACATTTTCTTTAATGCATACCTTCTCTATCTTTTTTATTCTGTAAAATGAATCATATAAATGAAACTTTGAATCAGGGTTCTCTAATCTTTAAAAAAATTGAAGCATTAAAATAATAAATATATATATATATAATCAAAAGGAAAAAATGTTGATAAAATCTGGAAAGGATATTTTTCCATCTCTATCAGTATCCAGTCTATTGAATAATAATTCTAAGTCTTCTAATTCTGGTTACACTTGTTACTTATACAAAAAGGAATCAAGCTAGTATATAGTATTTTTGATATAGATACATCTTTTAAACTGATTTCATTATCACATGAATCTTCATCAATCATCATAAATAAGTATTTTATATCACATTATTAATTGTTTTTCATTTCCTAATTTACTTAATTAAATAAGAGTTCTCTTTAGTATAATTTTTCAAATAAAAGACAGAGTAATTATTTTATTCTTCCTTGAATATTATAATTTTGAATTTGACTCTGTTCTCTAATAAATTATTGTTCTTAATGATAAATAGACAATGGAGATATTAATTGTATAAATTAATTAAATTTAATTCTACCATCAGGAGAAGCCTTCTTTAGTATAAGTGAAAGATCTTATTTATTAATGAATTATTCTAGATCTTCAGATACTAGGAATCCCATTTTCTTTTTATCTAAAGTTCTGAAAGTATTGCAAAGAGAGAAATCAGGAATTGCTTATAAATTAAGTTTAATTCTTTCGATTTCTTTTTCAAAGTTTAATAATTAAATTAGAGTATCTTTTAGAAATTTAGAAGGATTAAAGAAATTGTTATTTTTTTTAGGAGAATTCTTTATTACATTTTTTTAAGTAGAATTTTAAATAGTTTTCTTAATAGTTGAATTAATTTAAACTTTTTATTATTTTTAAACTTTGAATAATTACATTTAGGCTCTTAATTCTGTTTTTTAATCTATGTATTTTTTATTAGGTTAATTAGGAGTTTTGAATATGTAACTTTAATTTAAATTCTAAGTTTTGGAATTCTTGGAACTTTCAATAAAACTAACTGATCTCTAATTATCAAATTCCTTTTTAGGTGATTATCCTGTTTATTTTAAAATAGAATTTAATTTTTTTATAGGAGTAGTTTATGCTTTTTTTGATCTATTTGATTATTGGGATTATACTTATTTCTATTATTAACTTTTATCTTTAAAATTTTGTAGATAAGATTTATCTTTAATTGGAGTTTTATATTCTATTGGATTTATGACTCTATTCTTAAAATACTTCATAAATTCAGATTTATCTATGATACCATCATTAAGAAGATCAAATCTCTTGAATAAAGATTAAAGTTCATGAGGATAGATAATAATGGCTGATTTCTAAAAGAGATCTTTAAAATTGGAGACTATTAAACCTTATGATTTTTGGGGATTCATCTATTCAAAACATTCAGTTGGACTGTAATCTGAACAATCCTAGAGTTTTTAAACGAATGATGATGTAATTTCCATAGATTTTATTTCGTAGTTTATTAATTTTGATAATGTGTATGAAATCCTTTGGTCATAATGAGGAATATCAATATTTTAAAGTGCAATCTTTTATCTTAAAGCTATATTGTTTTAAGGCAAGCATATTCTTAAGAATCTATTAAATATAAATATAAATAGTTACTGTGAATATAGGAGAAATCCTTTAGATTCTTCATCATATAAATCTATAAATTATATACATTCTTCCAAATTATGTACAAAACCATTATCTTCTAGAAATTAGAGAAGATCTGCAGGGCTTAATTAACCTTTTGGATTTATGGATATTCCATCAATGTATTTAAAAATGAAAAATGGATGGAAATGATCATGTTCACAAAGAACATTTCGAATTATTTCAATTTCTGACTCTAATTTTGCTAAATACAAAAAGTATTCACACAACCTATTAAGTGTTTAAGGAGTTAATTATGGCATTAACAGACAACAAATTATCAATAAAATAAAATATAATATAAGTATATTAATTATTTTAGTTTCATAATGGGTGTTCAATCATTATTTAGATTTTGCAAAACCAACTCTATCATTATCTCTATCATAGATGCTATAATATTTCCTTAAGAAGACATCTCCAAGAATCCAAGCTGGTCCTTAAGGTTCTTGAATATCTAAGGGAATAAAAGAAGCAATACAATCCCAACTATTTACTTCAACCATAGATTCTATAATAGATTTAAATTATATACAATCTTCTGAGCTATTCATTTCAGCAAATGCAGAATTATCATTAGTTGTAGGTTTGACATATTCTTCAGGTTCTAAAGTGTAATCAATTCCATCAATTTTGAATGTAATTGTAGGAAAGGATTTGCTTTAGGAACAATGATCCTTTACATTCAAATTCCTTAATAAAGTGCCTACATCATCCATGGGTCCACTCATAATGGATGTTCCAGTATCAACAATTAATTTACATGATCCATCATTACATAATCCAATGTCTTAACCTCCTACTAAAATACTATCAGCTTTAATCATCCAATAATATTTATCAATAACATTATGATAATTAATATCTCCATCAATATGAGCTTCATTATATCCACCTAAAGTAAATTTACTATGTGTAATATCATTTGGATCTTTGGCAAAATAAAAGGCAAATTAATTTTTTCTAGAGCATTTTATTACATCATATTATCAAAGACAGGATTAAAATTTTTGGGAGCCATCTATGGATATGCTAAACCAAGAATTCCATCAAAATCAAGACTTTTGAAAATAATTCCATTTTCACTTGTTATTTCAGCTAAGTTTTATCTAGGTAATTTAATATCTCCAAAATATATAGAATCAGAATTAACAATTCCTTTTAATTCTCCACTACCAAATTCTACTGTTAATTCTTAATTTAATGGCAAAAACGAATGACTGTCTTCGTGTTTGTATTGTTTATGTCTCAAACAACCTGGCTCTTAACATCTATTTGAATCAATCCAAAGATTTGCACTACCTGTGTCTAATACAACTTTAAAAACATTTCCAGATTAATCAATTCCTATATCTGCTGTGTATTGGATGTTTTTAAAATTATGTAATCTTAGATTTTCAGAGGCAGAAGATTTCTAAATGAATTAATTTTCAAACAATTTTTTTTGATTTAAAGCCACAAAATTATAGAAATCTTGTGAGTCTTTTACATTCACAATTTTTTCATTGAGTTTGATATGTTGAATCTTTTGTTTTTATTACTCAGGTTATAAAGGTACTTATTCTTCCTATATACTCTATTTATTTTTTTAGCTTACATGTTTATGGCATTTGTGAAGAATAAAGCAAAAAAACACAACCAAANTAATGGGTGTTCAATCATTATTTAGATTTTGCAAAACCAACTCTATCATTATCTCTATCATAGATGCTATAATATTTCCTTAAGAAGACATCTCCAAGAATCCAAGCTGGTCCTTAAGGTTCTTGAATATCTAAGGGAATAAAAGAAGCAATACAATCCCAACTATTTACTTCAACCATAGATTCTATAATAGATTTAAATTATATACAATCTTCTGAGCTATTCATTTCAGCAAATGCAGAATTATCATTAGTTGTAGGTTTGACATATTCTTCAGGTTCTAAAGTGTAATCAATTCCATCAATTTTGAATGTAATTGTAGGAAAGGATTTGCTTTAGGAACAATGATCCTTTACATTCAAATTCCTTAATAAAGTGCCTACATCATCCATGGGTCCACTCATAATGGATGTTCCAGTATCAACAATTAATTTACATGATCCATCATTACATAATCCAATGTCTTAACCTCCTACTAAAATACTATCAGCTTTAATCATCCAATAATATTTATCAATAACATTATGATAATTAATATCTCCATCAATATGAGCTTCATTATATCCACCTAAAGTAAATTTACTATGTGTAATATCATTTGGATCTTTGGCAAAATAAAAGGCAAATTAATTTTTTCTAGAGCATTTTATTACATCATATTATCAAAGACAGGATTAAAATTTTTGGGAGCCATCTATGGATATGCTAAACCAAGAATTCCATCAAAATCAAGACTTTTGAAAATAATTCCATTTTCACTTGTTATTTCAGCTAAGTTTTATCTAGGTAATTTAATATCTCCAAAATATATAGAATCAGAATTAACAATTCCTTTTAATTCTCCACTACCAAATTCTACTGTTAATTCTTAATTTAATGGCAAAAACGAATGACTGTCTTCGTGTTTGTATTGTTTATGTCTCAAACAACCTGGCTCTTAACATCTATTTGAATCAATCCAAAGATTTGCACTACCTGTGTCTAATACAACTTTAAAAACATTTCCAGATTAATCAATTCCTATATCTGCTGTGTATTGGATGTTTTTAAAATTATGTAATCTTAGATTTTCAGAGGCAGAAGATTTCTAAATGAATTAATTTTCAAACAATTTTTTTTGATTTAAAGCCACAAAATTATAGAAATCTTGTGAGTCTTTTACATTCACAATTTTTTCATTGAGTTTGATATGTTGAATCTTTTGTTTTTATTACTCAGGTTATAAAGGTACTTATTCTTCCTATATACTCTATTTATTTTTTTAGCTTACATGTTTATGGCATTTGTGAAGAATAAAGCAAAAAAACACAACCAAATTATACTGTGTTTCATTAAAAAAAAAAAGATAAATTTTATATTGATTATAATTATTATTAAGTTACTAGATAATATAGATGTAAAAAGAGTGTGTGTGTGATTCTAATATAATAAAAAGTGATGAAGATAAATTTTGTTTTATATCAAATTTAAATATCTTTAATTAATTAAATAAAATGCTTGGATCATACAAGAGATATTGGGAGCCATCTCTTACAGAAGTAGTTGGTCTTTCAGTGCCAGTAGGTGCAATTGCTACATTCTTTACTTAACCATTGGGTAACAGCTATATAATTTACATCCAGAATTTGTTAAAACTAGAATCTAAGTCAGAACCGAAGGAATTGGTTTGAGATAATTGAGAAATGAATTGGGAGTGAATCCATGGAGAATATTCAGAGAGATTCATGAAACTGGAGGAGGCTTGAGTCATTTTTATTATGGATTTGACGCAGCATTATACAGTAGATTAGGCTATCTCTTTATTAGAAACTTTTTGTATCAAATATTTAAACATTTAGATATAAAGCAATATACGATTAAGTTAAGCCAGTCAAACCATTCAATGATTTGACACTAAGAGAAAAGGCTGTTCTCTCTGGATCTGTTGGAGCATTTGCTGCATTTGTTACATCTCCATTTGAATTAGCTTAAGTCAGAATGATAGCTGATGGTGGTCTCCCTCAACCTTTAAGAAGAAATTACAAATCAGCATTTGATGCCATTAATAGAATCTAGGTTGAAGAAGGTAACATAAACAACTAAAAAATTAGGAGGAAGCAGAGCATTATTCAGAGGAGCCTTTGCTCATGTTGTGAAATTAGCAGCCTTAAACGTATCCTTAACAGGACCATATGATTACATGAAGGAAAAAATTTGGTTGGTTTTCGGAGATTTTGGATTTAATCATTTCCTTGCATTAACTTGGGCTTCATTTTGGGCAACACTTTTCACTTTACCCTTAGATAATGTCTAAACCAGAGTTCTTAAGGCATTCCCAGATCCCTCTAAAAATAGGTAATTATAGTCTTATTAAAATATTAGATTAAATTACTAAAATTATTTGGATGTTTTCAAACAAATTTACTTCTATGAAAGAGTACATGGATTTTATGCAGGTGCTTTACCTTATTATGGCAAAATGTTCATAACTGCTTGGTTAACATGCACATTAGTCAATGGAGTCATGGATAGTCAAAAGAGAGCTGCAGGATTAGAAGAATGGCAAATTTGATTAATTATAAATCAAACACAATTATCATAATAATTCTTCTTATTTATGAATTTTTAAATAATTCAAACAATCACATTTTACTTTTTCATTTGGGTAATTAAACCATTTGCGAATGTAGGATTATCATTCACTTATTATACAACCTACATAGCAATCTATTTAACAGATTTTGTACTTTCATTATTTGTAAAAGAATGCGAATCCAGAAATCAAACTGTTTTCCATAAACTACGTAAAATACTCAACAAACATAAACCATATTATGGAGTATATACTTAAGCAAGTAATAATAAATAATTATCATATCTATAGCTGACATGATCATTGATTAAGGTTACAATTTTGAAAGCCATAAAATAATTACAGAAGATGGTTACATTCTCACAATTTGGAGAATCTACAAAGATGTAACTCATCCACATCCTCATCCAATCATTATGTAACATGGATTATTGGATAGTTCATGGTCTTGGCTTATCAATAACGATAAAAAGCTAACATTGCCATATATTTTAGCAGAATAAGGCTATGACGTATGGCTAGCTAATAATAGATGTAATAAATATTGTATTGGACATACTAAATTATAAAGTGTAAATTATAATCAACAATTTTGGGATTGTTCCTTTGATGACTTAGCAAAATATGACTTCAAAGCAATCATAATATATGTTAAAAATGTTACTCAAAGAGCAAAAGTAATATATTTAGGTCACTCTCAAGGTACTACATAAGCATTTGCTTATTTATCAAATAACATTGAATTTCAGCATCATCTTAAATGTTTTATTGGACTTGGTCCAGCCATGTTTATTTCTAATTTGGTAATCCTAATTATTTCTATTTTTTAGAGATCAAATTTTTTGTAATGGGCTATTAAATTATATTTATTTGAATTGATATATTATTTGGGAATTCCCTATTTCTTTGTTTTTGATGATGGTTTTAATATTAAAATAGGAGCTCTTTGTTATATGATACCTTCTATATTTAGAAGCTTCTTTTTCGAAATTACAAATTAATTGTGTGGTTTTCCATAAAAAAATAAGATCGATTTGAATCGTTTCGGTAATATGGTTGCTCATGAGCCTGGAGGTTCAGCATCTAAAAATATTGTATAATGGTATATATATATATATATATATATATAATTTTAGGATGTAATTCTTTAGATCAAAATAATTATAATATTTTGATTATGGAACTAGTTAAAATTTAATATTATATGGATAAAGAGATCCTCCTCCATATCCAGTAGATAATTTGAAGAATTTTATAATTCCTAAATACTTTTATTTGGGAACAAAAGATGTAATTACAGATACAGATGATTTGGGTAAAATGTTAAGTAAGTTGGATTAAACACATATGAAAGTAGAATTTATAGATGATTATGCTCATTTAGATTATGTATGGGCTGTTGATGCTCATGTAAAATTGTATCCATCAATATTAAAAAATATTAAGGAGAATTAAAATTGATCATAAGAATTAATTAATAATATGTATAATTTATATCAATCTTCAAATTTAACTAATTAATCTTCATTTTAACCATTTTATTAAATATTTGGAGTATTAACTAATACTTCTTAATTCAAATGATGTTAATTCTATTATTATATATTATAATATTAATTAATATTCTAATTCTATTATTCTTATTCTTATTTATCTAAATCTTCTTATGATTGAACAATTTCTAATGCTTTATGTACTCTATTTTCAATTTCAATAGGATTTAGATGAGGTAATAATTAATTACCAATTCTTTTTTATTCTTGTTATCCTTAATTAATAGTCCCTTTACTCAAAGGAGGTGATTCATTTTATCTTATTGATTTAAATGGAGCAACTTATGATAATTTGACTTGAGTATTTAATCTACTTTCTATTAGATTATGAGATTGAAATTAATCTAAATTTTTTTCATCTGATGATCCTCCACTTTTAGATTTACATTCTTCAATAAATTAATGTGGATCATATATCCAAATATATATTTTTCTAATAATCCATGAGAAAAAGAAAATAACTGAAATAGCTGCAAAACATATTAATAAAACATAAGATTCAGATCGATTAGGAAATATTTATTGTAGTTGTTCATTTGACTTTTTAGCAGCTAAATCTGAAGGTGTTAATGTTTTAAGTACTTATGTATTCAATAAAGTATTTTAAAGTGAGAATGTTAAATCAATGGATTCAACAGTATTAATATAATTATAAGAGAATCCATATTAAGTGATTAAGAAGACAAAGTAAAGTGTTTAATTTTAATTTAATCTTCTATTATTAATTATTTAATATCTATAAACTCGATCTGTAGATATTTCATCAATTTCAATTCCATTTTCTAATTTAGAATCACTTATATTTTTAATATTTGAAGCAATTACATAAGAATCAATTTGATATAGTTTTTCACCACCTTAATTTAATGTAATATCCATAACTATGTTATCATTAAATTGATTATATCCTATATTTTTAACAGATATTATTATTACACAACCTTTTTCATTAGACTCAAGTTGATTACATAGCATTTTACGATTTTAACAATTAAATTGTTTTTCAAATTATATTCTAGATATATATAAATATCATTTACTGTAGTGAAGGACTGTAATGCTATAAAAAATCTAATAAAAGATTTTAGTAGTTTAGGATTGTCTAATTTAATGTATTTTATCCAATATTAATAGTAAAACATATGTTATTGATTTGATAAATATAATTTTAACATAAATCTCCATTAATTTCAATTTCATATAGTGTTTAATAATCTCCCATATTTAATTTGTATGCTTATGAAACTTAATAAAGTAATTGTTAATAAGTCTATTAATTCAAATCAGGAATAATTATATTATCTAATTCACCTCCAATTACAATTACAATATTTGGTCTAATCTATTAAACTAATTTATCAATTGCTAATGTTTCAGATTCAGAAAAAGCATTTCTGCCTCTATAGATTTAACTACATTTATTTGAAGATGATCCTATTTCATTGATTCCAAATTTAAATTGAAAATTTCTTGAAAGATCTACACCTAATTCAGTTTATGAACATTTGTTATAATTTGAAGGATTTCTATTTTTATTTATGAGAGGTATATTGAAAGTTTGACTAAATTAATATGTTATATATTGTAATCCATCTATATTTATTAATGGAGTAATCCATAATTATTTATCTTAAAGTAGAGTTATCATAAATGGATTCTTATTAGAAAGTTATATGGTTATATAGTATAATTAATAAAGAAGATAATTAACTGATATTAAATCAGTACTACCACGCAACATTCCAATGATTGTTATTTAATATTTTGGTGATTTAGATGCTGAAATTTTGATTGTCTTAATTTAGGTTCCTTGATAAGTATTCCCAAAGGATTGTAATGTTACTTATTTAGGAAATGAATTTGCCAATTTTTCAATTAAATCAGAATATTCATTTAATCCTATATACCCTTATATTGAACCAGACATAAAGTATTCTTAAAGTGTTTCTATTTTTAATTTCTAAATTTAAAAGGGTGTAAGATCCAAAAATTGAGAGATACTTAAAGACTAAGAAATTTGTATAAGTAATATAAAAATCATAATTATTAATTTATGTAAATTGCTAATTATTAAATTGAACTACCCATTTCTTTGGATTACTCTTACTAATTGTTATATCGTGGATTCGATGATACTAATTAATCATATTACATTAATATATTCCCAAAATCTGAATTAGATTTAACAATGTATGAAAGCATTTCCAAGAAAATATAATATTTTCATTACATTAAAGAAGCTATAGAAGATGATAATAATCTATTCATTATTTATTCAAATAGTAATACTTGGATTAAAATGCCTTCTATAATTACTAATCAATAATTCAACACATATCTCAAATAATTATATGATCTCTATTCGTTAGATGTTTTAGGAGTATATGATTTCAATCCTGATTTTCTTTATATCAATTAAAATAATGTTTACATTATTGATTATGGATTAAAATATACTCTTCATTAAATTAAATACCAACAATTATATAACAATAATTATCAACAAAACTAATTGATGAAAACTTGGATGTTTGGCAGTTTACTTTATAGTCTGACAACTGGAACAAAAGATCCAAGTTTATTAATTAAACTAAATCAACAATAAATTAATTATTATATTGAATATAATTGTAGGTAGAATAATATTAGTGAAGAAAATATTAATTTTATTAAGATCTTACTTCAAGTAGATTATGATATTCGTCCTGCATTTGATTAACTTGCTAATTTACCAAAACTAAAAAATAAGTAATTTATTAAAATGCATACTTAAACATCATTCAATAATAACAACTAAAAAACTATTATCAAATTAGATAATCTTAATGATTAAATTTCTAAATCAACTACTAAATAGACTAAATCATAATTTGTACTTAGTAGACATCATACTCTAATTAAACTTGGTTTAAAGTCAAATTTTTTTAATACTTCCTAAAAATAGAATAAAAATTCTAATCTAAATTCATATCAATATGCTTAGTAATTAATTAAATCAAAAGTTTCTCTTAAACATGGATAACTCATCAAAAATATTTCAACTACAAAATCTTTATATAATCAAAGCTAATTCTAAAATTAAACTAATGTAAAAGAATAATAATCAAACTAAACTGCCAGAATTAATTAAAAGAATCTATCAATTAATATTGATATAATTAAACCAAATAGAACTACATCAGTTAATACAAAATCATTAGATTAATAAACCACTGCCTAAACCAATCAATTACCAATTAAATAAAAATAAGAAAATAAATTTGATTTCAAATAAAAACCTAAAAAGAATCAAATTAACTCTTTTGAGTAAGATTTCTTCTTAAGGGATGAAGAGGAGAGGTCTGATATAAGTTTTTGAATTTATAAAATACATCCTATAATAAATATATAAAATATTACTAATTTTTGTTTACTATAATTTAAAATTCAAAAATCATAAGATTACTAATACTAAGATTGATTATAAACTTATATTATTAGATCTTCAAACTTAATTAATTTTATTGCATTGAAATAATAGTATAATCTCTTTATCTCTTGTAGTATTTATATACAATAATTTAACATAGTTATACTTTAATTTTATAAATTATGTTATAATTATTCTAAATCATTTTTGTACAATCACAGAATTTATTATAGTATTTCAAATATTTTTGTTAATTTATTTATATATCATTTTATCGTTTTATAATATTATAATCATACTACTATTTATAAGTGTATTATAGTAATGATTGTTAATTTTATAATTAATTATCAATATTCTTTGGATTTATTACAAAAATAATTAAATTTCATTATAAAATTATGTTAATTTATAATCATTCATTCTAAGGAAGTAATGCTCCTAATTATTCTAAAATGTTCTGTCTTAATTGATTTTTTACTTCCACATCTTTTTCCACATTCCATTATTCCAATATCACTTGAGCAATTTAATGAAGAGTATCAAAAACTTGATTAGCAAATTCATCTTCTGGTTCTGGATGTGGTGGTTAAGGAGGTCTAGGATGAGGTGGTCTTTGATGATTCTCATTATTTTCTTCATGAATTCTAGAAGATACAGATTAGATTTCAATTGGTTCAACTGGAGTTTATGCTATAGGGAGTAAATTTTCTAAATTTTATATTAAAAGAATTCTAATTTAATTTTTTAAAACTGGATCTTCAGTTAATCTCCAATCTTAAAGTATTCCTTTTTCAATTTATTTTAAAGTTTTAAATACTGATCTAGTAAACTCATCTGGTCTTGGTCTATGGGATTTCTATTCATCTTCTGAGCTATCTGAATCATCAGAACTTGAAGATGAATATGATAATTCAGAATCAGAATCTTCAGATAAACTGTATGATGAATATTCACTAATTGATTCTTTAGAATAGTATTGATCATCTGATGATTGATTAGAATAATCATATGATTCGGTTGAGGATTCAGAATAACTCCTTGAATTTTTATCATGATGTTTATTCTTTCTTTCTGAACCTCTTAAGCTACTAAAAGCAATAGTAATTAATAAGAAGGATATGAGTATATGTTTCATTGTAATTATTAGTAATACTTTAGAGATTAGGATTTTTAAAATAGGGGATATTCTATAATAAAATTATAGAATGATCTATAATATTATATAATAATTTTGATTAATAAAAATAATTATAATTTATATATTATGAATCATTTTCAATAATAATTCAATTTTTTTGTAATTTAATCTTTGATTAGGTTTACTTGTTTAATTATTTAATTTTCATTTATTCCTGTATTACGTAAATACTCAATTAACACTTGTGTTTCTGCTCTGTCATCCCAACTTAATGAACCTTTCTATTTCTTTCTGACAACATCATTATGATAGAACATTTACTCCTCATATTGAACATTGTCATAGAATATTGTATTAACATAATTATGAGGTATTAATCTTGTTTCTGTAGATGATGCTGGTGCCCATGCTTGGATATAGATTTCACCTTGAAAGAATTCAGTTGGCTCATTTATTTCAGTAGGATAAGCACAACGAAATTTCAACATAGCCTTAAATGGATATAGAATGGATTTAGTTACTTTTTAAGGTTAGAGTATTTTAACCCATTCCATTTGTAATTGATTGTCTCTTAGTACTGCTTACTCATTTTCAATAGGGGTCATACATTTAAAATTGGCAGTTCGAATGTCTGAAATGAATAGATAATCATTCTTGTTAATTAATTTATACCTAAAACAATTCCTTAAATTTTTAGGCTTCTTCATTAGTGAAACAACGTTAGTAAATAGTAATCTTTGGTCCCTATTTTACTTAAAAGTCATTTGGATCAAATAGATAAAATTTATGATTTTAAAATAAATCAGATAACAATTATATGTGAAATCCTGGAGCTGCTCCTGCATATATAATATTCCTAGATAAACAACCATACTTTGTCAAAAACCATATCTCACTAATAAGTAATTTCCTTTGTCCCCAATGAACAACATCTTCTTTCTCTCTTTATGCTCTTGAATAATATTTTTTTCTTTAATTATTCTCTTGTAAAAGTAATTAAATAGGTTCATTGCATTTTTTAATCTAAAACAATTATTACTTCAGCAAATTCGTTTAATTATAAGTCATTAATTTATCCTCTTATTCAATTTTAATTTAAGAAGGTACTATTATTTTTGGAATCTCAAGTGTTTGTGATACAATAACTTTGGGTACCTTAAGTTCGAAAAGAGTATGAGTAATTTCCATTGAAATTTTTGTTTATTTATTTTCTAATTGATCCTCTTTAGGATGTTAAACTTCCTATAACTGTTTACATTGTTCAAGTTTGATTTAATCATCAATAGATTTGTTTATATGATCTTCCAATTTGATAACAATTTTATTTATTTTTTTCTCTTATTTTGAATTCAATCCTATAACAAGTTTTTCCTTTGGCATTAGAGACATCTGAGGCCTTTGACTATTTAGTACTGTTTGACTAGAATGAGACATGTCTAGAATCTTCTTTGTAGATTATACTATTCTCATAGACATTTTTAATAAAACAATTAAATTATGAGAAATTAAGTAATATATTGGGGAATGATAAAGTATATTTGAAATAAAAAATGATTGATATATTTTTAATTTAAGCCATAGATTATTATTATATATAGTAATAATACCTTTAAATATTTTAACATTATATTAACTAAAAGAGATTTAAAAAATGTTANATTAATCTTGTTTCTGTAGATGATGCTGGTGCCCATGCTTGGATATAGATTTCACCTTGAAAGAATTCAGTTGGCTCATTTATTTCAGTAGGATAAGCACAACGAAATTTCAACATAGCCTTAAATGGATATAGAATGGATTTAGTTACTTTTTAAGGTTAGAGTATTTTAACCCATTCCATTTGTAATTGATTGTCTCTTAGTACTGCTTACTCATTTTCAATAGGGGTCATACATTTAAAATTGGCAGTTCGAATGTCTGAAATGAATAGATAATCATTCTTGTTAATTAATTTATACCTAAAACAATTCCTTAAATTTTTAGGCTTCTTCATTAGTGAAACAACGTTAGTAAATAGTAATCTTTGGTCCCTATTTTACTTAAAAGTCATTTGGATCAAATAGATAAAATTTATGATTTTAAAATAAATCAGATAACAATTATATGTGAAATCCTGGAGCTGCTCCTGCATATATAATATTCCTAGATAAACAACCATACTTTGTCAAAAACCATATCTCACTAATAAGTAATTTCCTTTGTCCCCAATGAACAACATCTTCTTTCTCTCTTTATGCTCTTGAATAATATTTTTTTCTTTAATTATTCTCTTGTAAAAGTAATTAAATAGGTTCATTGCATTTTTTAATCTAAAACAATTATTACTTCAGCAAATTCGTTTAATTATAAGTCATTAATTTATCCTCTTATTCAATTTTAATTTAAGAAGGTACTATTATTTTTGGAATCTCAAGTGTTTGTGATACAATAACTTTGGGTACCTTAAGTTCGAAAAGAGTATGAGTAATTTCCATTGAAATTTTTGTTTATTTATTTTCTAATTGATCCTCTTTAGGATGTTAAACTTCCTATAACTGTTTACATTGTTCAAGTTTGATTTAATCATCAATAGATTTGTTTATATGATCTTCCAATTTGATAACAATTTTATTTATTTTTTTCTCTTATTTTGAATTCAATCCTATAACAAGTTTTTCCTTTGGCATTAGAGACATCTGAGGCCTTTGACTATTTAGTACTGTTTGACTAGAATGAGACATGTCTAGAATCTTCTTTGTAGATTATACTATTCTCATAGACATTTTTAATAAAACAATTAAATTATGAGAAATTAAGTAATATATTGGGGAATGATAAAGTATATTTGAAATAAAAAATGATTGATATATTTTTAATTTAAGCCATAGATTATTATTATATATAGTAATAATACCTTTAAATATTTTAACATTATATTAACTAAAAGAGATTTAAAAAATGTTATTATTCAGTATAAGAAATGAAAGAAAAATAACTATTTGAATTTCAAATTATTAAATGTTGAGAAATGCAAATTAGTAGTATATCAATTATAATAAAAATAATATTGTATTTTTGTAAATCAATTAAAAATCATGAATCTTTAGTTTTTATTTATAATAGAGCCAACTTCTCTAAATCATATTATTCTAATTGTTTATAGAAATGAACAGCAATATCTAATTGGGGTATTAGATTTTGTAACATTTCAATACCTAATTTCAAAGGTACTTTTATCTCATTTATCAAATAAGCTAAGATAAAGCATGGACCAATATTAAGTCCATCTCTACAATGAATAAGCACTTTCCCTTTTTATAGTAATGTCTATATAATAATTTATTGAAATATTCTACTTCTCTAATGAATCTATTACTAATTCTAAAGTGTTTTTTAATATCCTCATCAGAAGTATTGTGAACATCAATATTTAAATATTTAAAATATTTAGTTCTTTTTGTATATTCCATAGAGGTTAAATTCAATACATTTGTTACTGCTTTTTATAATAAAAATTTTGTCCATAAACCCATTGCAAATCCACAAAGATAAATTCCAGGTTAAATTTCAACAAATAAAGTCTCTTTTAATTGAGATTGATAATTATAAGGACAAAATGATAAATGAGGAAACCTTAAACAAACAATATCCTCTTCTTCTTCTCCATATTCATCTAATCTACCTTCTCCTATAACTTTTGTTCCTTTTTCCTCTTCATCCTATCCTCTAAGAGTCTTTCTTGATTATTAATGACTTCCAATTTTAAGTTGAGATCTTTTTTCACTTTCTTTTGATCCAATCATTTTTCTATCATCCTCCTAAGGAACTCCTAATTCCTTTCTGGATTTTTAATCTGAAATAATATCTTTTCTAGAAGCACCTTCCATGCTTTAATTTGTTCGTCTGAATTATGAGCTTTTATCTGTTCGATTGAGCATAAAGCTTCTAATATTAAAATAATAATATAATTACAAATTTAAAGTTGTTTCATTTTTTTAATTAAATTTTCTGCAGTAAATTCAAAAATTATTGTAAAGAAGAGTAAGATTTGGATTAAATAAAATTTGTAAACTTTTATTATTCTGAATTATAGTAATAATTAGATAATCTTAAATAGAACGAGAGATATATATCAATAAATTATCAATATTTTTTGAAATAAATAGAAAATTAATACTGGATTCTTTATTTAGATATAAGTAATGCTCTTATTTTATAAATGGTAAATGATATTTGCTGATTTGATAATTTTCATCCATTGAAACAAATCTCTATCAATAATTTGATAATATTAATATCATGGTTTTTTTTTGATGGATAGATCATCTTGATTGATGCAAATAATAATGTAAGTTGTCTTTAAGTAACTATAATATGCTCTGGAGCTTTAGGAATATAAAATAGATATTATAATATATATACATTCACTAAAGTAGAGAATAATTATAATTAAATATAGGTTTTTTAATCGATAGAATTATCAGAGAATCAATTTTAAATAAAATCATTGATGATATGGGAAATTGGATTAGATTAGTAATATATATTCTACAATTTCACTAATATCTTCATTTTTAATTTAAAATTAGAAAATGATGATTATTTAAAAACAAATATTGATATTAAATAGATAATGAATCATAAAATTCATAAAATTAAAATAGTCAGCCTAAGATTTACTAATTTACTGCTTTCTTTCCATAAACTATATAATCTGCTTATAATCCATGTGCCATTTTTTTACCGGCTTATTTAATATATGAAATATATATACCTTTTGAATTAAACTAATATGCTTAACTGGATTAAAATTATTATTTCCCATAAATAACTTTGGGATCATACTTTTTTTTCTTCTTGATTTCAGGTAACATCATTTATTTATTTGATGATTATTTTTCTAAATCATCATCACTATCATGATGTTATGTATTTTTATATATACTCTCTACTTTTAAATCAAATTATAAAGATGGTAACTACAATTTAGAATATTAAAATTACTCCAGATTTCTTTTAAGATTTTGCATAATAATTCTATGTCTTTTTAAAATTTGGTTAATGCATCTATTTACTTTCCTCAATTCTTTGACTTCTTTCTAAAGAATTATCATTTCTATATATAAATATATTCATTACTATTCTCGATGATTAGAGATTCGAATCTATTATAGAGTATGTTAAAAACTCTTTTAAGTAGTATCTGCTTCATAGAGTTCTCTAAAATATTCATGTTTTAAAGCAGCTTGAGCAGTAATTCTTTCTTCAGGATCATAAACCAATAACATTTTGATTAAATCAATACATTCCTTAGATTATCCTTAGAGAAGTTTATCAATACCACTACCATGTTTATTTGGGAAATTAATTTCCATGTGAGTTGCTTATCTATTATAATAATTAGATTCTATTACTTTCTGAATCTATCAAAAATCTTTGGATTTGGAGTTCCCAAAATATTATGGATCTTATTAACTTAATCTAATTCATTAGTTCCTGGAAAGAGAGGAAATAGAGCTATGATTTCAAACATTACACATCCAACACCCCATAAATCCATTTTTAAGTCATAATATCCATCAGTCAATAAACATTCTGGGGCTCTATACCATCTAGTAGAAATATATCTATTATCAAAATTAAGTTAATTCATACTCTGTATATGGATGCTTTGAATATATGCCTTTGCATGATCCAAAATCTGCAAGTTTTAAATGATCTGAATTCAATAAAATGTTTTCACTATTTAATATTATAAATTATTACGGCTTGATATCTCTATGGAAGATACCATTTCTATGCATATGATCAATAGATTTTAACAGTTAATACATAAAGGATTTAACTTTCTATGGATTCAACGGTTGTCTTCTGCCTAATTGAATTGATTATTATCATACCTTTGATATGTTCATATAGATTTTGTTCCATTAATTCAAATACTAAAGCCAATCTTCCTGTAGGTTCATCACTACCATAATTGTAATATATTAAGTTACTATAGAACTTCGATTAACTTAATGATATGTTCATGAGGACTCAATTTCCTTAGAGCTTGAATCTCTCTTAAATGATTGACCTTTAATCTTTATACAATTCTTTACTTATTCAATTGATGTGAATTTATTTTTCATACACTTTATAGCTACATAGTTTCCTGTTTTGAATGATTGTGATTTGATGACCTCTGAAAATGTTCCTTCACCTTTTTTTCCTACAAGTTTGTATTCTAATGTAAAATACAAAATTTCAATTACAATTCATTTTAGTTTTTTTGCCCTTTTATAATTAAGAATTAAATATCAATAAATAATGTCTAAAAAAATAATAAAATATAATAATAATCCATTTTTAAATAAAATTAGTAATTAATGACATTTTCAATTAATGATATATGAATAAAATTGAAAAATATAAAAAAATATAGAAGAAATTATATTAATATTTATCAATAATGTTATTATTTATTAAGAAAACTAGAATTAGAAATAAAACTAAAATTAGAATTAGAATATTTATGAAGAATTACTTATGTTATTAATATTTATACTACTCTTTTTTTATTACTTCGTTTGTTTTCTTAAAATCATTAATCACTTTAAAATTCTCGAACTAATTCTTTTAAAGGTTTCTTTTTGCCATCTTCATAAGATTTATTTAATTTTTCTGATCTATCACTCTCCTTTTCTTCTTCTTAATATTGGGTCTGGTTCTTAATGAATTTTTACTTTAGAATTAAAGTTGGAATTCATAACTTTTCTTGCAAATGATGTTGGATCCCTACTATCTACTAATCCAGAGCCAAACTCTTTTATATAAATTTAGTATGCTGCTTAAATGTGCATTTGATTTCGTTTGAAATTGAGATGAGGCTTTGGTTTATCATAAAAAAATGGAGTTTATTTATTACAAGGTTGATCGAAATTAGGCAACAAGTGACTCATAATTTATTGACTGAAACAAGAATTGAAGTATTATTAAGCTTATTAATCAGGTCTGAAATTGACATCCCTTTTAGAATAAGAAAGTTCCTTAGTTGATGGTTACTTATTTTTGATTGTATTTTTTTATTTCATTTATTGAGGCTATTTCCTTATAGGAGCCTTTGATATTTTCTTAACTAATAATCATTAGACAGATTATTAACCTTTATTAATTTCGGAGACCAAATTGTAAAAATTTTTGACAACCTATCTAAAATCCTTGTCATCATATATTTTTCTTCTATTCCTGATTAACTGAAACGATATTTGGAATACTTCATACATATGATGATTTTTAACGAAGATGATTAATATTATTTGAACTCTCTTAATAATGGTCATTTTCGGCTTGCATTAATCTGATATAAGTATTAAATTAAAGCATTTTGCCATTTAAAAAAATGTGTTAACAAAATATACATAAGAATGATTTCAAAAATATAAATTTTATACTGCTTCTTCCACACTCTCATATTAATTTAATTTATCCAATTTGAAATGTGACAATATAACTGGTCTCACATCATCAACAGGTAAAATATTTTAGCACAAATATCTATACAATTTGATCAATTAATTATCTTTATCATCATGATAATATGGTAAAATCGGAATCCCATTCTCTAAATGGTGTCTAACTTTGTGTTAAAATCAATAATTACGCAAAACTATAAGAAGAATTATCAATCAAAACAACATTCTTCAAATCCCTATTTAAAACTCCTAGATGTTTTATTAAATTATTATCACCAACTGAAATACAACTCTCTCTAAAAATTCTATAACTTAATTTATTATTTGGATCTAAAATATTAATAACCTAATTATTAATTTTTTATATACTTTATTAGCATATACATCTTAAGATGCAGTAAAGATCATAACTTCACATTAATCACTTAGTTTTTGAATAATTTCCTTTGCAAAATTTCTAATGTTTATACCAGCTTCTATTATTTCTCCATCTTCAAATTGGATGTCAATTTTAAACTAGCATTTATCATTTTCATCTTCATTACAATGTATTAAAGTCTCATCCATATCAAATATTATTGTCTTATTGTCTTAACTTAAATTATAAAACTTTACATTTCTTATTTAAATTTAATGGAATATTTAAGAGTTTCTTTTTAATTTATTCTTGATCAATTTATAAATTCTTTATAATAGGTATGTAAGTGAAAGATGATTATATATGTTCTCTAAACAAGGCTGAACTTTATGATTTCTAATTCAAAATTGCATTCTATAAGTCTCCCACATAATATACTAAGTTAATGTCATTATATACAATGCGATATTTGTGAAGGACCTTTCTATGCAATCTATTTAAAAGAGTGTGGTTTCTCATTCTATTAATGTTAAGTAACAAAACTGTGGTTTTTAAGTTTTTAACTTTAATATTTGCTAAAATTCTCAAAGATTGGTTTTGCTTAGCTCTACACTTTGAATAATTATGGTTACTGCGGTTTCTTATTGTCTCGATTAGAATTATATTGATTTTTTGAATCTTCCAATTATTATTTATCTGCAGTATTAGCTCTTGCTATTCCTATTGATTTCTAAGGATTATTCTATTGATTTCCACTAATTAATTAATTACACAAATACTTATCATCATTTTGTTTTTATGAATTCTAACTTTTTGAATATTTTCTCATAGCCTCAAGATCTGTCGTATATCTTCTTTATTCATTTGGATTGATTCTGTATTAGATAACAGGTCTAGCACCATTACTATAATATAATGGATTCATTGTTATTCTAGGGGGTAATTTACAATTTATTTCCATTAAAATAAAATTATATCAATAATAAAGCAATATTTCATTTAATTTAATAATTTAAAACCCTTTGATATATATTAACAAATAGATGAAAATAATTAATTTTAATATTATTTCATCACTTTGATTTCTTCTTTCTCTTAATCTATTGTAATGGATTGAATTTTTAATGATGTGATCTACATTAAGTGGCAGTTCTTGTAAGTATAAATTAACTCATCATTTTAAAAATCTTTTTGGATTTTTTATCATATTGTGACTTTAAAATATCAAAGTGATTTTTTATAAATTCAAGATATAATTCATGCTCCTATTGAGTCCAATGACCTATTTTTGATAATAGATTTTCTAAATACCATTTAATTTAGTCTAATATATATCTCTCTCTGTTTCATTCTTTATACATAAAGGTTCTTATAACACTTAAGATTATCGTTAAATGTCTAAATTTTATTATTATTCCTGTTTATTTAAAATTTTTCTTTCTTAAACACTTGCATGTATTGTATTTAATAAATAATTGTCATCAAAATGCATTTAAGGCATTACTTTAAAGTAAATGATAAATTATACTGTATTAAAACAATTAGGGTTAATATTAAAGACAGATTAAAAAAGTTGATTTGGCTACTTAGGTTTTAAAGATTCTATTCATATATTCTTCTTAATTCATTTCTTATTGGAGGAATATATAATATTTATATTAATACTCAAAAATTGCAACATGTTATTATGCATTTATAAGAATTTGTTAATCTAATTATAGAGGATTACTTAAATGTTCAAAAATATAAATAATATTTGTCAGAACTCATTTATAGTTCAATATGTTTCATTTTTATTTGAACACTGGTTCAATTTTAAATAATGCGTAATTAAGCATTTAATCCATTAAAATTTAATGTAAATAAATAATGATATAATAAATCATATTAACAATTAAAATTTGTTAATATATAAAAATTATTAAAATTTGATTAGAATGAATATTGCATTTTTGACCTTATAGTATTAGGAATTTTGAATAAAAGATAGTTAATAAATGAATAATTAATATTATATACTCCAATACTCATACTTCTTATTACTTCTAATAATATTAGATATCTTAATTTAAATTCTCAATTCCTTGATTTATTATAGGTGCTATTCCACTAAGTGATTACTATGATTAATAAGTATTTTATTTACATCTTGTAAGAGTTTCTTTAAGTCCTTTTATAATGTATTCAAATAATCTATATTTTATTTAATAATTTAATTGTTTCTATTATAATAAATAAAATCATCATACTTATCTCTTTATTATTATTATTGTTTAGATAATTTTTATTATTGTTGTTTTTACACAACTGGCTTTGTAAGATTTGTGAAATCTTTCTTTTGAACACTTTCAATAGTCTATTAAAACTCTTCTATTGCTACTTCTAAAGTTTACTAATGTTATATTTATATATATATTGATTACTTTAGTTTAATCAAATTTAGTGAAATCAGGAAGAGGATCATCAGGTTTAAAGGCTTAACCTCCAAAATTACTTAATTGATTCAACATTTCTGTCAATTTAGGTATCATACTTAAACTACCAAGTAATCCTTCTCCTTTATTTAAACCACTTAATAAACTAGTAGGATCTAGATTAGAAGTATCACTTGGCAATCCATGATTACAATGAGCATGATCATGATGATGTTCATCATTTCCATGATGATCATGACAATTATGATCGTGTTGATGTTATTAATTTTTTGGTACTATTTAATTTTATGGTTATTATTATTATGATTATTTTTCCTATTTAGCTTTATTCTTATTCTTTTTTTTCTTATTATCCATTTTTGAATTTTGATTATTTAAATTAATGTATATAATTTCAATAAAAATAGAACATACTAATTATATATAATTATAATGAATCATTATTTATAAACAATCATATTAATTAATTATTAAACCTCTAAAACTATATAAGGCTATTCAACATTAAGTATCTATTTTAATTATTTTATTGTATTTGCAATTTGAACATAATCATTAATAATAATCTTTAACCATTTCCATGCATCAGATAATGAAACATTTTAATCTAAAAATAATTACAAATATTTCAATACTTTCATATAATTTTGGTTATAATTTTATTATCATATCTTTAACACATTCTGTAAACTTTTTATATAGTTGGAATTGTTTTTAATCAACATTATCATATTAAGACATTGATTTTTTTCTATTCATTTGAATTGATATATCTTGATTTGTTATATCAGTAATAGATGTTTAATAAAATGTAGAATCAACTGATTTTCTTTTTCTAATCATATTTATTTAATTCATTAATTCCTCTTTTTATTATGTAATCTCATTCAAAAGTTTATTTGATTTTATAACATTGTTTTTTTAAACATTTAATTCTTCATATAATTTTTAATTTAATTTTTTTAATTCGTTAATCTATTGAATTTTATTCTCTCTGTCTCTTTCACATTCCTCTAATGCTTTTTTTAAATCAGAAATTGTTTTATCTGTTACATCTCTTTATGTATTGGAAAGTAAGAGAAGAGATGAATTTTGAATATCATCAATCAATAATGAATTGTTATCTACATATTATTTATTTTATGCAGACTCCTTATAAATTTATAGTTTTTGCATGATTTCTATTTGATCAATTTCTAATTGCTTATACTTTTAAGCCAATTCTTATTTAATCTCTTTGAACATAAAATTCCTTTGATTTATTTTTATAATTTTTTTAATTATTTGATTCAAAATAATATTCATAATTAACAATATGCTATAAAATAAAGTATTTATTCATTATTTATAGGTATATTAAAATACTAATATGATTGATGAATAGTAAAAAAAATTAATAATTTGAGTAACATCTATATGTCAATATTTTTATAGTCCTTATTTAATGAATTAATTCCATTCTTTTTTTTTTACTACATTTTGACTATGATTAGTTTCTTCATCATATTGTTTCTCCATTTACAAATAAAACTAGAATGTATCTTGAAACAACTTAATTCATTCCATTCTATAATTCTTAGTATATTTGTATTTGTCTGCTTTATTTTACTCTTTATTTATATTTTTACTTTTATCTAAATCTAAAGCACATAAACATCCAATTAGATAATGTCCAGTTTTATGTTCTAATAATCTATCCCATTTATTTTTCACCCAAGATTTAATTGCTAAAACAACACCAACTTTAAATGATAAGACGATATTTAATATTCTATGATCTCTTCATCTTCTTCATATTGATATCAAATTTATATCCAACAGTCCAAAAACAATGAGCCTTCTATTAAGATGATATATTAGGAGATGCTATAAAATAACTCCAATCAATTTTCAGAAATTTAATACCATTAATAGTTACAGGTAATACCCCTTTAAAATCATCATAATTAAAACATATTAAAGGATCTTATGATGTATTTTTGTAAACCAATATATCAAATTTTTTTAAGTTATTATACTCTGCATATTTTCCTCTTCTAATTTGGAAAAACTCTTAGGTGGACTTGTAGTATCATATAAATAATAATAATTTATATTAAAATAGTTAAATTTCATTATTCATTATCAATAAATGAATTACTACAACATGTGAAATTGTACGAAATGATTGGCAAATGATGGATTTTCTTAATTTAATTAATTATTACTTAAATTATGATTAAGCTCTTTTGAATGGATTTTAGTTTTAGCTCTTTTTATTTTGTAAAAGCTTTCTATTCTCACTCTATCTAACTGAGGTTATCATTGAAACTTCAATAAATGTTTTAATTATAAACAATAACTATAATAATGATCAATATTATTTAATTAAATTAAGTTAGATCTCTCTATTGTGATAAAATAATTCTTAAATATCATATTGAAAAACAAAAAATAATATCATATATTTTAAAAATGTTTAAAAATAAAATAAAGAATTCAGATAATAATAATAAATACCATTCATATACTAATAAATTATTATATTATAAATATTGACTAATAAATATTATTCATTTACTAATTTTTATTTATTAATTTATTTCTTCTTATTCCATAGAAACTCTATTCTTTAAATCAGGCAATTTTGAAGAAAAAAAAGAAAGTTTATTTTTAAGTATCATTTCTTAATTAATTTATTCTATTTACATCCCAGGAATATTAAATTAAGATCTTAATTGAAATTAAATATTAAAAATTACCTCTTTTCTTATTAAATTGGTTGTTATTGATTTGCAAAAACATTAGGTACATATTTTATTAAATTAGATGAATCTACTAAATTTAAAAATCCACTCATTTAATTGGAAAACTCATGCTATTAATTGTTTTAATCAAAATTTTTGATATTTTAATCACTTTCAATTTTTATCATTTAACTACTTAAGAAAGACATCAATTAATGTTTATTGCTAATAAATAGACTTTAAGATTTAGAATCATAAAAAGCAGGAGTAAGGCATTTTAGCTAATTAATATCAATTATATCAAATTATTAGATACTGAACTCACTATTCACTTTTTAGTTTTATGCTTGTTAAGCTTATTAAACTAATTTATAATTGTACTTTTAGTTATTTGAAATAATTTTTTTCTTTTTGAAATTTACATCAAAGGGGCTTCTGGATTTTACAATTTATTTTTCTTTTTCAATTCATCAATTAAAGTTGTAATAGATTAACAAGTATTTTTTTTCATTAAACAATTATAACGATTTTTTACTGCATTTTCACTTCTTTTTGATTTTAATATTTTTGATATTAATGCCCATTTTTTCTATTTTTTTTTTACTAATTCTAATAATTCAATATCTTCTTCTAAACTCCATTAATGTCTATTTATATCAGGATTAAGATGATTATTCCATCTTTCTCTACATTGCTTCCCTGTTCTTGGAGAATCTTTAAATTAGGCATTTAATAAATTAGCTATGATGCACCATTTATTCTACATTCCTTATTCTTTGCTTTAACTAAAGCTAATTTTCAATTATACTTAATCAATTATATTAAATATTCATCTTATTCTTATGTCCATGGTAATTATTACAAGGATAATTTCAATAAATCATTCCATTTGATTTTACATTATTCAGCAGTCCTCCTGCCGATTAATTGCTCTACATCTTCCCATACTTTAGTTGGCTATTATTTAAATCTTATATAATACAATTTTTCTGAAGTGAATACCATCTCTAGAACAGATTTTTAATACAATCCATATAAGAATTTATTTATCTTCTTCTGTCCAATTTTTTTTTATCTTTGGAATCCACAATTTAAACAATTCCTATTACATTTCAAAAACTTATTAGTTTGTATAAAGTTCTTAAACATGAAATTCTTCTTATAAAAATCTAAATATAAGTGCTTAATACTCTAAAGATGGAATTTGCTAATCTTTATTTTTTTCATAAAAGGTTTAAAAATTGCAGAAAAAATTTCTATTAGTATCAGATATCTACTGGACACTTTTTTGTTTTTCTTACAAATATACTTTATATTTATATACTCAATTCATTTTATCGGTTAAGATTTTCTAATCGTTGTTTCTTGCTCTCCCAATTTCTAGTTTACATAAATAAATTAAGAGTTGAGGAATTATTAATTTTATTTAAGCACATACATAATATCATAAAATATAGTCTGTCACAAAATCATATAGAATCAATACAAACATAAATAAATAAGAAAAAATTAAACCAATTTGTAACCTTTGTTCACAAAACTTAAAAGTGCAATTTTAAAGGAAAGTTATTTATTAATTCTTTAAAAATTTGAAAAACAAATGAAGAAATAAGAATAAACTTTTATTCTCAATTGTTATAAATTTTCAATTTCTTAAAATGTTAAAATTTTTATGTTTTACTATAATTTGTTTTTATATTTATAGTAATTAAATTCATTTATAAATATAAATTAATTTTTCGAAAATAAAAAACTTTTAAAGAATATATCCATGAAATATTATATGAATAATTGAACACATATCAGGATTTTAAATTGATTCTTTTATTTATAATTCTTTTTTAAATGAGACTTTATTAAATAGTTTTCAATTCTTATTTTTTATATGACTTTCTAGCTAAAGTTTTAATAGGTTTAATTGGATCTTGAATTTAATCAAATTAAGGTTTATATTACTTTAATTACTATTAATTTTCAGATGATATTTTATTAAATCAAAATAAATGATGAAATTGATTGTAACTTCTCGAATAGATAATTTATTTTTTCCTTTTTTTTGAAAACCTTTTATTAAAGTAGTAGGTTTCTTTACTATTACTTAAGTCCCCTAATATTTAATATCAACATCATTAAGCCTATATATATATTTATAACTTTTATCTCATTTAAGCCTTTTGTTTGATTAATGAAAAGCTTTATATAAATCTTTCATTTATAAATATAATATCCTTTTCATTTTAAGTTATAATAGTTTATTCACACATAAACTACTAGGCATTTCTAGAATTATTATAAAATCCTTTTATTTATTAAATATACATTCTATTATTAATAGAAATCTAATATTAGAAAAAGAATTAACTTAGAACAAATCTATAATGTAAATATTTCATTCTAAAGCATCTTGATTATCAAGAATATTTAAATATAATGGCAGTTATTTTATCTTAATCATTAATTATTACTTATTCTTTTTAAACTAATATTTGCATTTTATTAAAGGAATATTTAATTTTAGAGGTTATGTTACCTAAGAAATGAGAGAATTATTCCATTTATTTGTTATGTTTGTTTGGAAATTGTTAAAAAAATATGTAAAAGACTTTAATATTGCATAGAATTAATAAATGAGTATTGATTATAATACTTCTATATTGTAATTAAGATTTTGATTAGTAAATAAAATAAATAATATATTTATAAATTTCTAAATCTAAAAATGAATTCTTAAATCGACAGAAATTCTGATCCTCCTCAAACTAATGTGATTTTGGTTGTAATTACTAATAAAGCAAATAAAACATTGCAACATGATAAATATTTAAAAGTATTTAGTCCTTTCGGCACTATACAAAGAGTACATATATTTAAGTAGATTTTAAATAGATGCTTATATTCGAGAGATCTCTTACTTGGAAAACATTTGTTGAGTATGATAATGTAGAATCAGCATTCAAGGCAAGAACGTAAATGAATGACAAATATTTTTGTGATGATCCTTTATTATTAATGAATGTTTATGCGAGCAAATTAACCTATATCTCATTCTAAGAAAACAATGTGTGGGGTGTTGGTATATTTTCTAAGTTTATTAGATTATACAATACAAAAGTAAAAATAAAAAGAATAATCTCCACCGAATGAAGTAAATTAATCTTCTCAATCTTTAAAACCTATGTAGACAGTTCCTTAATAAAACTTCTAATTGTTACAATCATAAATGTTATTTTAACACTAAATGTCATAACAAATATAATTGATTAATACTTTAATGGGATAGTTGTAATAAGTATGTGTTGATGGATTTGCAACTCCTTTATTGTAGTCTATAGACTTGTTAAATTAAATTGAAAAACAGCAATCAATTTTAAAAGATATACATGATTATTAATAGACATTCCAGAATGTGACTGATAATTACTAAAATTTTCTATAAGGGTTTAATTAATAAGATGAATAAAAATCTATTAGTATTGAATCAAGCAAGAATGGAAAATCAAATAGAAAGAAATTAACATTATCAAATGATAAAAATGCTAAAAATGGAGATTAAATTGAGTTTATTTAAAGTTATCATGAAAGTGATATCACAAAAGATATTATGTTTCATAGTTAAGATAAATTAATAGATTAAATACAAGTTTAAAAGATGTATTAAAGTGATGGTAAAAGTATTAATAAGGCTGAAGAATTGAACTTTAATGGTTTGGGTTTGAGAGACTCAGAGGATGAAGCTGATGATTCAAATTAATTTGAAGATGAATTATTGAATGCTTAATCAGATGATGAAGATATAAATAATGGATTGTTTAAATTTGTTGATTAAAAATAAGGATTTACTGAAAAAGATAGATAATAAGTTTTTAAGAAATTGAATTAAGATATGTCATTTGATAAAGTAGACAATAAAGTAGCTGCTGTAGTGGAGAAATAAACTTAAAAAAACACAATTGAATAATCATCAAGGAGTGTTGATAATATAGATTAATTGATAAATAAAGGAAAAATTATTTAGAGATCAATTTAATAACCTACTTCTAAAAGTCAAACTATTCACTAATAACCTGAAAAAGTAGATCAATATCTAATTAAATAATAATAATCTTATAAAAGTATATGAATTCTCAATATTAATTTTAGATGCTCATAAATCTAAAGTAATATATGCAAGATGGTTTGATAAAAAGGTTGTAACATCAACTATGCTTTATAATATATTTAGCATATATGGAAATATTGATAAAATGATATTTTTAAAAGAAAGATCAAGTTGTTTGATATAATATGTATCTTAAGAACATGCTGCTATAGCTAAGGAATCTCTTAATGAAATATCTTTTTATGGATAATAAATAAAAGTAAATTAATTGTTTATATATAGATCTTTTTTTCCAATTATGAAGAGATCTCTTTAAAAACTTAACCAACTAAACCAGGAGAGATTGTCTTTGATGTTAAAACTTAAGAAGAATATTTTTAGGGAAGTGAAGACACTCATCGAATTAAACCAGATTCAACTTATACTCTGGCTCCTCCTTGTGATACTATTTAAATTTCTAATTTAACTAAGAATTCTTGCTAAGCTTCGATTATGTAATAATATATGTAAGAATTTGGATAAATTAAAGCTATTAAGTAGTTATTTAATTTTATTTAGAATTTTGACAACTGGAAACAAATACTTGTCAATTATCAAGTATACAAGCACCGAAGTAGCATTTACTACATTAGCCAATATGAATGGTTTCGAATTGGATGGAAGGTATTTATATGATAACATTGAAATAGACCTATATAAATTAACTTTTCTAAACAAAAATTATGATTAGCTGATTTATGAATATTCGTATTTAAAATTACAATATACAACCTCTTAATTTTATTTCCATTAATTTCAATTATAATAAAAGAGAGAAATGGCAGGAAAATCAGGAAAGGGAATTGGCAAAATCAGTACTTAGGGACATCCCAGAAAACCAAATAAAGCTTCAATTGAAGGAATCACAAAACCAGCAATCAGAAGATTAGCAAGAAGAGGAGGAGTCAAAAGAATTTCATCCTTCCTTTATGATGACTCAAGAAATGTTTTAAAGAGCTTCTTGGATAATGTTGTTAGAGATGCCATCACATATACAATACATGCAAGAAGAAAGACAGTCACAGTCATGGATGTTGTTTACTCATTAAAGAGATAAGGAAGAACACTTTATGGTTTTGGTGCATGAATTTTTTTATAGTTTTTATTCAAATTTATTTAATTCAAGTCTTATTATTATCTTTAACATACTAGAATTCTACTTTTTATATTATGAGTTCTTTATAGGATTTTTCATTAAATAAATATTAGTTATTTTATTGGGGGATTCAAATAAAATGGAATAAAAGTGTAATTAAATAATAATATACTTAAATATTAACATAATAATATTTTTTTTTTTAAATATTTAAGTATCACAGTTATTCTTAACTGGCCTCATCCTTTATTTTATCCCATTCTACCAAATAACCTTTAGTACTCATATTAAATTTACTTAATTCAACATCCTAAAATAAATGAACTTTTTACATGATGGAATTTAAATTTAAATGGATGTTTTTCTGCTCTCTCAATCATTTATTTAGTAGTTTATGAAATCTACACTCTACCTTCTTCACCACTACTTTCCATCTTATTAGCAATTGATACATCTTTGCCATAAATGTCATATCTCACAATATCTGTACCAATAATACCACCTGTAACTTGACCTGTGTGAATACCTATTCTCATATTAAGTTTATCAAATTTAATCTTCAATCTAACTTACATAATGATTTCAACCATCTAGAATCCCATTTTTACTGTATTAATGGCTTCTTAAATTGGCTAATTAAATATTAAAATTTATTTACATTTCTTTTGGCACTATTGGTAAATCCCATAACAACATAACAATCACCAATTGTATACATTTTATATACATTATATTTTTAACATAATTTGTCAAATTCTGTAAATAGATTCCTAAGCATTGTTACAACTCCTTCTGGAGATTGAGTATGAGAATATTCAGTAAATCCTTTGATATCTGCAAATAATAATGTAACATCCTCAAATTCATCAATAAAATCACTTTTGTCATAAATTGAACTATTTTTCATTTTCAAATAAGAATGCATTGGTAATAATTGACTTACCAAATTAATTTATTTTACTTTCTTATCCTCATTGATTTATAAATTATTAAACATCTGAATCTATTCTCTCATAGCCAAATAATAACCCAATAATAGGATAAGCATACAACAACAAATGTAAAATATAGAAAAATGAGTTACTAAGTCAGAAGCTATGTAAAATCCTAAGAAAAACCCTAACATTATGAACATATAAATTATCACTTAAAAGAAAGTGAACATCTTCAATTAACAAGTAACAATCATTATGTATAATATTTCCAAAAGACAAATAATAGCCACTTCTGAATTATCAGTTAAATATGCTTAATAAAGTACTGTAAAGATGGCATATATTAATAGGAGATAATACATCAGATTAACAAATAGATTTCTATAGGCTTTTGATAAAATTGGGAATAACACTATGATTAAGATTAAAAATATTGCCTAAATAAAAATAGAATTAATACTCTTAATACAAAGATGAGTAGATCATATTTGAATAGTTTACGTACGATTATTGATAATAATGTGATTACAAAGTATGTAATCCATAAGAATACTATACCAACTTTAGATTCTTCCAGGTTTTATTCTTTCAATATTTAATTGAAATTGCTCTTAATCTCATTCTCAGGTATTTATAAAATCATATTAGGTTTTATTAAATCTAATTTATCATTTTCCTCTTATTCACTTGTTATAAAGACAGATTCATCAGTTAATACAGGTTCTGATGGTTATATAGGTAAAGTTAATCTAGATTTATTATCTACCTCTTAAGGTGAATTTTAAGGTAATAAAAATTAAACAGTTTGTTATCCTCTAGGAGATATTTCTAATCTATTTGATTATTTCATATTATCCATATAAATAGAGTTTTACAATTAGGATAAGAATTAACCCTTTTTTGGTTAAATTTACCTTTGACTTCTCTATTATCTCAACTCTTTTACTACTACCTTTGTGCAATTCTACCAAAGTAGAAATGCTTTAGGTATCTAATATCCTGGAGGTTTAGTTTTATAAACTTAATATGTATCTATTATTCCTAATCCTTTAGCCTCCTTTTATTTCTTTGAGTAATATTTTATGCCATGTCTGGCTTATTTAAAAGCTTATTCACTCAAAGTTATTGCACCAGTATCTCCTGTAGAACCTACTCTACTTGTTTGATTGACTGGATCACCTATTAATGAAAATTATGGTTTATGATGTCCAATAACACCAGCAATTACTCTTCCAACATGAATACCAATCTTCATTTCTATTTAATTACCTTTTCCATATTTTCTCCCTTATACTTATTACATCATATCAAATGCCATATTGACCAATCTCATAGTTTTTTCTGTTCTTATAACATGTGCAGTCATATTCTATTCACAAGCCTTTATTCCTGTAGCTGCCATATAAGTATATCCAACTGTTTCTATCTTTTATACTCCATGTTAAATGCATAAATTATCATATAATCTAAATAGAGAATCCAACATTAATACAACATTTTTACCTTCTTCTTTCATTATAGTATCAAAATCACAAATATAAGCAAATAAAATTGATACATCATCTTAAGCTTCTTACATTGAATAAATTCCAGTTGATATTTATTGTCTAACAAATCTTGGAACAAGAATACTCAAAATGTCTTATGCAGTCATATTATCTTATTCAATTGAATATTTGGCTAAATAATCATTTCTTCTATGTTTTATTGATTTATAATAAGTGAATAAAAATCTAATAGTAATACTTATCACTAATAATATTTAAGTACTAGCAGCATAGACAGATATTCTACTTTATGAATATGTTCCATTTGAAGTACTTAAATCAGTTGATATAACAATAATTAATATTCTTACTATTAACTATATTAAATAACAGATATTATATAACATAATAGGAATAACAGTCATATTCATAGAATTAAATGTACTAAATAAAATTACTAATGTTGCAGATAAAGTAATAGTTAAATCATCTGATAACCAATCAATGGCAATTTTAATTGCAAATATTATTAAAACAGTTAAATGTGAATAAGTATAGTATTCTTATTGCATAATTGATGTGAATGTGAACAATAAAATTAAGAATACAATGCCAAAGATAATCAAATAATAAACTCCAGTAAATATTCTAAGATCATTGATAAAGAAATCAGTTAAACAATATGCTATGAAATAAAGTAATAAAATGCATAAGAAGAAACGTAAATGATTAAGTGATTGAGACAATTTATGAGCAAGAAACTTTTATTCAAGAACTAACTCTTTCATTTCTAAAGTTAAAGGTTTGAGTTTCATTTCTGTTACTTTTGTGTCTCCAGGATTAAGCATTTCTGATATGTAAGGAGATGTAGTAGAACAATCATTAAATACATTTTAGATTATGGTAGAGACATTACTAAATTTAAATAGAATATTTACACATGTTGATCAAAACATTAATTGACTATTTATTAATAAGTAGTATCTTCCCATTATGTACCATCTTTATTAATAAATGCAAATTATTAATAGGCAGTAGGAAATAAATTTAGTTTAATGAAATCATGAAGGAAATAATTTATAAAGAAACATCCAAATAAGCAAAATATCATTGCAACTATACTATTATATCTAGTAAATAATTGATAAGTTAATTCTTAGTAATCAAAATCACTGAATTTTCCTCTATAATTAAGAAATACAAAACCAACTAATAATCCAAATGTGAATAAGGATACAATAATAGCTATATGAACATTATGTTTTATCAATCTAAATAAAACCTTTAATGTCGATACTGTAATTATGATAAAAATGACACTTGTTGCAATCATTTATAAATCACTTTGATGACCATCATTGGTCCAAGCATAATTAATCATATAAGTACATGTATAAAAAGTAAAAGCTGCTGATAAAAATGATTCCAAAAATGCTTCTATCAAATAATAAAGTCCAAATCTTCTAGTTCTAATTTGACCATCTATATATAAAGTAGGAATCTTTTTATTTACCCAATGATTTGTTTATAAATCAGCTAATCCAATAACCAATGCATTAGGAGTTGTGTATAGAAATATGAATAAAAATACAGTCATTGAATCATGTAAGGAAGTAGCTGTAAATTAACAAAACCAATTAAAAAAGAAGAGTGTCATACCTAAAAAGCCTGCACAATAAAATAAATATATTATCATAGAAGAAACACGTTCAGAGTGTAATTTACACTTTTATAGTAATAATACTTTTATCTCTTTTAATGTATTTACACTAATATCTCCAGCATTTACTTATGGATATATATGATTTAATTTGCTATTGATTATTTCAATACTAATATGTGAAGCTTACATCATTAATGCATCATTGTAACCATCTCCAACTCCTAAAATTGTTGGTTTATTTGGAAAATAATCCTTTATGGTTATGCATGCTAATTCTTTTTATTATGGATTCATATTAAACCCTATTACACTCTTACAAACACATGATAAGAATCGAAAATGACTCATCATATCTGCTGATTCACTTATTAATGATAAAGAGTGTCCATTAACAACTAATACAAATTATAACATTTATTAATATGATGCACCTTCAAATAATGTTACACTTGATTTAATCATACTTCTACTCATTGATTATTATGAATGTTTCTCTTATTGTTTAATTTATTATTTCTCTTATATTTTTTATAATTCACTTTATATATATCCTATTGCAGTATTTATTTATAACCATAATTATTCCTTATCTGTTGCTACAATCCTTAAATATTTAGATGTCTCTGTCATCTCCAAAGCCTAAGCACAACTAATTGTTTATGCTTCTTAATCTCCACTTAATAACCAAATATTAATATTACACTCTTTTACAGTTCTTATAAAATCTAATGCATCATTCTTTAATTCCTCTTTAAATCCTATCATTCCTAATAAATTTAATTCTTTCTCATATTCCAAAGCCAATTCCTCTAATAAGAAATCTTAATTTGTAAGTGAACTATGCAATAAATTAAATTTTTGTTTATAATTTTCAGTCTCTTTTTCACTCAAAACTCTTGTTGCATAAACAATCATTCTTATCCCTCTCATTTTATAATGTTGAATATAAGCATCTAATTCTTCTCTCTCTTTATGATTTAATTATAATTTCAATTTTATAGCTTCATAATCTCCTTTACAAATTAACAATGATTTATTTTTAGATCCTTCTCCACATAGTTAATTCAAAGCTTCATGTTCTAAACCTAATTCTAGATCCATAGTCATAGGTACTTATATAACTACAGAATTTAAATTTCTATTATATGTAAATAAATTTAATCCTAATATTTGATACCAAATTGTATTTCCTCTTACTTTACATAAATACATATCTGGACTATCAAATTTATTAAAGTTCTCTAATTAATAACCACAAGAACGAGCAAATGTTAATGAAATCTCTTCATTCTTTGAAAATGATTCATATGTTATTGAATCTGCTCCAAAAACTGGTCTAGCTTCATGACATAACATCAAACATTTCAAAAAAGCATCATAATATAATGTATTTATATCTTTAGTTTATAAATATTCCTTTTATGGAGAACTATTTCTCAATTAATTTACTAATTGCATGAATTCATCATTATTATTTCCTGGACTATTTCGAAGTTTTGGTTAAGGTAAAAACATTCTTGTCTATGAATAATCTTGATATTATTATTAATATTATGCATCCATATTTATAAAAGTTAATCTTTTATTTTATGGTTGAGCAGTTATTTTACTAAAAATTGGATTATTACTTGAAGTTTTTACACTTTTTAATAATAATTTACCACTTGTTTAACCTTCTGTTGTATGATTACTTTTTTTATCATATTCAAATGGTATTAAATATTCATTATTATCATTTATACTTGCAAATTTTTATGGATCTTCAATATCATCTTATTTAGTTGACTTTTAGTTTAATGTCAATTATAATTAATCATAATTTAGAGTAAAAGCTAATTAACCAAATAATAAATTATCTAATTTATAATAAGAAGTAGTTAATGTGCCTGTTTTATCTATTAACATATAATCAACATGTCCTAAATCACATAAATTATTTGAAGAATTTATTTTCACATATTTTACAAGATTTTCTTCAATTTGATTAATTTCAAATTTAAATAATGAAATGAAATTTACTATATCAAATAATAAATATAAAGTAGCTGGAATTAATTAAGCATACAATATTGCCAATTAAAATACTTTCATACCATTAGTAGTATAATTATCTATTATTAAAGCAAAACTATTTTCATCTGATCTAGCTAATAATACAATTATAGATATTAATGTAAAAAATAAAGATAAACATGCCATTAGAAAAGTATAAAAATTACATTATTTCTCTTCAAAACTCTCTTTTTATGCTCCATAATGACTACTTTACATTGTTTTAGTATTGTGACCAACATAGACAGCTAAACCAAATAACCATGAAGTTTATTTAATTTTAGTTCCTTTAGGAATGAAATTATCTATAGTTAATTCTTCATTTTTTGGATCTTTTTTTAATTTCAATCTAGCATGAAATCTTTATGTATTTCCATTAGGAGCTTCATATTCTAATTTACCAGTTAACATCTTTCTATATTCTGGGAATTAATTCTTTAATCTAGTTCTCAAGACAATCAATTAAGTTAGATAGGATGACTTCTTTTTAGTCAAACTTGATTTGCCATCATAATATTAGGTATCTACCATACATATAGCTTCTCGATCTCTAACCTATCCAGTATCTAAGAGTATAATATCAGCAGGAACAATATCTCCTTTAATTAAATATAAAACATCTCCAATTTGAATATCACTCCATTTAATGGTTTCAATTGAACCATCTTTAGCTCCTCTTGAAGTTGTTTATATATTTATTTTATGATCATGAATTTGTCTACGAATATCAAGTACAAATTCAATTAAAACATAAAGGAGTACACTGATTCCAATTGGAAAGATAGTGATCCAACGGTAGAATGGGGAAAGACTTGGATCTATGAGCATAATTAATGATATGGCAAGTAAATAGATGTTACCAAATCTGACTAATCCTGTATAGAGTGTTTTGGGTAGAAAATTGAGGAGCTAAAGAATTGATTATAGATAAGTATATTTACTGTATATTTACGTGTGTTGAATATGTTTTTATTTTAAGGAACGCTGAGTAGTTAAACATTTCCTTTATGTAATTCCATAGTAATCATTTGGGAGTCATCTGTATAACATAAAGAAAGACATTTTCTAAATCTGGATAACCATTTTTCTACAAATTGATGATGGTTATAATTCATAATTGTTTTTATTAATAATAAATTGAATTGAATATGAATGCTCATTCAAGAAGAAAAATAGCTCATTTGGAAGTTCCAGAAGTATAAGATAACTAAACAATGATTGCATATGCTAAATGCTAATTTTGTTTAGGAGAATGTTTTGGTTGTTTAAGAACCTGGATTCCTTGTATTTTTTGTATGTGCGTTAATTATCCATATTAAGAAGTTTAATAAGGTAGATAATTCTCATTAAACTATTAGGTACTGAAGGATTGTTCAAAAGATTTGGAAGACACATTAAAGTAGTTAGGCCAGGATTACATTATGTTAATCCTTGTACAGATACATTAGAATAATTAGACTTGAGAATTACTGTTATAGATTTAGATAGATAAGTAATATATCTATTAAATATTCTTTAGTCTGTTATGACCAAAGATAATGTAACTATTTCTATAGATGCATCTGTTTATTATAGAATAAAAACTTCACGGTTTGCTGTTTATAGAGTAGAGAACTATGATTAAGCAGTCCGTTAAATTACTTATGCTGTACTAAAAAATACAGTAGGATCCTTTATACTTTAAGATTTACTTGAGAAAAGATAGGAAGTTGCAGATTAAATAGAAGATTAAGTAGATGAATATGTGAAAGATTGGTATATAGAATATATATAATAGGGGTGTATTAATTGATAACATATATATGAAAGACATATAATTATCTTCTGATCTCTAATAAGCATTAGGTTCAGCAGCTACAGAATAGAGATTAGCATAAGGTAAATTGATAAGTGCAAGAGCAGATGTGGAATCAGCTAAGTTAATGAGATAAGCATCTGAATTTTTAGATTCTAAAACTGCTATGTAAGTAAGATATTTAGAAACATTATAATAATTGGCTGGTAGTAATGGAACTAAAGTATGTTTTGTACCAGATGAAAAAAATTAAGAAAAATTGATGCATCAAATAACATAAGGATTATTAGCATGAAGATATAATATATTTCATAATAATAATTATCATTAAGTATATACTTTTTATACTAATATTTATTAATCATTATTATAACAGATTAATTATTTATTATTAATTCAATAAATACAAGGATTTTCCAAAAATTTAGGTTCAATTTTCGATTGGCAATCTAATTAATAAATATTACAATTTATGAGAGTTGTCAGCGAAACTAAATATTATAAAGTATTAGCTAAACTCTATGAAAAATGTGCATCCTTATCTGCTCAATTAGACATTTATGAATTTGATTCACCTAAAGCTGAATAATTTGAATAATCAGAAAATAGCGATGATAATATAATAAAAAGAACACAAAATAAAAGAAAATAGAAATATATCCCTAATACAATTATCAAATTAGAAGAAGAATAATAAAAATAATAGTACCAATATTTGTCAAAAAATAAAAAGACAATTTCATAAAATAATAATGGAAAATCAACTAAAATTAAAAAGAAAATTAAAAAACCTAAAAATTATGATTTTAGTTCCTCATCTTCTTAAACATCATCCTCATATAATTGATTTACCATTAATTTTATTTATTAAGAAATTAAAATATATATAAATACATATATATACTCATATTTGAATATCATCTTCTTAACCCATATTCTCATCTTTCTATTTTGTATAAAACTTCTTATTAGCTAAATTTTTATGTTTTACTCTTCTAGTACTCTTACTATTTATTTATATTTATAATTATTTATACTTATTTAAATCATCCATTTCAATATCTCCATACATTTATTTTTATTATTCATCCTCAAATGGTTCATTATAAGGCATATATAATTATACAATCATACATAAATATATATTTATTAATGCCCATTCATTTATAGTACTAGAACTAGTTAATACAATTGGTTCCAATATTGTAACTATTTGATAATAAACTAATGCTGAAAAGCAAATTGTTGATAAAATATGCAATAATTTATAATTTCTAATCTCTCCTTAACTCTCTGATTCTTTTATTTATTAACCTTCATAAAATGGATCCTATTATTTCTCATTTTCTATAACTGTAGACTCTGTTATTGATGTTGTTTTCTCATGTTGATTAAATGATTTGTATAAAAGAAATACAAAACATACAGAATATCCTATTAAACTTAAAATTACAAATTTCAAGTAAATGTTATAAAATGGTATTTCAACTCTAGGATCATATTACATTAATTCTTCTTGCATTATAAATATAAATGTATCCATTAATGCTTATGGAACTGTATATAAAATTACCAATAGTAATTTTAATAAATTCCAAATACTAAATTAGTTTAAATTGATTTATCTATCATTTTCAACAGATTAAGTTTATTCTAATTCAAAAATAGATAACCAAAAATAGAATAATCCTGATTAAATAAATAATTCTACTAAATTCTAGTAATAGTGAACAAATTAACCATAATGATTTCGAATTAGAAAAATAGGAAAATTATAGAGAATCATTCCTATCAATAATAACAATAGCCATTAATGTCTAATTATATATATATTAGTATTTACATTTTGGGCCAAATTTATTTAGGATAATCATTCAAATTGCTGAAAAAATAATAAATCCCATATAGTATCAAAAATAGGAAAAGAAACTAATATTATTATATTAAAATATGGTTACTTAAAAAATCAAAATCATAGTGTAATATTGATTATTCTCATAGAGTAATGTTAAGGTTTGAGAATGAATAGCTAATGCATTATGATGAAAGATTAGTAATTAAAATTATAAATCCTTATAACCTTTATTGATAATTGATTCTAGATAACCTGTACATTAAATTAATTAACTCTTAGATTTGCATTTTAATGAAGTTAAATGTGTTTTATTAAGAACAAGAGTTTAATCTTATGAATGTACTATTAATTAGTATTTCATATCATTAAGTATTTCATCTTCCTTAACCATAACATGTTCTAAATCATAATAATCATTCTAAAACATTAAATGATTAAAATACTTTATTGATTGTAACATTTAGATTTAATTCAATTTCACTTATATTTTGAATAGGAAATATATATTTACCAGTTGTATTAGTATAATTTAAATTCTTATATTCATTTTGTTTAACATCTACTTCAAATTTAGTTAATCTAATATCATAGGATAAATATTTTTTTCTATTATTTATCATCATTATCTACAAAATGACATAGAATAGAAACCATCCAAATATTCTAATGCATATACCATCTTTAGACATTTTATCGATTTTTAATGAAATTTAAGGTCTCAACTAAATCATGAATTTATTTGATAAAAAATATAACAACTATTTCAATATAATCTTGCCTTTTCATCGAATTCATGATCAAATTAATTATCATAATTCAAATCTTCTCCATTTCCACTAAATTCATCATTATCATAATAAGAAAAAGTAAATGTACTTGATCCAATCGAAGACTAAAATATTGGAATCTAAATAATACTGAATAATTTTCAGAATGTACTAACTTCATATCATTATTAGAAGTATCAGAATATTCAACATCCATATTCTAATTTCTCTCAAATGTTTATGAAATTCCATTTTATTATTATTAATTCTTTCCTTATTTATATATTATTTAATATTTATTTTATCTACCTAAAAGATGTTTTTGAATATGTGAATAAAATCTATTCTTAACCATATTTTCCTAAATATCTAAAATGTATACAGATCTTCCTTTTAAATTTTAAGCAACCAAACTCCATTTAGCTCCATATTAATTATAATATTTCACTATTTCTTAATCTTCTTATTCTGTCCATGCAACAAAATTAAGATTTGGATCTAATTTATTCAAATATCTTTCTCGAATCTGTTTTCCTGTTCTTCCTGGAAAATTTTTAGCTAATTTAGTCCAATTTTTGCCTTCAATTGTAACCATAGAAATTAACTTAGTATCCTCATCATGTGTCCACTTTTATTTACTCTAAAATAAATTAACTAATTCACTTATATTGGATTTATTCTTCTCCATCTTTAAGAACATTATGAAATATTCCTATCTGGCATAAATTAAATAATTTTGCTCCAATTTCCTTAATATTCTTGATATAATTTTCTCAATCTTTAATCTTCTTCTGGTTACCAAATCTTCACAACTCTTTTATCTCCATCAATTTTCTCTTTGTTCTTGATTATTTTCTTTTTCAAACCCTTCTCCTATTTCTCTTAAGACTTAGAACTATTTTATTTAGAATTAATTATATTTACCGTTTTACTAAATGATCTTTAACATGGTTATGATTCAATTTTGATTACTCATTACCTTAAAAATTCAATTAATTCTCATCAATATTATCTTCTTCAAAACTACTCTTTTTTTATTACTTTTCATCATTCAGTTAGAAATAATTGTCAGTTGGGGATACTATAGATGATTATGCTTATGATTCTTATAAAACTCAATATTTTGCTACTTTATATCTCCTTTGTAACTCCTTTCTCTAAGTTTAACTCCATTTTTTTCTGTTAAATTATTTACTCCTCTTGACTTTTATTACTTTTTTAAGATATTGTATCTTTATCATCTTTCTGCCGTTTAGAGCAACAAAAATTGAATACTAAGTCTAGAAACATCTATAAATGTTTTTAGTTGTTATATAATATTTTATTAATTACAATAATAGATAAATGAATTTTATAAAAATTTCTATATTTCTAATTCAACTCAATCTTTAATTTAATACAAAATTTATTATCATTTCAGTAAAACTATTAAAGTTAATTTTAATTCTTAATTTTTTCATTTATGTACATAATTGAATCAACATGAACTTAGATATAATATATATATTTATATATAAGTTATATAACATTTATTAAATTCAAATAAAGGTTAATAATCAACTAACTTCATCTTAAAAACATTCAAATATTAATTCACCTTATTCATTCTCA